GAGGAAGTGCCAAAGCACGCGACGGGGTCTCAACTCTCAAATCTCTCCTATTTCTATACCTTCACTTTGGCGTGCGCCCGCCTCCATTTCCTTAGTATCACCATGTCCACAAACTATGGGGCATGGTCACCTCGTTGGGAGGAGCGGCAGACAACGCGCTCTATGAATTTGGCAAAGAAAGCTAGACATATTCAACGTCCAAGTGCGCTCCAACAAGCCTATTATAGCTCTTATAGTAAGGGATAGCAGCTGGAATCGTATTCCCTGCGACTGGTCATCGTGCCCTTTTGGACGCCTAGGCCGGAACTTTCGGTGCTGGGGGCCGAGGCATCTGGAGGAAACGACTGTTAGCCCCACGTATTACGCTTCACAAATCCGTGTCTCTTTGCGCCCTCGTCATGTTTCTCTATGACGAAGTATGGCGCCGTGTATGACCCTCCAAATCTCCATGCTGTCCTCGCGGCCTGTTTGCTACGATCCGAGGCTCGATGATGTGATGCTCAACGGTATAAAGATCGGGAAGATCGTGAAGGGAGGAGCGACAAAAGAAAGTAGATAGGAATTGAGTCTGTCTAAGCCCATGATTACCTCGGGAAGAGGACACAAACGCCGAGAGAGACTAGGGAGAATAGCTTATTCTCGGAAGGAATCGTATAAAACGCCCTCTCCTGTGCTGGTCGACTCCTGCGCAGTCTGCGATGCGAGAGCCATCAGGCCTCCAGCATCCGGCATCCGGCATCCAGCAGAGCCGACGCCACAGCGGGCTCGACCGCGAAGGGGCTGAGGCGGGCTCGTTGGTTTTCCGGGTTCTCGGACTGCCGCGTCTGCCGGGAACGTTGCTTACCGTCTCACCCACAAGGGTTGGAGAGGCTCGCAGGGACGGGCACTATGGGGGAAAAAGGAAAAACAAAAGGAAAACAAACAGCAGTAGTAATAGTGTAGAGTATTAGCCCAAAGTGGGAGGTCCCTCTCTCCATCGCGACCCTTGCGTCGGAGGTAAAGAGTCACCGGGGTGGGAAGCAGGCATCATGGAGTCGCAGCTGAACTGAGTGGCACCCAGCGCATGAAGAAGTCACGGAGGACTATGTCATAAGTGTTGCGGAGGGCGGATGCTCCATGGGCCCCCTTGTATGCCTCCTTGGAGGGTTTCCATGTGCAGCTCGACGCGATCCAAGCCCTCAATCCCTGCTAGCTGCGGAGGTTAAATATTCGTTTCATGCCAAGGGGGGCAGGAAGAATTGCTCTTTTCTGCAGGACTAATACTGATAATACGAAAGAAGAAAGTCTCGGAAAATACATCCGAGGCCAGGCTTCTGGGAATGCCGCATTTCCTATGCCCACGTTTGAACTTGGTGCGCGAGAGGACGATGGTTTGGTTGTTCTGTGCGTTTGGCCAGCCCACGATACAGAACATGTCGGAATAAAGGGGGAGCTGTGGTGGTGGAAGAGCGTCGCATCGTAATCCCACATGCGCGCACGCTTAGCACAGGGTGGCTGGCCGGGGGCGGGGAAAGGGGACTCGTCGAATGGCCCTTTTTGTTTCCCGGATATGTCGGCCAGGGAAGGAGTTCGCCTGCGATAGGATTTTCAACGGTTTGATCACCCCGATCGACCGTGATAGGACGGTTTCCTTGGCGTCTTGGAGTGCGGTTTGGTGAGACGTCTTTTGAGGGTGGTCTAGAATTTTGATGCACGGAATCGGCACGCTCGCGGGGGCCGTCGGTTTCGAGGAAGATAAGACTGACAAACTTGACTGTGTCATAGGAAGATGGAAAAGAGAAAGGAGCACGAGGCAGCTCGGGAGAAGAAGAAGAAAAAAGTGCACTTTTGGCTACTACAGTTGACGTAGACTTTTGGCCTTGGTTGGAAGGTGGTCGTGTGCACTCCGTCCGATTGATGAGCTCGTTAAAACCTGTTCGTTCCCTACGTCACGTCATTGCAATATGAAGGATCCTATGCGGGCATAAATTCCGTCGATATCTACACTCAGCACCACCGGGGAGATCGACCCTTAATAGGCGTGCTATAGAGATAAACAGGCGTCCACATAAATCGATTCCCAATCAAAGACCTGATGGCCGATAACTCGTAAGAACTCGGGCAATAACCTGGAGCCGCATCATGGATCCCCCGCCCGCGGCAAGACTGGGAGGTCGCGGCGCTGGCGCTCTCTACCCGGCGGTATATCTCGTGGATTTTGATCCCATCTTGGCCAACGTGCAGAGGTGGTTGTGAACACGCCGGGTCATTACTTGATGAAATCGCGACCAAATCGTCATATCAGTCCTTATCTTGCCGAGGCAGCGGGAAATGCTCGAGCCCTTGAGGCGCCGACGATGCCAAACACCAACGTCCTGCTAGCCGCCTGTTCCATCGCGACAGGTGCTATTCGGCCCAGAGACTCCGTCTCTCCAGAATCTGCAAGGACCCAAGGGCTGTTTCACCATTCACATAAGCTACACAATCGAACACGGAGTCGGTGCACCCTTTGTTCAGGCAAGCGCCGGCATGGAACCAAGTATCGCGTTGGGCTTGCCTTCCTGCCCTATTGAACACAAATCTCGACTCGTCAAAGACACCTCTCAAACAGCCCTCGGGCTGTCATCTCCTCGCCAGCTTGGGATGAAGTGTCTTTCAGTGATTTATTTGTTACGGCGCCTTCTTGGCCTGTTTGGCCGGTTTGGCTGGCTTGGACGTCTTGGCTGTGCTGCTTGGCCTTGAGAGTCTCGGTCCTTCCAATCTAAGTGTATGGCAGCACGATGCAGCAAAGGCTTGGGGAAGCAACAATACGAATCGGCCTCGGGCGTTGGGTGAGGCAGCGCACGGTGCCGCAAGCTAGTGCAATGATGCCATGAAGAGGTATTAGGTAGTTGCATCGTGAGGCCAAAAGGTTGGAAGAGAGGTAGTCGAAATGGAAATCAGCTTAATACCTTGGTGTCCTCGTACCCCAGGTACCTTCGCTTCCTTGACCCCCGCACTTGGATACCACGCATCGGGCAATTCTTCAAGTACTTTCCAGTTTGGGTTGGGCGAAGCGGGATGCAGGGATGTGAGTGGTCGACGGGAGCCCCGCCGTGGTTTGGCCGCGCAGGAAAAGCCAGGGACTTGAGACAGGCTGAGACAGTGATGCCCCTGGAACGACGCCCGACAATGCTGTGTCTCACCACGCCAAAAGTTGGCTCAGGCATTGGCTTTTGCCCCACCGACGCCTCGCATTGGTGCATTGGTGCATTAGTGGGGGAACAAGGGCCGCAGGTTCAATTGGGAGCAAACCGATTTGATATTCTTTCACTTCTTGCGAGCTGATAGCCGTCATCGTTGTCTGATGTCGGGCCCTGTCTCTCTCTGTCTCTCTTCCCAATGACCTCGAATCGGTTTCAAATGTACCATTGAGAGAAGAGGCCACAGGAAAGGAATTCAAAGAACGGACAAAGGTCAAAATCAATTACACTGTGGGTGGTAATAGAGGGAGAGCGCGGAGGAGAGGGAGGAAAGGGAGGAGAGGGGAAGAGAAGAAACGCGTGGTGGAAGCATCAATGCAACAGAACAGCTTCGATCCAGCTTTTGGGTCTCGTCCAGGTCGATCCGGGTGTCCGGTCTCTTAACCGGATATTCCTGCAGTACCTTGCCCGGTGGCGAAGGAGAGAGGAGAGAGAAGAGAAGTGAGAGGTGAGAGGTGAAAGGTTCGCAGAGGCAGAGCAACGAAAAGATACCCAGCCGTTTTGCCGAGGGCAAAGGCGGTGGTGGGTGCGTGGATGCGTGGATGCGGAGCTTCTCGAGTCGTAGCAATTTGACATCTCCCTCGACTCGTGCCTTCAATATGGATGCTTTTGCTTCAAAGCATCAATGGTGGCGCCAGTGCCGGGTCGAGGGCCCCAAACTAACGCGCCATCCTTTGACGACTGCAAGTCCCGCAGCCCCATCAAAAAACTGGGGCTCGCCCTTTGGTTCGGTCGCCAGTCTCTTGTTCTTCCCCTTGCGACACTCCGTGCGTCTTCAAGGTGCGTGCAGCAGCTGTCGAGGTTCCGCGCGCCAGAAGTTGGGTGCAAAAAGTGACTGTGTGAAGAGCATTGGAATGGTCGCTTGCGTCAGAGAGAGCCTCACACGCCCAATGCGGTCCACGGCCTTGCTCCTGAAGTGGATGATCGCCAGCCCCTGAATTCAATCGTGGGCAGCGCCCCTCTCTCCCCCTTCCCTTCAATTGTTCTCTTCGCTAGGACCGACTGGCTACCTCGACCAGTCCTTTGGAGTCCCTCCCCGCCTTTGCTTTGCTGCCCCGACATGAGTTCCAGTGTCAGTCTCCGTCCCCCTCTCGCCCCTTGATCAATGTGCAATGCTTCCACAGGGCTAGACCAACCAGGAGGTGTTGTGGGCAGGTACCCCTCGTCACATCCTCTGCTCTTATTATTCCTTCCTCACCCAACGTACGACCCACCCTCCTTCCCTCCGATCCCTTCCCCAAAGTCTTGGCCCGATCAGCTTGTCTCGCCTTGCCTGTTCTTCATTCCCTCTTTTGTTTTTTTCTTCTTTCTATTCCTCGCAGCCGTGCTTTATTTTTCTGGCATTGCAAAAGGCAGAGCCTTCTGTCAGCGTAATAGTATTGCTCCCGCCGCCAGCTTCTCTTCTTCGTTCCGTCCCTGGTGGTCTTGATTCTTCTTCTTCTTCTTCTCTTCTTTCGTCAGATATTCTTTGCCACGCTCGTTTCATTGCGCCCTCCCGAAATCCGACGCCTATTCTGTCTTATTCGACCATCGCCGACCAGCCGATCGACTAGCGTATCCCCTCTTTTTCTTCCATTCTCTACGACGACCTGGTAGTCGACCCGAACTTAGTCACAGTGAAACGACGTCCGTCTCTATCAGCACACGTATCTTCGGCGCCATTCGCTCAAGCCATCTAACACGGCCAGTCTTAGTGTCATGCAGATGCAGCAAACGAAGCGGTGATAGAGAACTCGGTTGAACGCACTCATCCACCCGTTGCAGGGCATTACGCTTGAAATGGCCCCGTCTCAGCTGCTTAGCAGGACTCTGGCGGATCAAGCCGAAGGAGAGGTCCGGAGAAGGCGCCCGAGGAGGTATCGCCTGGAGAAACCCCGCCGCCAATTACGCAAGAGGACGACGGGGTGGACTCTGGCAGCGAGTTTTCGGATGGGATCAGCAGTGAAAGTGAGGACGAGGTAGTCATTCCTCCGCCCGCCCAAAATCAAGGCGGTGGGGGTTCTTACAGCCGTCTCCTCTTCCCGCCGCGCCCTTCATCCCCGCCCTGCCTTTCATACCTTCGCCCGTCGCCCCTGCGCCTTTTACCACGTCCTCTGTACAGCCGCCTCCTCCTCCTCCGCCATCGTCTTCGCCCTTGACCACACAGCAACCGCCACCGCCGCCGGAAACGACGAGCAGCGCGGGGAACGATATTCGGACCCTCACGGCAAGGCCGCACGCCTCTGTGAGCAACCCATTCGGCGGAATTGGCCTTGACCCCAACGCCGACCCTGCCTTGAACGTCCAGAACCCTCAGGAAACCGAGACCGAGACCGAAACCGAGACCGATACGGATTCACCAACCTCCTCACCTACTTCCGTTGTAGTCGTTTCCACCCCAGACGCCGTGGTTCCATCCATATCAGCTTCGGTAAGTGAATATCCTCGTGGGAAGGTGTGGGAAGTTATCATGTTTCGTGGCCTAACAGCACCCTGTAGATCACGCCAATTCTAGAAACTGTCAAGTCTTTTTCCACCACAACGGTGTACCCTACCGAAACGCCCTTGCCCGTCTCAGACAAGGAATTTGGCCCCAAGCATGATCCAGACAAGATCGTCCAAACCAAGAGCGACGCCGCTGCCGAGCATGTCATGATCGGAGGTGGATCTATCGGTGAGTAGCCTTCTATCAACAAACCATGCAGCCCTGCTCTGCCTTGTCCGTTTGCTTCAGAAACTGACTCTCTCTTGTGCGAACTAGGCGCATTTGTCGGTGTGTGTGTTCTCACTTGGCTTGTGTGGAGGTTCACCAATGCTCGCAAGAAACGAGGGAGCACGTTGACCACTACGAGCGACGGGTCGTACGGATCTCCCAGCAAGGGGAGCCTGTCTCGACAAGCGCAACTAGGCAAGCTATTGGGCGCGATCCCGTGGCTCAGGGACCGGCCTTTTGCTCAGAAATGGCACGCGCTCGAAGACGGGCAGCCGGACATGTCTGAAAAGGAGCGCGAGAACCAGCGCGCGCAAGCTGGGTCAGAAGGGTTCAATTTCAACTTTGGCGTCCAACAGCCCAGCACCTCGGGCTCCCTGGGCATGCCTCAACTCAACACGGACGTTGGCCAGGTCCCGTACGCTACGGTCGAAGTCAGCCCGGTCAGCTCGCTTGGGGTGTCCACCTCTCCCAGCCCCTATGGTAACATTGACACCATGCACCCTTCCAATGCCCCTCGGCCGGCCGTAGTCGCGTCGCACCAGCACCAGGTGTCCAATGCATCGGTCGAAGGCCAGTATGGAACCTGGGTTTACCGGACGATGCCGGACGGCTCGGCGTCGCAGCCCGGAACGTACGACATGCAACAACGGCAGGCTTACAGACTGAGCGAGATTTCGTCGCTCTCGTCGGGCTTTGGGGATGGCGACATCATCATCCAGCAGTCCTGGCAGGGCCAGGGACTCATGGCTGGAGCGGTCGCCCCCGCCGGTACCGTACCCCAACCGCCGCCGGCCGCCGCCGCTGCGGTTCCGCAGAACGCGAGGCAGAGCATGTCGCAAGCAACAGACGCGGGCTGGAGCAGGCGAGATACGGTCTACACGCAAACGAGCGAAGATCTCCCACCGCGGTTCCGCAACATCAACAGTTGGGTCGACCAGCAGAAAGGGCGGATCCAGCGAGCGGTGACTAGGGCCAAGGACGGGGGCGCGAACCCGAACGGAGGTGTCGATGACGTCGTACCGCCTGTGCCGGGCCTCCCTGCCGGGACGGGTCCGCATGGATTGCCTCCAGAGCCGCAATATAATATGATGATGCCGGATGGCGAGGTGCCGAGGAGAGTGGAAATGTGAGGTCACTAAGCCAGCCACATGGCCTCGGGTGCGAATACTTGCACCACCTACCGCATTCCTTCTTTCTCTTCTTCGACATCTTTCTTTATTCTTATCATTCATATTACCCAATTTTTGGCCTCCCAAAGGCCCCCTCCCGCTCCTCTATCTCTCCTCGCTCTCGACAAGGGAAAGGGGAAAGGGAGGCCTGCCTCATATCCATCACTTCATCTTTCTATCTTCATTTTCTCTTTTGTACACCCATGTCTCTTTTTTTCCTTTTCGTCCACTTCTTTGTGGACTTGCAATACATATCGATACCTTCTAGAGCGAGTTTAGCACAGCACTAGTTTAGCGGATAGAATACTCCGTTTTGGAAAGGCAAATGCGAAAGAGGCGGTCTTTGTTAGCACGACTATGCATGGCACAAGCGCATACGACCGTGCTAAACAGCCGTGGTACCTCTTTTGGCTAGGCAGAAGAGGGGTGCGAGGCGGGTAGAGGGGCGCAGGAGAAGTGGAAAAGACATTTCCCGTGTCCGCGGTGTGGGGAAGAGTCCTGCAGCAGTTGTTGAGGGAGAGATCTCTTTGTGAAGACATGGAGATTAGAGGTGAGAGGATGTGTCAGGAAAGATGTGTAGATATATATATTCTTTTGAGATCTTTGAGAGTACCTTGCTGCTCTTGAAAAAGAAAAAAACTAACAAATCATGACCCCTTCGTCCTCCCGGCTCCCAAGTGATGAGTGATCTGACGAAGAAGATGGAAGACAGAAACAAAGTAGTGTAAACAAATGGGGATATCTCGTTCTATGGGGGAATCATGAGGCTAGGTACCATAAACTAAGCGTAAGATACAACAAACAAAATTGAGGAAGACGGGTCGGCGGACCGCAACAAGGAAGGCAGGCGAGCAAGACCCATTCGCAGTCGAGATTTCTTTTTCTTTTCTTTTCTTTTCTTTTTTTTTTTTTTCGCTTGATCACATCTTGATCACGTAGGCCGGGTCAAAGTTCTCGTCCTTGGGGTCGGGGTTCCCCTTGAAGTCGTAACCCCTCTGGTTGGCGACGATGCGGGTGCCCTTGACGAGCATCTGGGTAGAGAAGTGGGTGTGGCCAAAGGCCCAGACGTCGACGTCGGACCAGCCGCCGCGGGGACGAGGTCGGTGACGAAGGCGGAGGCCCAGGGCTTGTCGGCCTTGTCGGGCCTCTGGGCGCCGTGGACGCAGGGAGCGTGGTGGGTGGCGACGAGGATGCGGCGGCGGGGGAGGGGTAGAAGTGGTAGGGGTTGAGGTGATGATGGCGAAGGGTCCGACGGGGCGGAGGTGGGCTCACCCGTTGGAAGGGTAGTAGTAGTAGTAGGCGTAGCAGCAGCAGAAGAAGCGGGGACCGGGCTTTGCTTCCTCCGCCTCTTGTTCTCCTCGGTGACTCTTTTCACGGCGGCCTTGTGCTCCTGGGCCATGGCGCGCAGCTCAGCGCGCAGCCAAGCGACCTCTTCGATGTGCTTCTCGTTGTGCTTCTCGACGGACCACTCCTTGATGTGGAGGTAATCGCTGACACGGTAAAAGACGGTATCGCGGGCCTTGGCGGGGACGCGGGACCAGAGGGTGCAGCCGAGGACGGTGAGGTCGGAGTCGGGGTCGTCCCAGCGGGTGCGGTGGAGGAGGAGGACCTTGCCGGCGAGGCAAGGTTCGGCGACGAGGCGGCGGGCGGCGTCGAGGGCGGCGTCGTAGGTGAGGCCGTAAAAGTCGTGGTTGCCGAGGAGGAGGAGGACGCGGTCGTAGCGGGGCGCGAGGGACGCGAGGAAGGCGAGGTAGTCCGGGTAGTGGACGAGGTTGCCGACGTCGCCGGCGAGGAGGAGGATGGGGGCGGTGGCGGGGAAGGTGTAGGTTGTGTATTGGGAGGCGATTTCGAGGTGGATGTCGGAGAGGAGCTGGATTTGGAGTTCGGGGCGGGTGGGGGAGGGGAGGGGGGTTGTGGGGGAGGGGAAGGGGAAGGGGAGGTGAGGGAGTTGAGGAGGCGGGTGAGGGTGTTCATGGTGGGAGAGAGAGAGAGAGAGAGGTTGTGGGGAACTTGGGGCGATAAAGGAGGGTGGGAAAGGAGAGGTGTGAGGGGAGGAAGTGAAGAGAGGAAAGATGGGTGATGCGCAGGACAGGGCGCGGTTGCAAGGAGGTTTTGTTAGACCCTGGACGTGCACATTATATTGTGACGATGGTGGGCACTACTTATACAAGAAGTTGGGAGATAAATTGGATTGTCTGGAAGTGGCTTCACGAGCCGGTGGCCTCCCGTCTGTGGCAGGGTCACACAAAAAGAAAAAAAGAAAAAAAAAGGCTATTAACCCAAGTGCTCAAAGGGGTAAGAAAGTCAAAAATGAATGATGGTAGTAATGATGCATTCTAGACTTGGGAAGAAAAGAAAGTTGAATAAACCATGGGTCCAGTGTTTTCAAGGGGACAAGACATTCATGGTTCACAGTGGGTGACACCTCCCCCGAGAGTGGTGAAGGGGAAGGGGATGTTTTGGTCTTAGCTTGAGGCGAGGCAGCCAAGGGCGGGCGGTGGGCTCGTTTCGTGGTGGTTCCCTGGGGTTCAGCTTGGGCTCTCAGCCTCAGCTAGGGCGCGTGGTTTAGGTTCAATGTTGGACCTAAACGGGATGCATCCACGATGGGCGGGTTTGTCTGGGCTGGGTGCAACGATACCGCACGGCTCCCATGGCTCCCGTCAAGGACTGAGAAATATTGGCTATTGGTGGCGGGGGTGGGGATCCGGGGATAGGCAGCCAGCGGAACTCGGTCGCTTCGTCTTTGGAAAGGAATTGAGTCTCAATGGGAGATGCTGGGTCAAACGAGGACAAGCCCATGTTCTTCACATCCCTCGTTCGGGGCAGGACAAGAGCCCGTGTAGTTCCATCATGACCGAGTGAGAAACTGCCTGTGGATCAATGAAGCGGATTTGATTCACCCATGATTTGATAACGTGGCTGACTCGATCTATCATTGATCCGTCGATGGGTCCGTCCATCGTTGGAGGCAAGTGGGCCTAGGACTTAATGGCAGTTGGGAATGTTGGACAACACTGACAGAGCATAACAGTTCGCATCAAAGGTGCGTGGTGCGTGGTGCGTGCATTGGTAAAGCACGCGAGCTAACGGGGACTTGCACCAATTTCAGGACCAACTGCGTAGGACTCTGATACCCTACATTGGGCTCAACTTTGAGACTCTCAGGAATTCGTTTGGTAAAAAGTAAAATAAAGAAGAAGAAAAAGTACTTGAAACTGGCATGTCGGTTATTTCTTCATCATTTCGCTCTTCACATTACCGCATCCGGGTCTTTCGATTACCTTTTGTGTCGGGCTTCCGGGCCAGCGTTGAGTTAAGGTGCCGCCAATTAGCCCATAACGAATTATTGCGTCGGGCCCACTCCAACAACCGTTATCCGTTATGCTTATCCATGATGGCAAGCCGCCCTCCGCATCCGAGACGAGGACGATAACGGCCAGCATGTCCAGGCAGACAAATTTTTGTATTATAAAAGTGGGACCAACAGGCGACTTAGAAAAATGAAATGGAAGAATCAGAAGCATCCGAAGCATCATTCATCATTGCATCGTCTGCAAAGTCCAAACAACGTCCAAGCCATTAAAATTCCTCACTGAAATCTCAGTCGACCAACGACTTTGAAGTCTCTCTCCTTTCAAACTCACCCCCAGTCTCGTCACCTCTCATCCCATCCACCATGTCCACCTCCCCCAACACCCCTCTCCTCGCCGGCCTCCACGGCCCCGCCAAAACCGGCCCAGGAGCCTCTGCCGCCACCAACCCCCGCCAGCGATTGCCCGCACGGCCGTAACAGCACTCGGCATGGCCCGGGCCGGCCTCGGCGCCGTCGTCACCCTATTCCCCGGCTGGACGGCAGGTCTCATCGGCATCTCTCTCGATCCCGCGGGCGCCGTGTTCGCCCGGGCCTTTGGCGTTCGCGACCTCATCCTCGGCGAGCTCCTCCTCACCGCCGGCGGCAACCACGCCCCGGACGGCGGACGGCGGGAGGTGAGGAGGATGCTCTGGGCGGGTCTCGCGGCGGACGCGGCGGACCTTGTCATCGTCTCCTTCGCGTGGGGGCTGGAGACCTTGGCGGGTTCGCGACCGGGAGCCTCGCCGGGCTCATTGCGGTTTCCATGTTGCTCGGGGCGGAAGGACTGATTGGCTTCAAATGATGGACTTGCTAGGTTAAGCGGGGGGGACAGGCGTGAAGGAACGAGGCGAGCATAGGGCCCCAGTCTATTGGATATGGTTAGGCCAAGAGGAACGTTATTCGCGGCATCATCCCATCTCAGAAAAAGGCCCTCCGCTGCCAAGATGCGTTATGGTAACTCGGGGGCGCGAAGTCCATCCGAGGAAGTATCTGTCCTAGAGAGACGGTTTACACACTATGAAAATTGTACATTACTTGAATCGATTATCCTAACTTGTTTTCTCTTACCTGAGCCGTCTTTGTACTCTTCTATCTCCGCCTTGTCCTTCACCCATTGTGTGGTCTCGTACTAGTTGGCCGGGACGCGTAATAAACTCGCCCCCAGCCGTGAACCCGCACGAGTGTTTCGGTTGCCGCAGAATAGTAATACGTCAACCTCGTGCGAAGCTTGCTCCGCGCCAGCGTCTCCGCCCCACCGATTCGCTAAAGGAATATTGATACATGGTAGCCATTGGATCAAGTTTGACCTTGCCGTTTGTATTTTCCTTTCTTTTTTTCTTTGTTCTTTCGTGATGTGTGAGTAGGTATCGGTCTTCTAGGTTTCCCTTTCGAACTTGCTGGCATTTATTCTTCTTTGCCCACTCGACAAGACGTCTTGAACAAGGGAGACAGGCACGGATATGGATTGGGATTGGGGTTGGATGTGGAGTGAATGTGGCGGTTCTGCCAAAAGTGGGCTGCGGATGGAGAGGGATGGAGAAGCTCCAAGCGTCAAACGCCTCCTTCCTTGAGAGCGCTGGCTCGCTACCTAATACGTTCCTTCCTCTTGATCGTTTGACAGCATCGACAACATCGACAGCGTCGCAAACGGAGCAAGTAGGTAAAGAGAAGAGGTTTTTCCCCTTGGACCCATTCTAGTTTGCATCTAGCCAATGGATCGAAAGAATACACCTTTTCTTCTTCTTCAACTCGCCTCCTATTTTAAAAATAACAGAATGGTGTAGTAATACTCCAAGGCCCAAAAAGGTTTCGCCCCCTTTCCCCCAAATCAAGCTCGAGGCTGAGCAGGCACACACGCGTGTACACCGGGCGCATACCAGAAAGTGGACCTGCCACTGGTGCGCTGCCCCTCCACATCCTCGCCCTGGTCCCCTGTCCTAGTCCTTGGCCTCGCCTTTTGCGCTTTGCGTCCCACCTCCATGATGACGCGAGCTGAATCCCAACCCTGCCTCTGTGCCCTGCTTGGCCCAGCATCGAGCGAATCCGTCGCTTTCCTGCTTCTTTGTTCCTCGTCGTCGTATTCCTTCCCTTTTCTTTCCCCTTCTCCCCGCAAAATACAAGTACCGACTCCCCTACCTTCTAGAATACTTTTAGCTCTTTCTTTCTTTTCTTTTCCCCTCTTCATCGAAGCGTTCCCGTAATAACCCTATTACGTTGACTTCCCGCCATCTAGTCCGTCTTCCTGTGCTGCCGGCGACTCGTTTAACAATCGAGGCTCTCTCTGGGGTTGTCTAGCTCGTCTTGATTTAATTCATCTTGCCTCCCTTTTGCTCACACGTCAAGGAGGGGTAACCGATCCCTAGTTCGCCAAGGCTGCCCTTTAAGAGAAGAGCGCGCCGTCCCCATCCTCTCTCTCTCTCCGCCTCACCCCTTAGGAATCAAAAACCCCTAAGCCATCTTCTACCGAGCCTACACGACCTACCCATCTGCGCACGCGAACCTCTCACTCCTCTTTACCCGCCCTGCTTCCTCCACCAACCGCCCACCATGCTCGACGAAAACCTCCCCACCTTCCGCTTCCAAGCCGCCAAAGACTCCCCGGCCAACACCCTCCTCCTCTTCTCCGAGCGCGGCTCCGACCCCTCCCCGACCTTCCTCATCCGCCGCCCCGACCCTTCCTCCTCCGCCTCCCGCGCCAAGTTCGCCGCCGCCCTCGCCGACGCCTCCTTCCCCTCCATCATCTACGCCGAAGCCCTCGTCGAGCCCGAATGGACCCAACCACCCCTCTCCACCGCCGAGGCCCGCGCCGCCGCCGCCTCGGGATCCTCCGCCTCGGGATCCTCCGCCCCCGCCACCCCCGTCGTCCCTGACGTCGTCTCCCTCTCCCTCTACGACCCCGACCAGACCGTGGTCCTGCGCCACATCCAATCCGGCTGGAACAAGAGCGAGTCGTGGGAGTTTGAGATGCCCGAACGCTCCTTCAAGCTCCCCTCCGCCAGCCTCCTCGACCGCGAGAGCCAGGCCGCCGCCGCCGGGCCCGACAACCCTACCTCTGGTGGGCCCGACCCTTCCGTGCCCCGCATCATGTTTCGCTGGAAGCGGGACGGCCGCATGAGCAAGGATATGACGTGCTACCTCGTCGGCAAGTCTGTCGACGGCCGCAAGAGCCGGGAACCCGACATCACCATTGCCCTCTTCGCCCAGGGCAAGTCGGACGCCCTCACCATTTACGAGCCCAACATGCGGCGCGTCGAGCTCGAGGACCGCAAAGGGCTCGAGGTCGTCCTCCTCCTCGGCGCGGAGCTCATTCGCGGCCTGTACCTCTCCCCAAGCACGACATCTTCAACCTCTCCGCCCCGGCCGGCACCGCCTCCACCTCCCCGGGGCGACGAAAAACTCCCGCCCCTCCGGCTCCCCTCCCGCCGCCCTTCCCGTCATGTCCGGCGCCGTCGCTGGCGCCGGCGCCATGTTGGCTGCCTCCTCCTCCACCGCCGCCGCCGCCATCCCCGCAGGTGGCAGGCCCCACTCCAAATCCAACCCCCGCCGCCCTCGACGCCGAGACCAAGCGCCTACAAGCCACCGTGGCCGAGAACGAGCGGCGCAAGGCCAGGAGCGGGAGAAGCGCGACCGCGAAGAGCAGGAACGCATCCGCAAGATGCTCAAGGACGAGGAAAAGGAAGCTCGACGCCGCGAGGCCGAGATCGAAAAGGAGACGGAGCGCCTGCGCAAGGAGTACGGCGTCCAGGGCCAGCAGATGCCCGCCAACGCCAACGCCAACGCCGTTGCCGGGCCCTCGGGCGCGAGCCGCCCGCCCTTGCCCCCGCGACCCGCCCAGGGCTCCGGCTCCGGCTCTAACCTGGCTCCTCCGGGCGCCTGGCCCCAGCGCCCCGTGAGTGCCGGCCCGGGCACCTACCCCCACTGGTCGCCTCCTCCGCCACAGCAGCAGCAGCAGCAGCAGCAGCAGCAGTTTGCCGCCCCTCCGCCCCAGGGCCAACCCGGCGCGGCGTCTTCCTCTCACGGGGGCCTAAGAAGAAGATTGAGGGCCTCGTGAGCACTCTGCAGCCCTATGCTGCCGAGGCTGCTGCTGGCGTGAATAACCTGCTGCACAGGAACGACAAGAAGAAGATTCAGAAGAAGAGGAGCGTGCATTTCTAAGAAAGAGGGGAAAAGGGGGCAGACATTGGCCAACCCTTCTCCTGCTGCTTCGAGCGGCCAAACCGGCTCGTATAGTGAGGACAAAAGAGTTTTTCAGACTTGCACGAGGCAGGGGGGACCTTTCTAGATGGCGTAGAATCGGCGATATCTTTTGAGTTCCATGCTCACTCTTCTTTTCCTTTTTTTTTCTCCTTCGTTTTTCTTTCTCGCATCATTTAGCCTCCACCTTTGCCCCTCTCTTTGATAGTTCATGGCTCGCTCTCGTCCCCTTTATGTGCCGGGTGGCGAGGAGCAGGCACCTTGTTTGCTTTACGGCGCATTCGGAGTCTCTGGTGGAAACGACGGATCATGAGCGGCGGACATGTCAGTGTTTTTTTCTTTTTTTCGAGTGAATCCTCCACCGCCTTTGTTTGTCTAGCATCTCCTCCTTGCATCTATAGATGGAATAAAGATATCTACATGCTTATGTACTAGACGTGTCATATCTTTCCCGGGGCTCTTGAAGACCTCGAGCCCCCCTCTTGCCAGCCTTTGTAACCTCGTCTCAGAACGGCGTACTATGGAGAACCTGCCTTATTTACATTTTCTCCTTTTCCTAGTTTGATGACGTAGATTTCTCTTTTGCTTCTCCTTGCCCAAACAGAGTTTACATTCCATCATTTTGCGTTGGTCAGTTTGTGTCAACTTGCCGGAGTCACAGAGGGCCGGATAAGAAGCTGACAAAATGGCAAGCTAAAGACGGGGAGACACCTCATAAGAAACCAGAAAAGGGCAAGACGAAGGAAGGGATGCAATTCACTAATCATGGCTCTTCCCATTGACCTCAACCAACTACAAGATACCGCAGCGGGCCACGGGAAACAAGGGTGGCAACTAAATGGGCCTACGATCCCCATCCCCTAAAGAGAAGAGGTTATACATCCACATGACAAGATTTCATCGCAACAAGATCGGAAAAGACGAGGCAAAAGAGATGACTCAGATATCCTAAGCATACACAAGAATCCAACGACCTGGAACCCTCCACGAAAGGAGAGAGAGAGAGAGGAAGGGGAACTCCGCAGAGTGTCCCATGAGAATAGAGATGCGAGCCAAGTAAGAACAGGATGCAGGACCAAACGGACGGGACACAGAAGAAAGACAAAAAGGGAAGGGGAAGAAAAGAAAAGTCACTCGCCGACCCGCACAAAAGAAACAAAAAGAGGCTCCGAAAATGCCAAGGCCAACTTGGAAAGCTCTATCCCATAGTCCGTGATCTGTGATGCATCCATGTAGAGCCCTTCCGCAGTATCGGACTCCCGAGAAATAAGGGTCCTCCAACGTACAGGTTCCAGTCCCTTTGCCGGCAACTCACTCTCCTACCCGCCAATGTAGGGAGCCCCAGACACGCGACATATATGACCACCCAAGCATATTTTGCTAGCTACTGGATGCCCAATAGCCACATTATTTTCCAAAAGAAAAAGAAAAAAATAGAAAAATACAATGGGCCAGTCGCCCGATCTCGGTGTCTTGCCTCCGACGTTAGATAGATGAGGCTCGCGGCACCCAAGCGCACCGTATAAGATAGCCAGACAAAAGAAAAAGGAGGCGCAGAGAGAGAGAGAGAGAGAGAGAGAGAGAGAGAGAGAGAGAGAGAGAGTGGGGAAGAGATCGAGAGTTGGGGAGGAGAAGCCCAAGAGGATGTCTCCAAAAGAAGCAGCCCGTGGAATAACGCAGCGCTATGCGGGGGTGACTGGTACCTATACCCATAAAAAGAGAAACTCCGGCAGAAAGTGATCATGACATGTTGTGACCCGCCTAGAACCAAAGCTCGCCGCCCCGTGGCTAGCAAAATCGCCGCGCGATACGATGCGAGGCTAAGAAGAGATTGCGATGCAACGGTAGATGAAAGCGGAAGCTCGGCTCAAGAAGCCCAGTGGTAGATACCCTAAAATGGGGAAAGGTGGACGGTGACCGACAGCACCAGGCTGCCAAGGACGTTGCTCGAGAATCGAATCAGGAGGGCAGCTGTGATTTTTCGTTGCTTGTATGTGAATTTTTTTCTTTCCCGCAGGTTTTATTCTGATTTTTGGTTTTTGATGGCGTTAACCGGCCTTGGGGGTAAACTGCAGCATCAAATGATGCCTCCCGGAGGGTCATATGGTGTAGCAGCACCTCTCGCTGAACCGCCTAATCCCGCGCTTCCGGGCATATCCGAGGTGAGGTCGACTTGGGCATTATTCGTTTTTCGTAACATAAACATGGGTTTCTTTCCTTCCCGATCCAGTTGCTTGAACAGGATGAGGGGTTTCTCGTCCAGGCCTAGGCATCTCTCCTGATCCCCATAGACAATATACAAGGCGTACTGGTCCCATGGTGCATTTATTTGATACTTTTTCAGGGCGGCAGGCAGCACTTTGTAGCAGGGATCGTCCATGCTGACACGGAAGGACTTGAAAATTTCGACCGAGGCGTTGCTCGAACTGGGGGTATCCGGCGCAGGGGTCTCCTTCCTTCTCGGGGCTTGTATCGGCTTCTCTCGTGGGTGGTCATTCTCGGCAAAGGTAGATCGGGTGGAAGGGGTGGGCGCCTCGGCCCGGTACGATCGGGAGGCGAGCATCGTTCCACCAAGACCGGTGGGAGGGGATGTGGGCGATGGGATGTTCGGGGGCGGGAAGATGGGCGACGTGCTTTGTCCGGAGCCGTTGACGGCCGCCAGGTGGGATGAAGAGAGTACGGCGCGTTCGGCGGCGTTGGTCGGGTCTAACGTTTGCTCCACCAGAGAGCGCTCGTGGGTAGTTTGGAGGTGGGTTGGTGAGTTGTTCTTGGGCATGGACCCGAGTGCCAGTTTCTTGGTCGAGAATTGACGTCGAAGGCCGCCAGTGGATTGGCTCGACGAGGGGGTGGGTGCGGGCGGCGACAGCGTCGACGTTTCGAAGGCGTAGACTTGGTTGTTTGGGTTGTTGGGCAGGGGTTGCTGGGCGTCTTTGGCGAGTCGCAGGGCGGGGAGCATATCTTCCCGCAGGCGCCTAAAGTCTTCAGTCAGGCGTCTGAGATCGCTCTCAAAGAGATTCATGCGTTCGTCTCGGAGGCGGAGCTGCTCGACAAGCTGCTTGATATCTTTGAGCGTCGCGGTCGCATACTGGGCTTCGGCGTCGGCAGCTGCAAGGGCGCAAAGATGAATTCAGGGTTAGTTGTGCGCGACAAGACCAAGAAAAAAGTTGGGAATGCGATGGGAGCCACGGATGGTCTCCGCGGGCCAGCGCGACAATGGGCGGGGATGGGGCTAGAACATACACAGCGGAACGTAGTGGTCGCTCTCTATGGGGACGTCTTGAGCCTTTTGACGTCGTAGACGCTTTTAGGATGGTCAGTCGATGGCCGACACTGTTGATCCCCATGCTCTTGAGATCATCGTGCAATAAGGCGATTAACGCCTCTCCGACAATGTCGTTTTCTGCGCAAGAAAACACACGTTAGCTCGTTTCTTCATTTCCAATGATGCATGCTCTTGCCCCAAGCAGCACGGACACATGGCTAGATGTCGACAAGAGAAGAGACGAGTGCAGAAGCGCGACAACTGCTTCGTGCTTTTCGTCTCCTCGGACCGAGTTACGCCTGTTCCTCTTCTTTGGTTTTTTTCCCCCTCTTTCTTCCGCTCCCTTCTTCCTCTTTCCCCTCAAAATCATCTCTTTCCAACGCCCGCGTAACATCATCTACCCATTTATTTTCGTCCAATATGCGTCTTTATTTGTTTCTTCATCGCGGGTGGCCGGCACAGGCTGGGCGTGAAAAGGGTTGACAAACCTAGGAAGACATCCGAGTATTGCTGAAGGCCAATGGTGCTGATGAAATCGGCCGTCTCTTCCGCAGTCCATTCGGAGATGATGGTCTCGGGTAACCTATCGCCGCTTCTTTGATGGGCAAATGTGGTGGGTGTGTGTTCGTTGGACGAAGGGAGTTCATCGAACTGGAAGGCTTCGGAGGCGGCTACGGGCGAGCTATCTGCGATAGCGCCGTCGTATTCGTCGTCGGCGTCGGACTCGAGTAGGCGGTTCCCCCATCGAAATTCATCGTCGTCGTCGTCTTCGTCGTCGTCAGGTACGGTGGCTAGAGACAAGGAGGGGATCGTAGTTCGATCGACGAGGAACGGAGGGAAAAAGAAAGAGGAAGGAAGAAGGGATGGGGAGGAGCCGGGGTGGTGTTGAAGGCGGGGAGGGAAAGGTGAGGCTAGAGTGGAGGGAGCGGATTTTGGGCGACGAATGGCTGGGGGCTCGAAATGAAAGACGGGTAGCGCTCAGACTTGGGAGAGCGTGTGGAACAGAAGCGCCCCCAGTCACGGTCCGGGGAGGGGCGAGAATTGGAGCAATACAACGTCTGTCTTTTGTTTTCTTTTTTTTCTCTCTCTCTATTGTCGAATGAATGTGAAATGTGTTAATAAAAAGTCGAATAAAGAGGTCCTAGTATAGCATGAAATGGACGGAACAGGTGGAATAGAGAGCGAGAAAGGGGCGAGGGAAAATCCGGTCGTGTCATAGAAAATGCTCTGCCCAGACTGGGGGAAAGGTGAAGCTTCGGAAAGGGAAGAGGGGAGGCCAAGAATCGAGTGCTAGGAGAGGCTGCAATGCGAGTCAGGGGGCCACACAAGAGGGAAGGGAAGAGAAGGGAGTGTCCGTCAATGGGAATGGGCGGATCAAATTTCGATGGAGGATGGGGCAACGCCGAGCTGGCTGACTGGCTGGTTGCTGGTGTTTTTCGCGGGAGCGCCAGCAGTGTAGCGCTGGGTCGCCGGGTGTGTCTACAGGTTTGGGCGATGGGTGCTTCGGCTGGCTGGCAGACCAGTGGTGACATTTGAAGCCCTTGATGGATTCAATGCCTAGGGAGCCGGAGTCAAGGATCAAGCAAATCAAGGGCTACGTAACTCGAGAGAAGTGGACGAATGTCCTGCTCGCATTCTCTTTACCACTAGTGGCTTTGTCTCCTCTCGAAGACAAAGGCGAGGGGAGAGAGAAGGAACATTGAGCTCAGGGGCGCCTTGGACTCGCAAGGTGCCGTGTGCCACAGGGGCAATGTACGACGAAGCTACGCTAACAAGTGCTTGACGACGTTGTGGAATCTACCTGCCTTTCTTCTGGGGGTACCAGGAGCACGATTTCTTGGCTGCTAGATCTTGATAAGGTTGGACTGGGGAGTTTGATACACAACACAGGGTTCCCTCAGAGAAGAGCAGGAAGGGGGCTTGGGGGTTCGACGTTGTGTTCAGGCACTGGTACGAAGATGAGGAGTGACTCGTGAGAGGGAAGACAAAAGAGCGATTGGAGAGACTTCGCACTGTACGGCCTTGAGAGAATCTGGTACGATACTACAGTAGTTAATTTCGCCTGAGCACGGTCATGGGGAGGTTCCCGGGACTTTTTGACTTGTACGAAGTAATTCTTGCAGTTCACTCATTGCTCTTGCTATTTTTCCTTCCCCCGCGCTTTGCCTCGGAGATTCGTTCCAAAAGTCTCTTTTCTTTCTTTTTCCTTTTTTGTTTCTTTTTCCTCCTCTTTAACATCTCGTCCCTTTCCCTCCCTCTTCTTTCATTCTTCATATGCTTGTAACATCGACCCCTCTGTGTTAGGTCACCTCCCCGTCCCCATTCCCTTATCGCCCTCTCCCGCCGTTCTCTTCCCAGGCCTTCTCCGGCCTTGCCCATAGCTTTTGACAAGGGCCAACGCCAAGTCCTCTGAGCGGAAATGGGGCATGGGGAGCACACCTGACACCATAATACCCAGCCAACAGGACTAGTCACTAGTAACGTCAGTGCCAAAGCCCAAGCCGGGGCCTGGGGGCAGCCAAGGAGTGGGAGGGGCGGAAGGAGGGACACCCACGCAAGGGGTGCTTCCTCGAGAGGAGCACCAAGGAGCCCAAAGCAGGGAAGGGTAGGACAACCCGGCGCTTGTCCTGCATATTCGTGCTGTCTCGCCCGTTGCGTGGGTGCTGTGTTGTCTTGTGCATGTGCATGTCTCTCTGTCTCTCTCTGCGTGTCTGGTGCCTGTGTGGCCTAGCGTGCAGAAGAGGAGCAAGCATGTCTCTTTGATCAAATCAATCCAACCCGCCGGCTAGTCAATGAGCCTCTCTCCTCGTTGGAGGAGCGGGATCTACTTTGTGCACCTTGAGGACCACCTTCCTGCCCGAACCAGACTGTCTACGAATAGAACGGACAGGAGGCGAGAGAAAATTTCCCTCAGTGCAACACCACCAAAGGGGCTACACGGAAATGGTGGCGAGCAATAGGACCTGTACCTTTGGCCCAGAAGAGCGTTTTTCATCTAATAAGATTTAGGATTATCATTAGGGGACCACCCAAAATGGAGCAAATAAGGCCCAACGACGATTCCAACCATTGTCGGGCCGGGCTTGCACCGGTGGAAAAGGGGGAGTCGAGACGAGACTGGCTTGACTGGTCAGATTCCACCTGCTCGAAAGTAATATTCCACCCATCCATATAGCTTGCATCTCCGCCCCTGATTTTATCATGTACACAGGTAATACCGAGAGGCCCGCAAATCTGGTGCCGGCGGACGGCAGACGGGTGGCAAATGGCGATGAGAGAGAGGGATATGGTGTTCGCTCTCACTGTCTGGGTCACCCATCTCAATATTCAGTTGATAACTTGGAAGGTGACTATGATCGATCCACCCCACTAAAGGAGAAAAGCCCAACCCGAGAGCAAGCGAGCTTGTTTCTCAAGGGCACCCTCACATTGCCTCACATTGCCTCCCATTGGTGCCCCCTCGCCTTTCTTTTGCACCTGGGCTTCCTTTTCCTTTTGGACCAAGGAGGAATGCTTCCCATTGGGTCTCCAACGAGCCCAGTGGCGGGGTGGAAACGCAAAATGAATGGAAGCAACTCGTCAAGCTCGTGCAGCCCAGTCGCTCCGGTTCCTCTTGGTCCGTGCTGCCTTTTGGGCTACTGCATGATACTTGCATATTCTTTGCCGTTCGAGACGGTGCTCCTTGGTATACACGCACTATATTTAGCCAACCTCAGGCTGCCGAGGCACGAAGTACGAAGTACTATGGCTCGTTTTGCAAGTATAAGGCTGTTCACCGAAATGGCTGACCCAGCAACATCGGCGACGTGCATCAGTTGTGGATGGCTCCATCGCTCGATGGAAGTAATAGTGTATGATCCAATGCTCCAAGCGGTACAACCCCTCCATCCCATTTCAGGACGGGTTTCGAGAAAGGCACTCGACGTCTGTCCTTTCCCGGCAGCAGCGCATTCTGAGGAACCTGGGTGAAACGTGTGCGGCCTAGGCCTCGATTCTGTTGACGATACAAGCGGGGTCGAGTTGGAGAGATCGGTTGGTTCATCGGTCCCAAAGCGTGCCTTGGACCATGCGCCGAAATAAAGCCCGATAGCGAGGGCCAGCCATCTTGGGATAGGCAGATATTTGTATCTATGGGTACACGTATCCAGGAGGATCAATTGATCCATTCCACCAGACGCAGGCTTGATCAGTGGGCCATCGCACCTCAACTTCCATCCATCTCCTTGCGGCACAAGATTGCAGTCGCCTTCGACCTCGGGAGAGACGCGCTTGCGACTTGAACAATAAGGGCCCCGGGGGTAAGGACAGACAAGGGCCCCCTCTGAACCATTGCCCCGTGCATGGTTCGGTTGACGACTTGTGTCTGTGCTCGTGAGCCTTGAGTGACGGAGCACCAACGCACTTCAAATCATCTTTGCATGACTACCAGCGGATCAATCGCATTCAAGTGAGACCTTGCTACTGAATACATGCACAAGTATTACAAGCCAGGGCTGGCCATGAATGCAGGCACTGTCTAAGAAAAAGATGGATACAGAAGAATTCAAGTTCAAGCGTACAAATCACACCTTGGCTGCCTCCACCCAGCCAAGCCAGCATTGAAGCAACGACGTAGAAGGAATGTCAACGATGAACGTCCTTCCAAATTTAGATTCTTGACTTGGCAGTGGCGTTGGCATCGACATTGGTCTTTCCTTTTTTCTTTCTTCTTTCGGCCTTGCTTTTCCCTTTCCTTCTTCTATTTTTGTTGGCTCCCCGAACCTTGGATGTATGAGTTTGTAACTCTTTGCAGGGACATGAACAGCAGCAACTCGGGTTGGAGACCATGGCCAGGAGCAGGCCAAATGGCTCAACTCCATTGCAGCCAGCAGCCGCCTTGCACCATCCATTGGACGCAGCAGTGTCCACGCTCACGCAGGTGGCGCTTAAGTCGGCATCGATACTGGCTCGGGCTCCTAGTATTCCTTCTGCTTCTCCCTCTTTCTCCTCGAGATATGGCCCCATGGCCTACCCTTTTGGCTGGTTGAAGTGTAAAAGAAATAAAAATGGACAGAGGATAGCCAGCCCGCAGCAAAGCACAGGGGCCACAAGGGGCCTTGCCTCCAGCGAGGCCAACACGCGATTATCCCACCGATACTCCTCGTAGATGCAAGCCGGCCCTTCCCCCTGATCGCCCCCAAAGTGCACATCAACTCATCTATCTTGAACCCGGGCAAAAGAAAGAAGAAGAAACCGGAGAGCGTAGCAGCAGAAGAGAAGAAAAAAGTGACCTGATTGATTAAGCCACTTGGCCCACCCCCTCGACGACCAAGGGGGCCAAGAGGAGGCCCCATCTTGATGAAGCATTGCCGGTGTGTGGATTTGAGCAATTGCGTCAGAGGAAACACACACGCGACTCTCCTCTCTTTCCTATTCTGTCCAAGTATGTTCGTTGTTGCTCGTCGACCCCGAATTCGATCTGATGGAATGGCCTTTAGTCGATCATTCTATGATCCGCGGCTGGGCAAAGTATTTCTAATTGCACCTGCTGGCGAAACACCACCGCACGTCCCAGATGAAATTCCCGGCCCGGAGCTTTCCACACCCGGCGAACTGCTCGACAGCCAACTTTCCATCTCCCCTTTCCCTTGTCTAACTGCCCGTCCGGGGTCCCCGCCCTATGGGATCTCACCAAGCCTAAATTCGCCTGTCCTCCAGAAGGGGGCAACAAGCGGAACAAGGAAAAGAAAGGTGGGCTCCCAGGTCCTCGGCCGCTCCAACACATCGGCAAGACCCGAGAGGCGTTGAAAAGGTGCAAAGGGACAGCAAGGCCGAGAGAGAGCAAGAGAACAGAAAAGACGAGAAAAAGAACGAAAAAAAAACGGGAGAGAAAGAGAGAAAGAAGGGCCACCTCTCCGTCGCGTCTTCATTCTCGGTTGATTTACGTTTGTCCTGCAGGGCCAAGAAAGGCATCCGTGGATCCGCCTCTTCGAGAACACCGGCAGGCCGTCTCGCCTATTTTGCTCGAACGAGTTGCGCTCTTCTTTTTCCTTGATTCTTGTTCTTTTCCACGTCTTCCCTGGCCCTATCTCTTCTGTCTCCTTCTCGAAGTGACGGCCCCGCGCAAACTTCCCGACACTCCGAAAGCACGCGGCCGAGAGAGTACAAGTGCGAGAGCGAGCGCGATGGAGCAAAAACGACAGGGGGGCTCATGTTGGATGGCCTTTCTTCTCACCCCTTTTTTTGTGCTTGAAATCGTTGTTAAAAAGGAAAGAAAAAAATGGATATGTTCGGAGATCGAGTTCCTATTCTGGCTTGGCCCAGGGACCAAACAATTGAGAACACGAGCTGGGGGTTGCGCTGAGAGTAGATGCATCTACGTTGAAACAGACCAAGATGGCCAAAAGGTATGAAAAGGGAAACGGAGTAACAAGAAACTCCCCAACCCCAACCGCTCGCCATCCACGACCTCGTATCGTCAGCTTCAGGTCCCGCGGCAAAGAGCTCCACGTCCCACCACAAGAGGGCTCTATCCTTTTTTTTTTTTTCCTTTTTCCTAATCTACGTACACGAGGAACAAGCAGACCTCCTCCTTTCTCCACTTCTTACAGGCGTTGTGGCGTGTTGAAAGAAGGGGCAGCTGTTGTTCGTTCTGTCCCAAGAGCCCATCTTGGAGCATGTCAAGATTGAATGACGAAAATGCCACTCGTTCCCCGTCTTATGATGGTTTGTCCCTTATTTTTCTCCCATCTAGCGTATTCCAGAGCTCCTAGCCTTTTGTCCCACGATACTACCCCAAATCCTGCCCCCAGGGTCCCAGCACCTCCAGCTGCCTAGTCTCACCGTTGGCGCCAAACGTCCACGCTACTCATCCACCCGTCCACCGCGACCCTCCATCACCAGCGTTTCAGGTTCTCAGCGCTCACAAGCCGGTCCCCCTCCCATCCCATCCTCATCCCTCATCCCCATGCTAGTCCCATTCCTTCCCCTTCCACTTTGAACTTGCCCTCCCTGGTAGCCTATTCCCTACTACCACATAGGTACGCCACGAAAGGGGGAAGGCCATTCTTTGAGCCTCGTTCAATGCGTGCGCATCTGATACGATGATACCTCTCGGGCTTGGAGTCGTCGTCGAGCCAGCGCGAATCATTTCTTGTGCCCGAGGGGGAGTCGTTCAACTCGAAACGATGAGAGGGTGAGAAGGGAGAGGAGGAGGAAAAGCAACTTTTTCATTTTCAGCGTAGAGCAAAGAGAGTGAAGAAACCCGGGAGAAAAAAGGGGAACCATATCTGTAAATCCGTAGCCAACGACGCATCGTCATACACCTCGTAGTGCCCAGCAAAGGTCACAACCCCACGATATGACGCCAGCCTCACCTCCTTAGACTTAGTATCGTCATCATCATCCCAGAGCTTCTTGGCCCCTCTTCTCCTCTCCCAACGGCTACCCGTCAACTCAATGTCCTCGTCTTCTCCCATCCTCTTCGTCTTCCTTTCTTCTTCTTCTTCTCTGGCTCACCCATCCGCCAAATCTCCCTCTTCCCGCCGCCGCCCCACATGAACCGCCTGCGGGGCATCTCTTCGTCCCCACGACCATCCCACGACCCCCTTCATAGCACCAATTCTCAACCATGACTAATACAAATCCCTCTCCCGGACTAGGGCGCAGTGGCAGAGTGGTCTAATGCGTGAGACTCGAAATCTCATCTCTTAGGAGGCGTCCGTTCGAATCGGGCCTGCGTCGTTGGGAATATCTCCCTCTTCTTTTTTTCTTTTTTTTTTCTTTTTTTCTTTTTCTTTTTTTCCGTAGCTTACTTACCCTTGGCGGGGTTGCCGTAGTTTCCCCCTCGCTCCTCGATTCTCTTTTTTGTCCTTGTGCTTTCGGTTTTTCCTCCCTCTCCTCCCCGGCCGTTTTCCACACTGATTGTCCTCTTCTTGCGTGTCCATGTCACGTCTTCAGGATGGCTTGTCTCCCCTCCTTTAACGATTTGCGTCTTGTGTATAAGTTGTTATAATCAGGTAGGTGGACCTTTGTGGGGACCCGTAATACATAGCCTTTCGAGGAAGCAAAGATATTACTGTGAGAGAGGCGCTCTGTTGCATAATGCGTAGCATATCACTAGTTGTCATGGGGGCAGAGTGGGAGAAGCGTCATATGAACAGAGGAATATAAGCATCTGTTTGTTTCTAGGCTGTATTATTGTTGCGTCCATTACTCCGTAGGTCCATGTTCTCCTGATTTCCTTTAGAAGTCACCATTACTCTCGCCAGTCTCACGCCTCTCCTCCTCCTCCTCCCTGGTCCAACCTCCCAAGAACCAACCACTACTCCTCCCCCACCAATGGGTGACCCTTTGCAAAATAGAAACTCCGATGCACTCCAGGACCATGCTAGGCTTAAATAGAAAAATAAAATAGGGGTCAAACCCTCTTCCCAACTCCCCTGAAAGGGAGCGGGAAGCAGGGATGAAAGAAAGTAGAAGAAGAAGAATAGGTCGTTTAGGGAGAGAAGACCAAGATTGAAAGGATCCGAGATGCTCGTCAATGGTTTGTAGGCAAGATTAGGAGGAGTGGAGGGAAAGTGACGACGAGCGAGGAAAGGGTTGAGAGCCTCGGGCTAGCAAGCTAGACCAGTATGTGGGTGTGTCCCTTTGCCTCCAGCCTCTGGGCCCAAGGAGAAAAAGGCGACACGAGGGGGAAAGAATCCAATATATGCAGTCTAAAGCGAATGTCCAGGTCCAACAACACCGACCAGTAATACCCAGATCTGTCCTCGGGGACTCTGGAGCGAAACACCGTCTATCGTCGGGCGGAAGAAGAAAACCACGCAAAATTCTTTAGGTGTAGAACGACGAAAGCGCAAAGAAGGGCCTATTAGCAACGCCAGTCCAACAAAAAATGCCTAGGGCACTCCCCGATAGAACGAGCTCCTCTGAATAACCTTTCATTATCTTTTTAAAGGGGTATAGATTAACGGGTGACGGGAATTGAAGAAAGAAAGTGTGAAGAAAGAGAGAAATAAAATGAAGCAACCGCCTTGGGTAGAGGCGGCGGAGCAATGAAAGGGCTCCACGCAGCCCCTTCCCACCCCGAGAGAGATGGGACCGGCGGCGGCTGCCGGTGTGCTCTGTTGGCACTTCGCCCCGAGGTTAGCAATCCGGCCAAGCTCGCGTGGGCTTCTATCGCAGGGGAAGCTTCGCGTCCTCGGCTCCTCGGGCGATGACGTCCTCCAGCTTCCACCGGGGGCTTGATCGGGGCCTTGTCGACGCCGTTGGCCTTACGCCACTCCTTCTCGTTCTCATGAGTGATGCCGGCAGGGAGGTGGTCGGCTCCTCCGGCAGCGCCGGTCGAGTACTTGAGCTGGATAATGTCGCCAACCTCGTCACACGCCGCGAGAAGTCGGTCCATGTCTTCCTTGTTGTGTGCCGCGGAGACGCAGAATCGGGCCCGCGAGCTTATCAAAGGCGTCGCAGGGTAGCCCACGACGACTACCGAAATCTTCCGCGCTAGCATTTCGTGGCTAAAGGCCGACATTTTTCCGGGGTGGTAGAGAACGATGGGGATGATGGGCGAGTCATCGTGGCCGTACACTATGAAGCCGAGTCGCTTGAGACCGAGTCGGAGGTAACGGGAATTGAACGCGATGCGCTGGAGTCGCTCCTCGCCTTGGCCAGGGCAAAGCTCGCCCGTAATCAGTTTGAGCGATGCCAGAATCTGCATAAGAACGGCAGGAGTGGGGGACTCTGCGAGCCGGCTGGCAGCGTTGGAGCAACGGAGCTTCTCAATGATGTCCTTCTCGCCGGCGATATACCCGCCGTTGGCGCCAAAGGACTTGGTCAGGGTACCCATGAGAATATCGACCTCGGCAGGATCTATTCCGAAGTAATCACACACGCCGCGACCACGGGGTCCAAGAGCGCCGACGCTGTGCGCCTCGTCGATGAAGAGGTAGTACTTGTACTTCTTCTTGAGCTCCAAAAGTCCGGGGAGGTCGCACATAGTTCCCTCCATCGAGTACAATCCCTCCACGGCAACGAGAATCTTCTTCCAAGGACGATGCGTGCGGGGCTGGCCTTGGGAGATGGCTTCGCGGAGAACCTTTTCGAGATGCTTCATGTCATTGTGCTTGAACGACCTGATAACAGCACCGGAAATACGGGCACCGATGCGGATCGACGCGTGGTTGAGCTCGTCAGAGATGATGAGGCAGCCCTTGGACACGAGAGCAGGGAAGGACGTCGAGTTGGTGACAAAGCCCATGGAGAATACCATGGCGGCGGGCTTTCCGACAAAGTTGGCAATCTCGTTCTCGACCTCGACAGCAAGGTCGCTCGTACCGGCGTCGGCGCGGGGGCTGCAAACACTCAGGCCGTACGTTCGCACGCATTCCTCGACGGCATCGGCACAGGGGCCTTCCGACTGAGCAAAGCCGAGATAGTTGTACGAGCTCATGTTGAGGGTTTCGGTAAAGGTACCAGTCAACTTATAGGTGATGTTGAAATCCTTGGAGGTGCGGTCCATGAGGGTAATAAAGCGTCCAGGGACACCGGTTGTGGGACGGGCAAAAGAATCGTCGATGCGCCTCTTCAGACGGCGGACGTAGAAATTATCAAAGTCTTCGTTGAGGGGAGCGTACCCGTTTTGAGCCTTGAGAGCTCTGTACATCTTGGGGTCGCCAAAGCGCTTACCAAAGAAGTCGCGGGCGTGTCCAAAGGCAATAAGCAGCAGGTAACTGATATAGGTGGTGAGGACGTAGTAATAGGCCGGCTCGTCGATGATGGGAGGCTCTAGGGGTTCGCCGTGATGCTTGCTCACGTATAGGTGGCTAGGATGGTTCAGAGGGCCGAACTGGGCGTCAAGCTTAGCCTGGCGCTCGTCGGGGTCGGAGGAAACAAGAGGCTCCGGCTGACCCGCTGCGTAGTCGTCGCCCTGTGCCGCGGTGACGGAGATGGTAGGCACCTGCACCGTGCCGGCGCCGCCCTGGGACTGTTGCTGCTGCATGGCAAGCAGAGTTTGCTGAGGCAAGTTCTGGTCCTTGCTCTTGGAGTTGGCAAAGAGATTGCTGAGGCGGTTGCCCCTCGAGGATGATGGTCGTCTTTCGCTAGTTCGAGTGGAAGACGACATGTTAGAGTTGGAGAACAAGTTTTGAAGTTTCCGGGGCATGTCTGCCGAGTTCGACCGTGTTAATTCGAGGTTGGCTCAGTTGTAAACACGACAATGCGTATCGCGCGGGAGGCGTGAATCGGCAATGTGGGGAGGCCAATTGTTGATCGAGGAACAAGCTCTTAAAGGCGGGAAACCGAGGCAAGATGCAGATTAATGCCAAGCTATACCTCCTTTTTTTCCTTCTACCAGAAGCCGCGGGTTAGTCAGAGAACAACTCAAAAGGCCAGAAGAAAAAAGCAAAAGCCACCCCGAGAGGATCAAATTTTTGATTGGGGTTACCACCCAAGGTTCGGGACGGGATGAGGTGGCTAAGCATTGCGCAATCCTCGGTAGAGGGTAAAGTAGACGGGTGATGTAGGTGGAGATACTGGGCAAATGCGCGAGAGGCACAGGGTGTGTGACACTGGCCAGATTGGCATTGGATCTTTCACGGCATCGCGACGGCCTCAACTGCTGTCAGAGGCGGGACTGCAGGTCCAGCTGCAATCAAGGAGAATGCAGAGAAAAAAGAAGGCGCCTGTGTGCAATGCCGCCAGCCAGATCCGGGTTGGGGGAGAAGATGACGGGGAGGCGCACACGCGGGTAGCCGCTAGAACGGGGACAAGGAGGAAAAAAACGGAAAAAGAAACAGTGCTGGGGGTCTCTATCACGTAGCCGGGTAAAATAGAACAAGACTCACACCCCAGGACGATCGGTGCTACGAAGATAGGAGAAACAGGTGCCCCTGCTTGGGATTCTCGCTACCTTTTGCACGAGATGAAGACTCCAATGGCCAAAGTTGGACGTTTGGTCGGGCGGGACGGCTCCTCGAGCTCCACGGTCGATTCTAGGTACGGGCGTTGGGCAAGCGGCGCAGGAAACGGCGGCACCGGTGCTTGGACAAGGGCTCGTTGCGGTCCTAAGATCTCGGAACTCGAATCTCGCGATGGGGCCGGAACAAAGTGAATGGTTTGGAGGCAAGCTACCTCACGCACCTCGGAAGCGAAGCTCGAGGGTTTGTCGGGAACTCAGTTGCATATCCCAGACCAGGAAGCGAGGGGTAGGTGGTCGAGGACTAGAGTAGACACAACGCGTAGGGAGGCCGAAAAAGAGGAGAAGGAGGAACTAAACAAAGGAAGAAGCGAGGACGAGGCGGAAGAAAAGAGGTAAGAAAAAAAGAAAAAGAAAAAGAGTTACAAGTCAGGTTGGCGTCGAGGCGATATCACGGGCAGGGGATTTTTAGGGAAATTTTTCGAACCGGGTCCTCCGGAATTCGAAAGGGGGCTATAATGTAGCGACACACGCTCGATATCAGTTGAGAAGCAGACGTTCTGCAAGTACCTTCACGTGGAGTGTACGCTCCACTGCAGCCAGGAGGCGGACCAGGGTTGAGAGAACATTGGGAAGGCACCACCGCCCCCAAGCAGGCTAGGCTATCGGCCGGTATTGATGTAGTGCAAAGTCTCTTCCAGTTGGTTATTACTCCCCAAGACTCCCCAACACCCGCGGGCTTGCTTGTGATGAGGAGGTACATTGGGCCAAGTATCGGTGGAGTATCCCAGCCGAGGATTGCATGGGCTCGAAGCCTATGAGACGGTGAACCGCACCAGGGTATCTGCACTAAGTACAAAATTAGACTAGTTTTTACTCATGCATCAATGTACCAATTCCAGTCATCCATCTCTTTGCTGTCATGACAAAGTAATTGCAGGACTTCATTTCAGTGACCAGCTCCACTGGCAAGATGACGTTTGGGACAGAGAAAAGGGGAGGGAAAGAAGGAGACAATCGATAAAAGTGGAAATGGAAACAGTCTGACAGGAGGTGCCCCGTAAATCATCTCTTTCAGTTGGAGCCGTCCACTTCAAGGCTCTGCTAGTTCCACCCAACGTGGCTACTCTTTGCTTGGGAGCTCCGCGCTTCGCGACGCGAGGCAAACGGGAGACAGAGTTCGTTCGGCCTCGCTGCCATCCCCTCCCTCCCCTCCCATCCCCGCCAAGCTCTCGACCTTGGGAGGCTGGGAGAAGAACGAAATTTGCAGAGGGGGAAGAAAAGAGGGAGGGGAGACATATAGCGGCAGCAGGGCAGGTCTAGATTCTTTTTCCCAGCAGGTGGACACAGACGACGCCTTGACACAAATGTCAAAGGATAATGAAGGGGGCCCGTGTCTGAGCCAAAGGCTGGGGTTGACAGTGGACAGGAGCGAGGCGAGTGTCAAATTCACCAGCTTGAACGGGATCAGGGAAATCATGTGTGGAGTCAGTTGAGTGGCTCTGGTTGCCAAGAAGTCGAGGCGGTGCCGACATGTTGATCCCTCCTCCTCATCCTCCTGCAAACCCCATCGAGCGCAGGAACCATATGGTCTACACTAGTTGTCCAGACTCGCCAACCTAGAAGCCCGAGATCTCGGCAAGCATTATAAGATGCCACTCAATGTCTTCTCGTTCACGTCGGCCTTGTGCACTGTGGAACGGGTATGATGTTCTCATCCTATCAGTCATTCTCGGTGTGATTTTTAATGTTTAGACTCCCGCTGCACCAATGTACCTGGTCCTTGCCAGAAACATTATTGCTCAGATCCACATTGGTTGATCGGAGCTCGGCGATCAGAGCTTGGTTGTAATATTGTCCCGAGCCCCAAGACATACATACTTCGCAGGCAACATCGCACACTCTTTGCGCCTACACTACAAAGCCAACCCCCAAAAGGGACTGGCACCTTTTAAACGAGCAATACGCGTATGTGCATTTTGTTATCTTCACCGACGTTTTCGTTTGTTCGTGGTTATCTGTCTCGCCTCTCTCCACCATTGATGACTGAGCCTGCTATTCGAGGGCGCTCTCACAAACTGCATCAGTAACTCCCAGCCCACAAACCGCCAGTATTTGACGAGTAGAACACAGAGTTTGTAATGTATTGAGAGTGTGATTTGTGTGTAGGTGAGATTTTGCTCAATGCTCAATGTAGCGCGCTTGCGGTGGGGGAAAAGGGGTTGTGAAAATCAATTGAGAAAAAAGGAGGGGCAGGTGGGGATACGCTAATATCACAGGAGAGACAGGAGATGATGATACTTTGGAATAGGAGGCACCCGCCATTTGCAATTTTAGAGGGGAGGCCTCAGCCCGGGACAGATGCGACGAATGCGACTTTTCAAAGGCGGTCCGGCAGGCGCGGCTGCAGGGTGCCAGGATTAGCAAAGTCAGGGATAGTGATTACGGCTCTCCTCATTTGCGAGCACCAAAATCAATGCTCGTGCTGGTTGGTCCTTGCACCGAACCGGGTGGTGCTCATTGCTCACTCCCTTGGGGATCTACCCAGCACTCTGCATTTCCGAGAGAGTGATGAATTGTGGATTGATGCGTGGCGGGAATACCGCCGGTGGTGTAACGAAGATCATCTTGCAAATATTGCTTTGTCCATGGAGCATTGAAGTCCGGACACACATTTTCTCAGTTATTAAAGCTTTGTCCCCGAGTGCTGGAAGGTACCCACTGGTCGTTGAGATGCGCTGAGCTCCGGTACATGATAATAGATGGAGGAGTCCAAGACCAGGAGCCAAAGGGGTGTTAGTTGATGATAAGCTCTCCGTTGTTCGGTATTCCTAGCAGCCATTCCATGAGCACCATCATCCTGCACGATCCTAGTTTCGTCAATCAATCTATATTATAACAGTTCTCTAGCTGAACGGAGGTTGTTTTCTGGTCTCTGAAGATCCATCGTTGACGCAAGTTCCGTCGCATCCGTAGATTTTGAGTCGGGTGCTTTGGCTCTAAGGGCTTTGACCTGGAGGGTTTGAACTATGAATATCTCTGACTCCGTGATGCCCAAGTAATTCAAGATTCCCAGAGTTGGCTATGATCCGAGAGGTAAATTCTTTGACTTGGGCATGGGTAAGAAGAGGGTGGGGACTTATCACCACCCCGAACTTCCCATGTCAAGTTGAACTACAGCCGACCAATGCGGAAGTAGCTTATACCGATCAAGGTATTCTCTTCCGGATTCTAGCTTCCTCGGAAGAAACTGCAACAACCGGCCGCCTCGCAGCTTCCAATTCCTACTTTTCATCCTCTTCCTAGTTGTGAAACAATGGCAGAGGCAGTCACGATTGAGACGCTGTCAACCGGTGGGGACCTAGACTCCATGGCGCCTGCTCGGTGTAGTAACGGCAAGAGAAGGCGTCGACAGGGCCAATTAGTTCCTATCATTTCATACTTCGGGAGTGGCAAGAGCATTATTACGATCCCCTTCAACGGCATGCTCCCATCTGAATGGCAAGGTGGGTGGCTGCTCAACGTGGGTGGCTCAACATGAAGCTAGCGTATATGCCCCTCCGGTTCCCACCGAAATTATAGCGACCGAACCCGGTCCTGGGATAAGACCCGCTCGAGGCCGGGCTTGTAAACCGACCCTCAGCAATATTGAACATTGAAATATCCAAGTTTTAGTGTGCCGTGTGGTCAATCCCACAGGTCAAAAGGCAAGCGCCCCTCCTTCAACGGGTATCTCGCGCTAGAACGTTGTGGGGAGGCGCGCTTTTGCAAATGGTTGGGACTGGACTCTCCAGCTCCTTCGGACTCGATACTGCGCCGGGGAAAAAAAAAAGAGAGAAAAAAAGAAAAGGAACGCGCCGACCGACCCGAGGCAAGCCGGGCCAGGCACGCGCCGGTCTTCGGTGCGCACAATTTTTTTTCCTCCCTTCCCTTTCGTTCCTTCACGATCCCCGCCGTGGACTTTCCGCGCCCACTTCCCGATTGGTAGGTGAGGATACAAGCCACCGAGACGGCGTCCAGTCTCTGCCCCTTTCCATCTGCGAGCTACCCTTGATACATAAATCAAGTTTGCAACCTAAAAGAAGCTGTGTGCCCGAGGTCGCACCCTCCTCCACTTTAGTACTCTTTTTCTTCAAACGTCAACTCCTCTTTGCTGCCATCCTAGCTTTTCGGTGTAAACGTTGAAGAGCCTAACCGTGCCTCTCTCCCCTGTTGCGAGACCAACCTGTGTAAAGAAAGAAACGAAACCAACCTATTTGACCCCCACCATGCTGGTTCAGGTACCTTCCCGAGAGGTCCTCTGGACCCCTCCAGCCCCGCGCTCGACCGCGATGTGGAAGTTCATGGAGGTCGTGAACCAAAAACACGGCCTCGACCTCCAGGATTACCCGGGCCTATATAAGTGGTCCATTGAGAATATCGGGGCTTTCTGGGAAGACGTCTGGGCCTTTTTCCAAATCAGGGCCTCGCGCCCATTCGACAAGGTACGGCCCCGCCCCGCCCCGGCGCCCCTCGGCCCCCTAATACTCCTTACCATGTTCCCAATGCCTAACAACGTCTCAAGGCGCTCCCCACAGAAGCCATGTTCCCTCGCCCCGACTTCTTCTCCGGGGCTCTCCTAAACTTTGCCGAGAACCTCCTCTTCCCCGAGACCCCGTTGACCCCGCCTCGACCGCCGTCATCACCATCACCGAGCGCGAGTCCGACCTGGTCGCCACCACCTGGGAAGATCTCCGCGACGCCGTCCGCAGGTGCTCCAATGCCCTGCGCCAAGCCGGTGTCCGCCCCTCCGATGTCGTTGCCGGCTTCGTGTCCAACCACCTCGAGTCCGTCGTTGCCATGCTCGCAACCGCCGCAGTCGGCGCCATATGGACCGGTATCAGCCCGGACAACGGCGTGAGCGCCGTCCTCGACCGGCTCTTGCAGATCAAGCCCACCGTGCTCTTTTCCGACAACGGGATGCTGTACAATGGCAAGAACTGGAGTAGCGTCGATAAAACCACAGAGGTTGCGGTGGCTTTGAAGGAGGCGGGCTTGAAGCACGTCGTCGTCATCGACAACCTGTCGGGCGTGGGCTTAGGATTGGAGGATCTCAAGGCAAAGGGACTCGATGCGCAAGAGTACAAGTCGTTTCTTTCTAGGTATGGGCTCCCGCGCCATCCCCCGTTAGAAGCAGGAACGTCAGATGACACACGATTTTACTAACAAATCCACCATTCATAGCGCCCCAGACCAACCCCTGCGCTTCGAGCAGCTGCCGCCTTCTCATCCGCTCTACATCCTCTACTCCAGCGGCACGACCGGCCTCCCAAAGCCATTGTCCACACCGCCCTCGGCACCCTCATCCAACACATCAAGGAACACGGCCTCCACGGCTCCGTCTCCTCCCGCTCCCGCATGCTCTACTACACCACAACCTCATGGATGATGTGGCACTGGAGCGTCTCCGCCCTCGCCATGGGCGCCACCATCATCCTCTACACGGGATCCCCCTTCAAACCCCACGGCTACCTATCCCTGCCCAGGCTCCTCTCCTCCCTCCAAGTCACCCACTTCGGCACCTCCGCCGCCTACCTCACCGCCCTCGAAGCCAACAACGTCCTCCCCGTCAACGACCCCTCCCTCGACCTTTCCCCCTCGAGGCCATCTACTCCACCGCCTCCCCCTTCCCCAATCCACCTTCCGCTTCGTCTACAAGGCCTTCCCCCGCGCGTCCAGCTCTCCTCCATCACCGGCGGCACCGACATCATCTCCCTCTTCGGCGCCCCCTGCCCTCTCCTACCCGTCTACACGGGCGAGATCCAGTGCGCCGGCCTCGGCATGGCCCTCAAGTCCGTCGACTCCGCCTCGGGCGACCGCCTCCCCGCCGACGAACCCGGCGACCTCGTCTGCGTCAAACCCTTTCCCTGCCAACCCCTGACCTTTTTCGGCCCCGACGGCGACAAACGGTACCGCGCCGCCTACTTTGAGCGCTTCGACGACCCCGCCACCGGCGCCCCCATCTGGCACCACGGCGACTTCATCCGCATCCCCGACCCCGCCGTAGGCAACCTCGTCATGCTCGGCCGCTCGGACGGCGTCCTCAAGCCCGCCGGCGTCCGGTTCGGCTCCGCCGAGATCTACAACGTCCTCACCCGCTTCTTCGCCGCCGAAGTCGAAGACGCCCTGTGCGTTGGTAGGCGAAGGGCCACCGACACCGACGAGACCGTCTGCCTCTTCATCGTGCCCGCCGAGGGAAAGAAATTCGACGACGACCTCCGCGCAAGGCTCAAGAGCGTCATCAAAGCCGAGCTGAGCCCTAGACACGTGCCTGGCGTTGTTGAGGAATGCGGCGGTGGCATCCCCAAGACGAGCAACGGCAAGAAGTAAGCTTTTTTTCCCTCCACCTAGTGCCCCATCACTCCATCCCCCTACCCTACGAGAAGAAACCGACGCTGAGAACTGACTGACTCGTCTCAATCGCGTACAGGATCGAAGTCGCTGTGAAACAAATCCTTTCCGGCATGGCGGTCAAGACAAATGCCAGCGTCGCCAATCCCGAGGCCCTCGACTGGTTTAGGGAGTGGGCCAAGGCTCACTAAGGCGCACAATATATATGATATAAAAAAGAATAAAAAAGAATAAACCACCCTCTGGTGAGCAGTCGGGCCAGGAGAAGAGTATTCACTGTTGCTTCTAGAGGCTATGGGGCTATGGAGGAAGTAACATGCAAAGCTCACTACGAAAAAGCCAGCAGCGTAATACCGTACCGAAGCCTTTTGCGAGTAAGAGACGACGGGGGTGGTGATGGAACCTATCATGTTTTAGACGCAAGGATTGATAATGATGATGCCTACTCCTCGGGCTCTTGAGCAGATATAACAGGAGTTATTAATATATATATATAAAGATCCCGATGCAAGGCTGTCCTGCCCTCTTCCGTACCACACCTCTCGCATCTGCTATGAAATGAAGACCAAAGAGCATTCGTATAATTCGCCCTCCCTCTGGCAAGCAGTCAATCAGGCCACACATAGCTAACGAAACACTTTCGGCACGCTTTTCAAACCCCCGCTAGTCACCTAATACTCCTTTCCCCATCTCCGATCTCCTTTCTTTTATACACCTCCTCCTTTTCCTGTGGATTCTTTCCACTCCGCCTTTTAGTATGTATCCCCCGTTTTCCCGATGTTCCGTCTACATCTGTTTTGTGGTGGAGGATGTGTGTTGGTTAGGATTGGATAGGGGTTGAGAAGGCTGGCTAACAAAAGGAAAAGCAAAAGAAGAGGCAGGATTCGCTCCTTTTTTTCTTAAGAAAATCCCATATCATATAACTCATTCCCGTTGTCCATGCCTGGCCATCATGGGGCTCGTAATAAGAAAAGCCAAGAACAAATATAAGGAAGCGAAGAAAGGCTCGGGCGCGGAACCAGGAAGCAAAAGAGATAAGAAATCGATGGAAAGAAAATGGAACGCGAGGCAGCAACGCAAGGCGGGGGAAATATCGCAACCAGGTGGAAGAAACCGAGACATGGGACGCCATAAGTTGAAAGAAGAAGGAAAAAAAGAACCCGGCCCATCCGTTTCGCCACCTTTTCCAGTTCCCAAAATAAATCTCTTCACGACCCACCATACGAGTGCCCGTCAAGGTTTGTGAAGGGCTGGTCCATAACCATGTACTCCAAAAGATCCATGCCACCCACATTGACACCCTCCGCCGTCATAGCCACCGCGCTGTTCTCCATGTTTTGGAAGAAAGCGGGACCAGGGGGAGATACCACATCTCGTTGCCTGGTGTGTTCCATTCATCAAAGGCACTAGCAACGTTGCCGCCACTGCCGGCCCCGGTGCCGTTAGGTCCACCCTCGACCACGCTGTCGATAGCAGCGGGTGTCGAGGGGTTAAGGACCGAAGCGGTCCCAGATGGGTATGGGAATGTCCCGGTACTGAGGTCAAATGGCGTTGCGGAAATGGTTGCTGGCGCCGGTGAGCCGAGACGATCTATCGCGGTGAGTTAGCAAAAAGAAGCCCAAAAGGAGAGCCGGCCTAGGAAGAGAGGGGAGCGCGGGGAGGTTGTAAAGTTAACGTACCGTGTCCATTAATGTCACCTCGAAGTTTGGTGGCATCCAGAGGCCAGCCGTTGGCGTCACTAGTGGTCTGCGCACCGATGCCGTTCGTTCCAGGAACGGCGGTCGACTCGTGGTCGCTTCTGGCATCGGCAGAGGCCGCCTGCGCAATGGTCGGTGCCTGAATGAACCGATTTCGGAGTCTACTGGTCAGGAGTCCAGCAGATCCGCAAACCGGATACCGAGATGCACATCATCCACCACACAGTTTCGTAGAGCCTCGACCGTGCTATCCATGAGGTCAATGCTGAGCTTGACATCGGCCCGAGGCGCGCCGAGAGCAAAGGTTTTGAGCAAAAACATCGCACCACTAATAATGCGAAAGTAGGTCCTGACTGGGGCGTGCTTGAGGTAGCCTCCAGGCAAAAGACCGTCCACCACGATTCTGAGGAGGCTGCGACAGCCGCTTACGACCTCCTTGATGTATTCCTGGTCAACAACGGAAAAGCCGCCCAGCTGGCCGAGCGGCAGCTTCCCAAAGTAATTTTGCGTCTGGGGGAAAGCTGCGCCGCATTTCCGGCGGTGTTGCCACTTCCGGAACCCGTGTTGCCGGCATTGCTGGTGCAACGCTCCACGACGGCCTGGAGGGAAAGGGAGTTGACGTAGATACGGACATATTCGTACTCGATGCTCAAGATGTAGCGGATATAGGGAGGCAGGCGGAAGCGCTCAAACTCGGTGTGCCACTCTCGCAGGATGGGATGGAACTCCTTGAGCATATCGATATACTTGCCGCTCTGGATGATGTCGGCCGTATGTTTCCTCGATTTGAAGAGCTTCTCATTTCCTATGTGCATGGCGTTGCTGATTCCTGCCCAGCAGTGGATTATTTGGTCATCCAACTCGAGGTCGGGAATATAGTTGAAGGAATTGGATAGAGAGGACGGATTTGTTACGGGTGTTGCCCCCTCGACGGTTGTCGGCCGCCTACGCGAGACTGCGGGGTCGCTTTTCCGTAGGGACTCGGGGACCATGTTGGTCCAGCCCAGCCTTCCAGCGAGCTGTGTAACGTAGATAAGAAGCAGCCTCTTGATACGATAGGCGCGTTGGCGGTAGGCTTCCTCCTCATATTCCGGACGAGTGATGGCCCCGTCTCGCAGTAGCTCGTCGATGTCATCAAAAACGCCGAGCTCGTACGCAAGACCAGTAGCCGTGCTGAGGAGCATCCAACACATGCGATCGCTTCTCCACGCCGGCTCCAGCCAGCTCTCAATCCTCTTCCCACCCACTCCGGCGTGGCGCTGCGCACTGTCGTCATTGAGAAAGGAGCTGGGGTCCGTTCGATCGTACGATGGTAGCATCAGCTCGTCAATGGCTTCAGGGGCGGGAAAGTGAAGTGCGCGAGGATGCCACTCCGTGAGTATCATGAGCGACTCGATAGTGCCAAGAGTTCGCAGACTCCCTTGCGCAGCCCGCGCCAGGGAGCCGTGCTGCTGGTCTGTGACTCATCTACGACTATGGATCCCGGAGGGAACAAACCACCACCAAAAGCCTCCTGGCCCCACAAGCAGCGCTCAATCATGCCCCGGAGATAGGACCAGAGCTGCTCGTGGATGGCGTTTGCGCGGCACTCTCCGCCGGTGCCCGAGAGCTTTCGGAATCTCGACGCGATCGTAAGCAGGGTTACGGTCAGCACAGGCTCCTCGGTAAGCAAGGTAAGGTGGGAGCCGGGGTTACGGAAAGTAGGTGGTGAGATAGGGGTGAGTGGAGAGAGGTATTCATAATAGCTGTTACGGCGACAGCGGTTAGCCAGGGCGCTAGAGAAGATTGGTCGCTGGTCGTGTAGAGTCGGGGCGAACTTACTAGTCGATGTATTCAATGGCCTCCTGAGCGGAAAACCAGCCGGCGCGGACGAAGCGGAAGCGGCTCCAGGCCTTGATAGCTTCGGCGTAGCCAGGATCCGTCGCTAGGTTTCTCTTAATCAGAGCCGGGTCTATCCCGGGCTCTACCTTGGGGCCCTTGTGAATAGTAGACCTCGGATGATCTCGCGAGTTGCGGTGCGGCGGCGGAGCGGTGTGGGTGCTCACAGGTGGAGGGTTCGAGGTGGTGGTCGCGGGAGGTCCGTCGACCTTGTCATCGCTCGTCGCGTGAGGCCTACAGTAAAGGACAAGCGCTTATTAGCAAACTCTCTAAATCACCAAGGAGTACAACGGCGAAAGTAAGACAAACCCATCAGTGGCAGCCTTGTATAGAAGGTCAAGAGCATCGTGGGTTCCGTATACGCCCTGGCGCATTACGGTCTGAGCTTCAATGTTCTCCAACTGGGCGTTGGAGTCGTCGCCGGTTCCGGCACCAAAGTCGCTGTGGTGACTACTCGTGCTGGCGCGACCGGTGCTTGTAGTGCTGCGAGCGCCCTCGGGACGGCGCAAAGGTTCACGCCGAACGTGGCTCCCTCTAGGAACAAGAGGGGCTTCGCTGTACTGGCGCCGGTCGGGGGTCGGAGAGGGGGCACCGGTATATAGGCGCTTACGGCCGTTTCGGATTATGTATTCATCTGCGTAGGCATCGGTATCGGGGCCATCATCCGTCTTGCGCTTGCGACGAGTGGCGCTGAAGAAGCACTCCTTACTCTCCCGGCGACATCTCACGCAGGGGGATCATGCGGATTGTCGACGCTGCCTAGGTCGCACCGGACCTTGCGTCGGCGGCAAGGTATGCAGGCCTGATATACGCGCTTGTGCTGAGCGCTGTTGGGTTGTTGGGAAGCGGTCGGAGAGGCGGTCGGCGGGACGGAAGAGGACGGGCTTCGGCGAGAAGCGGTCGAGCCATGGCGGGAATATTCTGTCATTGCCACACTGAGGGTAACGGGAGGTGGAAGGGAAGAGGCTGGGCCGGAAAGGATAGGCACGGCAGGACCGGCCGAGCAGTGGGGAGGGGGCGAGGGCAGGCCGGGCGTGCGCCGCGAGAGGGCGAATGTCTCCGTCTACTCCGGAAGATTCGTTGGTGCTCGACGGCACAATCAAGAAGAAGGTGGGAGGATAGGAGCGGAAGGGCGGGTTTGCGGGTTTGCGGTGGAGTGGAGGATGGGTGAAGGCGGTTGGCGGCGGGTTTTGAAGGGAGGGAGGCGGAGGTTTATCTGCACCGGGGAGAAAAAAAGTGGATGGGTCTGTGATAAAGGATTCGTTGGCGAAGAGTGGACGGTGTGGGCTGGGCTGGGCTGCGGGGTTGCAACAAGCCGCAGACCTTGTTCTCCTTGCTTCTGCCAAATGTTCCTTGGCCTATAGGATGAGTGGGACAAATAGATACGGCAGTGCAGGGAAAATTTCTACTATTCTCAGCCCACAGATACAAATTGCGTCGTGACGACTCAGTGAGGGCAGCGAAACGATAGCAGTCGCGATCCTCCAAGAACACAGCCAAGCGAGAGAGTGAGTGAGAAGAGCGATAAGAGAGGCTAAGAGGGGCAGGGACGGGTAGAGTCGGTCAATGGAGGGTTAAAAAAATGGCACTGCGGAGACGCGACTAGAAATAAGAGAAATGGCGGATTGGGGATGGGGATGGACAATTGTTTCGTCCAACACAAAAGCTTATGTCTCTTCACCCCAGAAGCGCGGATCCACCGACCCCAGCGAGCTAAGTGGGCTCAATGAGATCAGGGCCGTGCAGGTGTAGACAAAGGTCTTCCACGAGACAGGATAAGAGGGGGGCGAGGGACCAGCACCGATTGGGTAGAAGTGAGCGCGAGGACGACAAGAAGATGCGGAAGAAGACTGTGAACGCGGCCAATAATAAGGATAATGACGATGGTGATGATCTTGTATTGTAGGAGAGAGAGGCAAGTGTCTCGAGGGTTACTTGGTGATGGAGGGATGGAGGATAGTGCCTTCCCTTAGCGGTTTGATATTGTTGAGAAAAGGAAGGATCCAGAATCAAAGAGGGAAAGAGAAGGGGGAATGAGGGACGGAGGCGGGGAACAAACTCGACGGAACTTTGTCAAGGACCGGAGGGATCGTGAGTCGGATCGTGGGATTCTTCTCTCCACCTTGCTCCAAGTACCACCTCACACCTTGTTAGTTTTTACTGCGTAATACTCGCTTTGAGGACCTCTACTTTCTAGTGTAGGCCACGATGGATCCCGCAAGGTCACTCGGGAAAGCGAGCGCTGGTATCAATGTGGGTGCGTGTATCAATTGGTGTGTGTGTGTGAGTGTGTGTAGTGTATGTATGTGGTGCGAGCACGTACTTGTGTCCAGGCCGAGCTAATAATGCTGGTGTTGTTGCTGCGCATAATCACAGATCAATTGATTCCTTGTATCCCCCAGGTACCTTAGTGGATGGTGGGGCAGGGTACCTCATCCCTCCGCGGCAAGGTTACTTGGTCCAGGCGGCCAAGCTAACCACGCTCAGATCAATCAGCGCTCCTCAATTGGCGTTCTCGGTTGGCTGGTTGGTTAGCCCCGAGGAACCCGCCAGCCGAGTGCTAGCGCTATGTACTTTGTAGCTGGTTCGGGGGAAGGTCAAAGGGAGGCTTGCTGGCTTGTTGGCTTGTTCTCCCACTTTCCCGCACTCGTCAGTGCTCAACGAGGTCACAAGGGAAGGGGAAAAGACGAAGATTCACAATTGAAACAATCTGCGCAAGGTTGGTCTCCCTGGCATCCCTAGTCCTACTGGTAATTGATTCAACTTTGAGCACGAGAGGATCCCTCCGTCAATTCATCGCCTTCATTCATGACGCCCGATAACCTAGCAATTCACATCCACCCCCAGACCAAGCCCAGGAGGGAGCATAGGCAATTGGGTGCCGACCCGCCACATCCTGAACCTCCGCCCAAAGATTCGCCTTTCGCCCTTGACAAATCGTGTACACTACGTGGATCGGTGACCGAAACTGGCAGCAGAAAAATATCATAAGAAGAAAGGTACAAGAAAGCCCGGTATAGACAAGCTTGTCAGACAACACCAGCTCCGTTCAGGGCACGTGTATCATGATCTGACGAGACCTGGGAACAGGGTTGTTCAGGATTCATTATGATAGAATGGATGATGTTTCCCCAATATGATGGATTTATTGGAAATGCTGGAATCGCCGAGTCCTCGTGACCCCATTTCCCCGAGGGCTTTCCGCATTGTCCGGTCTGAACGGAAAACCTGGGACCAAACATTGAACCTCGTACTCAGCTTTGCGTCAGTGTCAATGACCCTTGGTTTCGTCATGGTACATGCCCTGTACATTTGGCTCCCAGTGCCTCGCCTCCCAGCCATCAATTGCGGTTTCAACCTGGGTTGATTAAGAATACTGGATCGAGCACTGAGGCATGAGACCAAATAATAATAATAAGCGGTGTCCTTCCATATACCTAGAGAGGGACTACTTGTTGGTCTAACCCTGCAGTGGCCACCCTCCACAATATCTGCTGAGCGAGATCCAGGTTTGAACAAGGTTTATGGCGGGTGCGGAGCGAGCTTGTCTCCCAGGTCGTTGACTCAAACGCCAGACCACGAGACCCCCAGGCAGCTCGTTACTTCCTACACGACACCGCACTAATAGCTCGTTCGTCAAAGTGCGCATACCAATAACGGGAGCGAATTCTATTACGAAGTAACTCTAGCATATCCGTGCCTAGAATGAGCACTTGGAAGAGGTTGGACACACACCTCAACATGTCCGGCCTCAAAAGAGGCAATCCCACTAGCTTAATGAAGCTTAAATCAAGCTCTTCTTGTGGGTCGACAAGGTGAATCGAGAAGCTATGACAAGGGGGAAGAAGACAAGAAGAAGAAGAAGAAAAAGAAGAGGAAGACAAAGACAAACCTTGTTCTCCAATTCACTCGCTGCCCGTTTTCCCCCTGTGAATGTCGGCGCTGCTCGAGACTTGACCCCAAGCCAAAACCTGGGTGCAGTGAGAAATTGGCCAACTCATTGAGAACTACCTCGGTAGAATCCATGAACAAGCATCCACTCAATTTCCTTCCATTACGGCCCCGGGCGGGACCGGGAGACAGCAGGATAGTTGCACCGTGAAACCATCAGAGTTGAACGACGACGACACGAATTACCTATGTACGTACCTCGGTAGATACGCGCCAGCTGAGGCGACTCGGCAGCTCGGTATAGGAAACAAGATGATAGACATCCAGCCAGTCGTCTGGTTGATAACGTGAAATTGGTTTGTGGCGGGTGGCTGGCTAGCTGTCGAGGCAAGGCTGGCTGGCAAGCTGGCTTCGTCTTCTCGCCTCCGGAGCGAGCATTGACGGTATTAGGCCCTGGACCTTTGCGGTGGCGGGATCCAGATTTCTGGTCACGCTGGCAGAACAGTCATGTTACCCCAGCTTCCCGTCTCCGGCGCTGGACAGGAAACGAACGCCGCTCCGTCCAACGCTTCCACACAAGCCCGTCCTTGAACAATGGACATGGCTCAAGTTGATACACTCATTCCAACGAGAACCAATAAAGGCGAGATACCAGGTCTAGGAAAGCGCGCAGGTGCCTAGCCGACTAGGATTATATTTACCTTTTTTTTTCCTTTTCCTGTCTTAAGAATCATAGGGACCATGATGACGCTTTTCCATTCCCACCCCTCGCTCGATTCCCCTTACCACATGTAGATTACGGCTCTTGAGCTTCACGGCCCCTATCCCCAAAGATATCTTGTAGAGAGTAGATGAGAGAACGTATTCTTCTCCGCGTGTAATCTTTACAATCGTTTTCATTATAAGAATCGCTGTTTAGGCTGCAAAGAGAAGAAGCATTTTGTCGTGGGCATGATTATGTTACTTGTACAACAGCAGACATTGTTTTTTTTTTTTGTTTCCCCGTTGGGGAGGAAAGGAAGCGAGGGGGCTTCCCTTGAAAATTCCTTGTCATTACTGAATCGCCAGATCAAACGGAGAGTTCCACATGCTGGCCACCCCAGTCGCCACCTCCTCCCCGTGCTCACCTTCGATGTGCTCCAGCAGCCCAGCCCTCGTATACTTAACCCTCGACCCAGTCCAAAGCAGACCCCTCGCCATGCACGGGGCGCAGTAAAACCCCAATGGGCGCCCCGGCCCTTGGGCACAAAGTGCGGCGCCGAGATAATAGTCATGAGCCTCCGCGGCTCCGGTCGCCTAAAGTCCCCGTCGGGTCAAACGCCCGCGGCCACGCCAGCGGGGCCCTCATCAGGCGCAGCACCGCCCAGCGATCGAACAGCGGGATGCGCGCCCCCGTCTTTCCCGGTAGGCTGAGGACGTTGGGGAGCGTATCGAGGAGGCCCCGGAGGGGCGAGGCCTCGCCCCGTGTACGCGACCGCCTGCTCGACCTCGACGGGGAAGTAGTCAATGGCCTCGGTGTAGCAGTAGTAGCACACGCGCTGGCACGTAATGAGGTAGATTTGGCTCCCGAAGCGGCTGGTGCACCGCCGGCACCGCCAGTGGCAGAGCGTCCGGTGCAGGGTCGCGCAGTCGTACGACGTCGCGCCCAGGCAGATGACGGCGCGGAGCACGTCGGGGCAGTGTTGCACGATTCGGCTGTATTCCGCAATGGAGTCGACCGTCTCCATCGCACGGTTGTTCACGCGCCGAAAGGTCGTGAGGAGACGAGGTCCAGCGACAGCAGGACCGCCACGAGCACTTCGGGGGCAGGTCGTTTAGACGCCCGAGCAGGTGCCTCGGCGCCGGGGTGTGACGCCCGTTGTCCAGCGGGCAGTGCCGCGCGAGGTCGGCCCCGTCTAGGGTCACCAAGTTGTTGCCCCTGCCCCCGCACGCCGAAACCCGCCAGTTCGGGCGGTAGGGTGTCGTCTTCGTCCATTACCGCTGGGGAGGGATGGGGGAAAAGGGGGAGGGGAAAGGGGGAAAGGACCGTTTAGCAAAAGCGGGGAAAAGGGCGAACAGAGGAAAGGGGATGGTACGGCCAGAAATCCAACGCACTCCTTTGCTTCACCGTGAGATGCCAGCAAAAGTTTCGCGATTTGAGATAATACTTGGCGGGGACGTCTCGTTCTTCGCAAGTTGACCACCGAACCCGACGGCTTCCCCCACCCCCTTGCCGTCTTTTATCACCTCCCTCTCTTTCCCTCTCCCAAATCTATTTCCTCGCTGCTCAGAACCGTCACGTGTGTGCCAGCACCAGGTCCTGTTGTCCAAATAGGAGGGAGTGGGTGGGGGTAGAAGAAGGTGGTTGTGGTAAAGCGATTGATCAATCAAAGGTCGTGATTCAGAACGAGCACGGTTTCTCCCAATGACGGAAAGGGGGTGAGGAGGGGGTCTCGTCAGTCGCCCTCAAACCCAAGACGTGTGGCTATCAAACGGCCCTCTCCCATTCTCCATTCCATTCCACGTCCCAAAATGCCTCAATGTAAGTAAGCCACCCAGCTGAGGCAGGCGAGCGAGGTCCGTCAGCTGGGATCCCTCTGTGTGACGTCTAAAAATCTATCACTACGTGCTCCTCGTAATCGTAACATGTTGAATGCCATCCATGGATCTCTTCACGGTCTGAATCACTTTTTGAACATGGGGCATTCCAGGTGACGCAGGCGATGCCCGAACCTTGCTCCTCATCCGCCTAAAGAAATCATACCATACATACGTTCTCCCTGTTGAAGCAAATCCTTCCACGATGGCTGAAGAACGCCATCACATCTCTGCCCCCCGGACGGTCTCACCTTCAAGTTTGACCCCTCCATCCACATGACCTCCCTGAGACCCCCTGCCCCCAGCACCCCAGAAGAAAAGCAGCCGATGACATCAATTTTGACTCAGCCTCTCCCATTCCTAAATCCACAATGAGAGGTAAGAATGCAGGTACGCGCAACGTAGATCGAGGAATCGGCCCTCCCGAAAAGCCCGGAGAACAAACAATTCCCCCGCTCCGCGCGAAGAGTCATTTCTTGATCACACACCACATGCCTTGCCCCTGCCATGGAGAGGCGCATCAGGGTGAAGCCACAATAGCAGCATTGGACCACAGGACCGCTGGGCAAGGGAGGGGGCTTCGGCCTGTCCCTCGTACACTACAAGGGTGCCGCGTGTACCGACAGCAACAGGCGAGGCCTGGTGACGTCGTCGTAAGCGAGGCTAATGACTGACATCGGCCGACGCGCCTCGAAGAATGGTCAAGGCCTTGTCTGGCGAATCCTTCCCCTTCACGACACAGTCCGTACCGCTATCGATAGCCTCTACCTCGGTAGTGCGAGACGTAGCCACGGTCGAGTGTTAATCAATCCCAGCCTTGGCGTGTCTGTCATGACCTCGCCGGACATGGTTGGGCGGCCAAGGAATCATCCTCATCCTCGCTATATCTCTACACTAGCCTCTCATAGATAATGTGAAAGGCCAAAAGCTATATTGTTTTCGTTTTGAATAACCTAGGAACAAAAATAAAAAGAGCGTCAATAGGACGTCGCTTTGATTCTTCGTCAAAATGACTTGCTTGGCTTCAGGAAGAGGGGAAAAAAGAAAAAGAAAAAAGAAGAAAAAAGGAATAAATGACTTCCCACCAAGGGTCGAACTTGGAATCTTCCGATTAACAGTCGGACGCCTTAACCATTTGGCCATGGAGAATCGCTAATTCGCTTGTGTTCGTCTACTTCTAAAACATCTATATAAGGCCAATCAAACCTTTGACACGTGACTAAGCATAAAACTGTGCAAAGAAATGGGTGGTATCCTGATCTGCATTTCTTGATGAGATCGAATGCACTTGCCATAGCAACTCGCATCGTCTATTGTATTACACACAATTTCGGGAGGATGTTTATGGGGTGAAGGGGTGAAGTTGAGCACCCCTGGAGACGGAAACTGGTGATGCGAGCCTTAGCCGTCAGCCCGCGTTCTTGACAAACTGTTGTGATCAGCATTGAATGATCCATTCCGTTTATACTTGCTTCAGAGATATGGTAGCTATGCCCTAAGCTCACGAGAAAGCATTGCTCTCGCAGATTTGGTGGCCCTGTTTACGCTCGCTTTACCTCCCTCCTTGCGGAGACTGATCAATGATGTTTACATTCACACTAATCTCTAGAACAAGTTTCGCAATAAAATTTCTTTTTGTGATTATGAAGCACCAAAAGAAGAAGCGCTCCAGCTCATCTATCCTCCCCTTTCCCTTTGCCGCGCCGAATTCGAAAGCCCTGAAAGACGAAACACGTCGTAACAAATGGAATGGGGAACAAAAAAAACAAGGGAAACAGGAGCGACGCGACGGGTACACCCCAAAGGCACCCCGGCAAGGAGTATTACTCGAGGGCAAAGCAGACCAGACATAGACACAGGGAATTTTTGGAGAAAACAAAAGGAAAAAGAACAAGGGAAGTGGTGCAGGGGGTTTCTTCCCAAAACCTGGTAGCTCATTACCCCTGGCTCCTGATGGCCGAGGAAAGGAGAATATGTAGCCACTCCTGGCTCGTAGAAGACGACGTCTCAAGTCATCATCCGATTTCCGGCTTAATTCACGAGCCCTTTCTTCGACTTGGGTCTCATTGTTAGCTTGCTGTTTAATCACGACTTAAGACCACATGGTGGCGCATGTGGGTGAGGAGCAACTTACGAGATGGTCCCAGAGAGTCTTGGTAAGGATCTCAGGCATGGTGTACAGGTCAATAGAGAACTCGCCCGCTTCGGTCAGGTCATCAACTATTAGTATCAATATATGGGGAATTAGGATTGGGATTGTTCACAAAGGAAACCATTCACGGCACAAAGCCGACCAAGGCGCTCCGCCAGAGGTAGTGCCCAACCTAGGCAGCTGGGAAGTTGGGGAGAGGAGGAGGGGGGCGGGGCTTTGTTGAGAGGTTTGTTCTGGGACTCACCATCGATGTCGCTCTTGATATATGTATCTGCGCTCTTGTAGTCATTGATGATCTGAATCACCTTAAGAAGATCATCTTCCTCGAGCTTCTCCATTGCATCGGCAATCTTTTCATAATCATACTTCTGAGAGCTTGATTTCTTGGATGCGATTCCCTTCTTCTTGGGACGGTCGTCGTCCGTGGGAAGAGGGCCAAGCTCCCTAAGCTTCTCTTGGAGAGCTTGGGAAGGGTTCTTGAAGGAGACGGGTCGCACGACGTCGTAGACATTCTGTTGGAAGTTCAAGTCGTGGGCGACTGTGACCTTGGACTTTTCCGTGTAGTAGCAGTCAATGGTCAATTCGAATTCACCCCAACCCTCGTTCTTACAAGCGTAAGGGGGCTTAGTGAAGGCTACACGTATCGTGGGCAGGTTTTGTCAGTATGGCACCCGGAAAGTGAGAGGCGATACGATGAACAAGTTAGACTCGAGGCTTACTCTGAACGGGGTTATCGAAGGAAGGATGAAGGTTGTAGACAACTTTGTTGAAGCACTCGGCCGGGTGCTCGTTGCCGGCATCATCGACCATGAACAGCTTGATACTCCATTCCCTCATGGGGAACTCTGCAACGGGGAAGGCTTATCACTATGCCGATTAACCCCAAGGTTAGCAAATATTCTCTGCTCTATCGTAACCGAAGAAGGCCAGATCTGAATACGTCTTCTGGGCACAGCATTATAGCTAGCTAGGTGAGGACGATGGCCCCGGTTCGGCACTAAAGCATAGTGTAGGGGATTCCTTTACATGACATTTTGCTCGGTGACGAGCTTGATCTTTCTCTATCACGGCGCGTGGCCAGTTAGCTTGGTGTTTTTCACGTTACAGACAAGAGTCTGAAAATGTACTTCAATCTCGACGATGGTTCGGCCGGTCTCCGTAGCCTCATACTCAGAGTCGTCTTGGTCAACGCTCTCCTCCGAATCAGGGCTGGGGCAACAGAAGACGGAGTCGGTTTCCTTGCACTGGCGAGGAGGCTCGAGAGAGGATCTTTCGGCCTGGGCCTGAAGGCTTCGACCCCTTGATCGAGTGATAGGGCCGCTCATTTTCCGCTTGGAGTCGAGCTTTATGATATGAAAAGGGGAGCAGTAGATAAGAAAAAAAGGATGCAGGAAGTGATGGGATGATCCAGGTGTGGTTGGGGGAAAGCATAAGAGGATATGAATTAGAGAGGGAAAGAAGAATGATGACTTTGGGATTTATCTCCTAGTCCACCAAGGACCACTTGACATGGCATCGCGGTAGAAGGGATAGCTGGGCTGGGTATGGGGGCAGCGCAGGGAGCAAGCAGGAGGCCATCATGAGCTGGTAGGTGAGCACCTCACATTTGATCAATCATAGGGCACCACTCTAAACAGAGGGTAGATGATATAACAAAGGGCTTTGGAGATCACAGGCTATCATACCAGTAGGTCATCTAGTCAAGCTGTGCTAAAAAGGAGAAGAGAAGGACAAATAAAAAGAACTTGGAAGCAGGAAAAGGCTGGGGGAGTGTTTGAAGCTCGCGCCTGATAATGTCAAAGCAGGCTATGAAAGCACCAGGATGAGGTGAGGTGCCGACATCGCTGATAGAACACAACACTTAAAAGAGCATCATAAAGCAGGAGATGAAGTGGGGATGAGCAAAGGGGATGAGCTGGAATGCAGTCCAGGTAGGGACTGGGGGTTTGATGAGAGATCGGGGTATCTGAGATCAAGATGAAGGGCAAAGAGAAAGGACTGACAACGGGCAGAGAAAAAAAGAAGGGATATCCAGAGATAAAATAGGCAAGCAGAAGAGAACATACCTCAACAATCATCTTGGTTGTGTCTATCGCAAATGGGAAGAAAGAAAACTGATGGACCAAAGTGTGGAAAAGAACAGGAATTCGTTGTGCCTAATCGAAGCAGGCAGGGGGAGTGCAAAAGTTGGAAGGGAAAGTTAGATTTGGGGGAAAGATGAACGGATCGATGTCGTGGCAAGGTCCGTGATGTGATGCAGGGAGGGAGCAAAAGCAGTGCGGTGACGAATTTTGAGGGTGAGCACGGGGAAAGGGGACGACGGACTGGAGCAATGGGATGGACTGGACTGGACTGGACTGGACTGGGGAAAGCCAGAAGGCGCGGATAACGGAAAGGCAGGAGGGACCTGGCGGAGGTGGAAGTGGGAATGAGAACTTCTGGTCGGGTCTGGTCTTTGGGGGAGACAGAACGGGGTAACGGTACAGAACAGTCGAGGAAGGAAGCTCCAGTCAGTGTCTGGTGCGTGAGCAGTTGACGTGTGTTAATTGTTGTTGCGCTGCGACCTGTAGGCTGCACTGGCACCGGCACTGGTAACGGGCGACCTGTCCGGAGGGGGCGATTTTCGATTCAATCTAATTTGACGAGACGAGAAGGAGAAGGGGGAAAATAAGAGGGAGGATCAACAACTTTTGTCTCTTCACAGGTGTGGTGTGGCCTCAAAAGCTCAAATGTTCCACTGTTGCGATTGTGGTGCAAAAGATGAATTTGATGAGGCCTGGGCCAAAAACAAGTCACCAAGTGTCTGCAAAATGTCGCTCCTCGCTCGCGGTGCTCCTGTATTCATTTCTATTCTACAGAGCTCTAGTCCGACTAGGAAGAAAAAAAGGCTGCCTGCAAAAAAACCACCACCTCTCCGCCCTCTTAGACTTTTCTTTTCGGAGGCATAGAAGAAAAAGGAAGGGGAGAAAAAACCAGTCGCAATAGTGACTTAACCGTCAAAGCCGGGGGCGGGGCGGGTACGAAAATGGGAGGGAAAGGGTATCCGCTTGGTGGCGCGTCTCTCTCGTGCTTTCAATGTTCCAAACCCCATTCATTCCCTGTGCCCCAGACTAGAGTGTCGCCAACTGTATTTCACAAGATAAAATAAAACAAAAAGAAATCGGGAGAAAATGTCGAGAAGAGGAAAAAAATGAACTGGAGTCCTGGAGCGGAGGGTGACATTCACCCATGCAATGCAGAGTCAAGATAAAATGGAAATATTTTATTACTCTGGTGCAGGACTTCCCTAGTCTGGGGACGGGTATTTCCGAGATGAGAGACCTAGCGAAATGGCAAGCAACCTGAAGATCAAAGAGAAACACCGGGTCAATTGGCGTCAGAGACACCAAGAGATACCCCAAGGAAGGACGAGTGGACGGCAGAGTAGGAACAGGTCTGGTCGTCGTTGCCCATCAGGAAAGAATACCCTGCCGGACATGCCAACTCAACCATTCTACCCGTTGCACCCCAGCACTCCCTTTTCTAGCTTCGATCCAAGTCGCCAATGGATCTATCTTGCCCGTCTTGGCTCTCCTAGAAACCACCAAGTATCTTTGTGTGCAGGAGTAATACCAAAGGTCTTACAAGATCGCGGTGAGAGCCACCCGCGCCTCAGAGCCAGCCCAGCGCACCACGGCCTTTGCCGTTCTCAGATACCCATTTATTGCGCCAACAGTCCAGCTAAGCCTTCAATATTGTTTGCTATTTCAACCCCCAAAGCCCTCGAGCGATCGATATCGTAGATTTTTGCTAGAACCCTAAGGAGAAAGTGTTGTGGGACTGCTTTCGCCCAAGGTGAGAAGGGAGGTTGGGGAGGAAGCCTTTGCAGGAAGACCGGGCCATCTACGAACATCGCGTCCTACCAGTGGATTTTTGCTATCCTTGCAGACAATCCATTCTCTTTAGAAGTGTTGATTATGACAGCTTCTACAAATCTAGTACGACTATTCACCTATTCATATCACCGGAGACACGCCTAGGAGGGAAAACCAAGGGCGTACATGTAAATAATGAGGAGGTGGTGGCCGATCTCTCAGTAAGACGTGGTCGGCATTGATGATTGGAGTGCCTTGGCCTTGCTGGCTCTGTTCACCCAAGGCGGCATGCTACAGGTACAGGGCAATAGGCGCAACTATGTTAACCTCAACAACGGCAACAGTCAAAAAGGCAATGGCACCAGGGTATACAGGGAATCGTGTGTTTTTTCTCATTGTGTAATGTCTTCTCGTCTCTCCCCTACCTCCCCATTAGTGTGTGTGAGTGTGAGTGTGAGTGTATTTGTGTATGGATGGGTGGGTGAGAGGGTGTGTGTCTGTATGTATGGGCATACGGGGATCTGTAATATATGCAGTTTTTTTCTTTTCCTAAGGCCAAAGTGCCAGTTCGACTACAAATTCCTATTACCCTTGCTCTCTTCTTTCTCATCTACACCAAGTATAGAAAACAAGGGATCTTTAGGGTGCTTGGCTGCGTGCGATGGTTGTATAAAGGGGCGAGGGGAGGGGGGTGGAGGGATGTTGGCGGGTAGTAGGGAAGAATGAAGTTGATCAGGGGGAGAGCAAGCAAAAAAGAAGGCGACATTGCCCCACAGATTCTACGGCTCTTCCTGCGTGGTCAGTTGAGTCTCACCCCTAGGCCGGGTTGGTCGTCATTGACTCGGGCTTTTTATCCATATTCTGCTACCCCTTTCCTACGAGGCCTTCTCAGCAGCCTTATCCTCCTCGGCAGGCTTCTCGGCCTCCTCGGCCTTGTCGCCCTCGTCCGCAGCCCTCTTGAAGAGTTCCTCATTTTCCTTCTGCGCCTTGATGAAGGCATCCTTGAAGAGGTTGGCATCTGTGAAAGAAATGTTAGACTATGGGTCGCAAAGGTAAAAAGAAGGAGAGAAACAGCTCGTTCTCAGATACTTCACTTTCACCCAAGGAAGAGGGGAAGAGAAGAAAACATACTCTCGGAGTTGGCGAATCGGATGGCAAGGGTGATGGGCTCGGCCTCGCCCTCGGAAACGTCGGCGGCGGCGTTCCAGACCCAAGATCGGTCAGAACCGACGTTGGGAGAGAGCTTCATCTCGGGGACGATGTAGTGGTTGGCGCAGACCTTGAGGGTCTTGTCACGACGCATCACCAAGCGCGTCTTGCCGTTCTCCTTGTGCTTGAGAAGACGGACATCGCCGGTACCGCGCTCCTTCCACTCAGAGGTGTCCTTGACAAACTTGAAAAGCTTGGCGCGCATCTTGAAGACCTGCTCCTCAGACTCCTCGTTGGTCTTGGTCTCGACCTTTTCGGTAAGCTTGATAACGGGGTCGAAGTGGACATCCTCGGACTCGGGCGCTTGATCCTCCTAGACGCAAAGCATCAAACAAGTCAGCAACAGATGATAAAAAACCACCAAGTGTGGGAAATGGGGGCTGGATGAACCCGCCAGCTATGCACATACATCCTCAGCCTTGGCCGCGGCAGCATCGCGCTGGGCCTTGGCGCTTCCAGAGACGTCACCCCTCTCCTCATCGTCCTTCTTCTCCTTCTTCGCGCCACCACCAAACATGGAGAACACGGCAGAGGAGGTGACGGAGGGAGCCTAAATTTCACATCATGTTAGCACCAGCGTGTTGCGCGTGTCCCCTCGACCTTCATGCCATCGCGCGCGGGCGTGGTGGGCGGGGCCAGTTTTCACGACCCCGCCATCCACGCATCCCACATTTTTCTTCCATCCCCTTGCGTGGTCACATCCCACTTGGCTGTTCTGCATCGACGCCCGAAGGGGGAAATAAATAATTCAGTATTAGGGAGAGGAGGGAATTACCTCGCTGGCACCCTCAACCTCGGGCTTGGTTTCGGCGGCAGACATGATTTACGCTAGTTTTTTCGAAAAGTCGCGAAGAGACGGTCGTGGTTGTTGTTTGGGGGATTAGCTCAAATTTCACAGAGAGCCGTCGATTCTAAATAAACCAGCAAGGTCCCACTTTTTCGTCAATAATCGCCTCAATTCAACCGTAAACCTAGACTGGCAATCGAGGGGTCAAGTAAGGGGTGATATGGAGGAGGTGCAAGAAAAGACGGGCAAGCCTCGCTATATCGAAAGCGAAAAGGGAGATGAAACAGGATATATAAGGGGGTAACAAGTGCTCTCGACCATCTAGAGGACCGAGGAGGAAGGCAAAGGCGCAGACGCTGGGGAAGAAAAATCTTGCCCCTCCATCAAAACAATCAAGCAGGTGGGGTGCTTTCCCTCCTCGACAAGGCCAGCCATCACCAGATGGGATAGGCAGATAGCATTAGGCGGCAATCTCCCAGGAGCACCAGAGCAACACCCTTGGACCAATGGGAACAAGTGCGTCAAGCAGTCCGTACCCACGAGAAGCAAGAAGCAAAATGGGGAAATCCCGAGAGAGAAACGCAAAGAAGCAAGAACGTAAGACAAAAAGAAAAAGCCCAGAGAAAACGTACCTATATTCGAAGATGAGTGTTCGGTCGAGCAAGGTGAGGGGAGGTTCGAGGATAGTTTTTGGTGGGGTTGTCAAGAGGGGTCGCGAAGCAAAGCGGGCAGGCGAGCATTCGCTTTTGTTTGTTTCTCCCGAAGACAGAGAGGGGCGGTTTTTTCGCCCAGTTTCCCTGACCCCTCCTTTCCCTGCCAATCCGCCCTGGCTTCTGTAATACACCTTGGCCGCTCCCAATCCCACCAAGCCCACCAAGCCCACCCACACTCGTCACTGGATACTTTGCTCTAAACAAGAATAACGCCCATCAAAACGTGCTAAGGTGACGGTGCGGTGAGTCGTGAGTCGCCCCTGGCTCGCGCTGATCCCGCCGCCGCCATGGGCGCTGTCACTACTCTCTCATTTAACCCATATTGAACCTTAACGGGGGAGGGGCACCAATCAACATCCACTTCCGTTTGACCTCAACAGTGCGTGCTGCGAGCGCCTGCCCGCTTCTCGAATCATCGATTCTGAACTGTCCGCCACATCCTGCCGACTGCACAACTCCTCCTGCACATGTTGCTAGGGGAAAGGGGGAACCTACTGCATCGATGAAGCAATAATACATGGCTACGAGTTCGCGTGACTCTCGAGTACACCTCACCCAGCTTTTCCCAAGCTACATCTAGCAGGACTAGTCGAATCTGATTAAAAGAATAAATAAATGATGCTATCTCTCTAGATAGAAAAGAAAAGGCAGAGGTTGACAAGCATTGGCATACAGAGCGTGATTCGAGACGGAGAAAAAAAGAAAAAGAAGAAGCAGATGTCGTGGACTAAGTGTAATATGATGCATACCAGAGCAAGTTCTCAGTGCCACAATATCAACCGAGAGGGGAAACAACCCAACACCAGACCTTCCAACTCCGTCCCTTCCCGTTCGCCTTCCATAAAGTCCATGGCGTAAAAAAGGAAAAGAGAAATGATGGCGGAAAAAAGGGTGAGGGGAGCATTACCAATGTGGGTTGCAAATAGTGCGAGGCGGGTTCTGTACGCCGCTACATGATGTTGAACAGGGAGGGAGATGATAAAAGAAAAGAGAGAGAGGGGGAAAAGAAGTTTAGCAAAAGGGAGAAGAAAAAAGGGGGGTGGTGGCCTGTGACATAAGTCAATCATCATATGCTCTCGCGCTCTTATCTATACTCTCCTGTTTCTTCCCTCCTTCGGCGCCAGCTGAATGCGGACACCCATAAACCACTCCTAGGCGTCGTGCACGCATTCCTGCGTCCACCGAGTGAAGCCGGAGTCACGGCGGCCTTTGCAACGAGGTCCCTCGCGCATCCCCCGACGCCAGACCTTGGATGCCTGGGCTGAGTCTCGGGCCAACTCGATCTCATCCATGGTAGACCTCATAAAGCGTCTCGCTTTATGAAGGTAGTCCTTGCGCTCTTCGGTCTTGCCTTGAAACTTGAGCCACCAAAGATTGGCATTGATCTGGGCCTTCAAAAGGGCAATCTTAGCCTCCTCTTGTACATCAAGCACCCTGCGATCCCATTCGGCCTTGACCTGGGTAGGGCCGTCGTGGAAAACTTGTTGAACGTGTTCATTAGCAGTGTCCAGGTAGTCCTCAACCGTCTTGCAACTCTGCAGCACGCTATCTTTGGCTCGGGAGCCGAGGTCTTCGGCCCATCGAAGGGCATCCGGGACAAGGTTTTCTGCACTGGCACCGTTTAATGAAGAGGAGATGGTCTCGGCGATGTCCTGGACAACGTGTACGCCGTACTCTAAGGCCTGGTCAAAGAGCCCTTTCCCGAAATCGATTTCAAAGGTCTCGTTCACTTTGGGTTTTCGTGTAGTCACGACGGTGATGTTGACCACGCCGTACGCATCCTTTTGGGAATTTCAATAAGGATGCCCTCGTCGACCGAGGAGAACTTGGCCTTAACCGGATCCCCGCGAAGGACCTCGATAGAGATCGAGTCTTTGGCAAGCCATGAAAGTTTTGTTGTTTGGGGTATCTTGAGCAGAATTTCACCCCGATTTTGGAGCTGCGTGGTGCAGATCCCCTTGCCCTCGGTCTTGTCGGACGAGCGCGAGGGGGTGGGGGCGGAGAGGGGAGTAGGAGAGTGGTGGAGGTGCTGGCGGGGGTGGAGGTGGTTAACGTCTCCGAGACTAACACTGTTTTAGTAGATGTGTAGTTGATGATGTATGTCGACGTCGTAACAGACACTGTGGTTCGCATCACGGGAACCAGGGTTTCCGTCCTAACCGCGTCTATCGCGGAGTTGGGCTGGTTTAGATGACCCTGAAGGAAGAAGGCGCAAACGGAAACGAGACCAACGACGGCCAAACCGTGTACGAGTTTATAGGAGAGGCGCGATACGAAATCGGCAAGCTCCTGGTTTGAGGCGAACCCGAACCATGATGATTTTGACGCGGGAGAGCCCGGAGGCAGGGCAGACGGCATCTTTAGGCTCTCTTCTGCGTAGTGCATCGATGACCTCCGCTCCTCCTCGTCCTCGTCATCGTCATCCTCCCCGGCACCACCGGCACCACCGGCCGTGTACGTAGTAGTGCCCGAAGCGCAGGCTTCTTCAAATTCCTTATCAAGGTGTGTAGGGAAGTCGGGGAATTTGATCAACTCCTCCGAGTCGCTATCGGTGTTCTCAGCCTCGCTATCGTCTTGATATTGCGGACGCGGCTCTTGTACGTGGCTGTACGCCATGTCTTCGTCAACATGGTTGTGTGTGTCGTTGTGTTCTCCATTCTCCTCATCGTCCTCGTCGTTTGTATGTTCCGTCCCGATTAAGCTGTGTGTATCGTCGCTCTGGAGGTAGTCGCTAGAACAAACGGATTCTGTGGGGAACCCATCTTGGCTCTCTGTGTCGGCGTTATTAATGACCTCGTAGGCCGAGTCGGAGAGGAGGCTGCTTTCGTCGGGAGGCTCGTTTAAAGCGTTGGGGTTCATGATGTCTGGATGGCTCGTTGAAACCCAGTTAGCGAGTCGTCGGTTACCTTGAGGACGTGGAAACCTCAGCGAAGGCTCCGACGTCGAGAGTGCAGAGGGGAATCTCTGAGGTCGGAGGGTGCGGTCACGGTCGACGGCGGGAGGTGTTGACGAAGGGGCGTTGTCTTCCATGCCGCGGGGCAGTAGGAGTTTTAAGAAGCAAACGAAGCGAGGTCGCCACGCGTATCGGCTATCTCATACTTTGCTCCAGCGCGGATGGAGAGGGGGAGAGAAGGGAAGGAGGAGTGGAGGGACAGCAGCGTAACCGGCGGAGAGTTCGAGAGTTGGAGATAAAAGTAGTGTAGAGAGTAAAGGTAGAAAATATGGCAACGACCGAGAAGCAAATGCGGCCCCCTTAGCTGGAAGAAACTCTAAACGAGGTTGCCGGAATCGTGAGGCAAAGGAGGGGGCGGGGTCATTCGTGACGAAAGGGTGCGTCGCGGCTTGGAAAGGGTGGGCTCCGCGAAGAGGGGAGGGGAACGGCGGATAGGTAAAGAGATCGAAAGACGAAGACGGCGACGTTGAAGAAAAGGGAAAGAGGAACCAACCGGTGGCCGACAGAAGCGTCAGAGTGTAAAGGGAATTTAGAAAATGTGAAGAAGATTAAAAAGAGGCTTTATTCGTTCATCTGGCAAGCCCGAGGAATGACTCGTAGGATACAGTGTTAGCTAGGATGCCTCCGGCCCAAGACGAGGGAGCCTTGTATTGGGGAGGCCCTGATAACTGGATCCGGGGCCAGTACGGGCACACGGTATTGGAAAGCAGGGAGCGAGTGGGGTTCTTCGGGCGGGAAGGCAGCAGAGGGGCAAATGGGGGCATCAAACAAGGTACCTACGCAGGCAAACTTATGGGGCAGGTGACCTCTGCTCCGTGCAAAGAGGCGGAAGGGAAACTCGCCAACGACGCCAACGACGCCAAACGACACCAGTACTCAGGCTTGATCGTCCTGATGACTTGGGTGAGTGAGGCCAGACCGCACACGGTGCACGTTGAAACAGGGCCAGCTCACTGGACCCAGGTCAGCTTGCAGAAATGGCCAGAGCAAAGGAGCACAAGCAGGAGCGGAAGCTGGAGCTGGGGCGTCAGGTTGGGGTGGGGAAAATCGCAGTTATTGTAGAGGAGGGGGAAATAGCAGGATTAAAAGAGAGAGCGAGTATGCAGGAGGGAAGAATTCGTTCTTGGATGCTGTTCGAATGTTGGAAGAAGCTCAGGCTGGCTAGTGTACCCTTTTTGACAGTTCTTTTTGGATTTCTCCGCCCCAGGTCCGGGTCTGCACTGCGATAAGGCACGTTGAGACGCACTGACGACATCACAAGCTCATGTTATCGCCATTTAGCCTCGACACTAGCAAAGCGATACATGAACTCAAGGCCATCGCTTCGCGATTTCTAAGCTGGATTAAAGTAGCTCCAGGACCTCGCCTGTTAGGCAGAAACGGCAACAACTCGATGCTGTGTGGAAACTGCCAAGACTACCTGCAGTCACCAATGAAATAGGTCGATCAACATCGAGGCCCGCGAGACCGGATCCAATGGGGACCAGCAGCCGGCACCATCTGCATATTCGACCCCCGGTTTCTCGCAGTTGGTTGCTTGGTATTGGGCAAGGTGAGATGGGATGGCAAGATGGATATTGAAGCGTGCTTGCTGCTTTCGACTCGGATGTTCAAGGTCAGTGCTACGCTGGGAATGGGAGTATCTTGGATCCATGGATGGATCTACTGAATTCCATATCGATACCGGACCACGTCTAGAATAGGGCGGGCCTTTTTTTCCAACGCAAATGCAACTTGAAATCAAGATTAGGCCTTTGTGCAGCTTTGTCGTGGCATGGTGGAGGGCCGATTCTCGCACAGACAAACACCTGAGAACTAGATTGACATCTTAATATTGGGTGGAATCACTAGAGTGGGCACAACGACGCAATGATCGGATGGGGAAAAGGTTTTTTGTTTTCCACTACTAAACAATCCAAAATCTTCCGTTCCCGTCATGATACCAAAAGACAACCCGCCATTAAGAAAGAAAACGCCTCAAACACTAAGGGAAATTGGTAGATCTATTGTACATTAGGTGTGATTAACAGCTGTTAAATAAGTGTGGAGCGAACCCAAAAAAAAAGAGCTGCAAGGCGATCTGCATCTACCACCTTCAGTCCTCCTCAGAAGGAAGGTCATGAAGGCACACTAAAGGTAGACTCAACGCGCCAGTCAAGTATGGGAAAGGACAAAAGAAAGGTCATAAGTCTATCGAACGCATTGGCATGACGGAGTAATCTCGAACGAGGAAAAAAGGCGCAGCGCCAGAAAGGGCCTGCAGGCAGGCTCTCGAGGATGCCATGCCTAGGGGTATCGCAAAATTGGTTTCGGGGCAGCAACAACAAGGAGAAGCGAGGAATCAAGGGAGATCAAGTCAATCTGCAGGACGCGAATGCCCTTGTCGGAGGAGGTGACGTGACATGACACCACTGTAGGCGGGAGGGTGAACAGGGTCGTTTACTCCAAGATATCGTGCTTCCTGAAGAGAGATTGTAGCGAGTCCGTACCAAAAGAATCATCATCGGGTATCATCTCAATAATTCCCGTGAGGTTGGCGAAAAGATCTCCCTGGTTCTTGTAGGCGAGAACAGCCGGGACACCAGCGTTATCAAATTCAATCTCCTCGTAGTGGACCTTGACGAAGTGCACCGCGGTATGCCGCGATACAAGTGGAATGAGAGCACGCTCGATCTCAGAGGACACAGGGCACTAAAGAAGTGAAAGCGTCGTGTTAGTAAACGAAGTCCCTCAACACGCATAGGCGGCGTAGGCGCCTCAAGAGACAAGATGGCTGGGTATCATACCTCATGATCATAGACAAAGACAACGACAATAGTGTCACGGCCAACCTTCTCGATGGCGTCTAGGTAGCCAAGAGCGTCGACTTCGTCGAAGCGGCCATATATACGAGCGCTGGGGCTGGTCCTGCGAGTGCGGGGTGCGCGGCTGTTCTCGCTCTCAAGCTCACGGCGGCGCGATTCGCGCCATTGCTGAAGGAAGGACTCCTCGTCGCTGCCGCTGAGCTCGCCATCCGTTTCACTCTCTCCAGAGTTATACTTTGGTTGTTGGTTGGCCCGGGTAGAATCGGTGCCGAACATGGAGCGGCGGGCTGTGCGGACGGCGCTCATGAACCTCTGCTTCTTGGCCATCTCGTAGGACCTCGCGTCGGCAATGACACCCTTGACACCAGTGGAGCGACCCGAGTCGAAGCTAACAGGAGGAAGCTTGATCTCGGCAGCGGCCGCACCGCCGTTGAGCCTGTCGAAAGCGGGGATCCTCATAGCTGCGTCGATTTGACCGTTGCGGTATTCGTCTTCCTCGGTGAGATCTTCGTGGCGGTTGAACCTTGCTTCTTCACGGTCTTCTGGGTGAATGTGATCGTCTGATGAAGTATTGCTAACAAGACGAGAGAACTCTTGTTGGGCTGCAGTGGGGTCTGACATAGTGGAAGAAGGGGGAGAGGACGGGAGATCGTGGAGGGCGGGTCAAGTAGTTTTATAAGTGCAAGGGAGTATGGGAAGAGGGAAAAGAGAGGGAAGACTTCCAAGAGTAGTCTGGTCCTTGCGTGGGTTTGTGTTCGCGTGGGTGCTGGGCGCCTCGTCAGAGAAGTGTGGGTGATTGTCAAGGTGGGAAGCGTGTGTGGGTATATCAAAAAGCCGAGACAATAATAGGGACTCGTGGGACTTGAGACAGGGCAACCAATGATTCACCGAGGTGCTAAAGGTTAACAGGGAACAAGGACTCGAGGGCGGGTTTCGTGACTGGCCGAAGGGGACTGGAGGGGGCACGCAGCGTCAATCACACGAGGGGAAAGTACAAGGATGGCAAGATGGGTAGAGAGTCGGCGGTCGAGGATTGAGGATGGGGGAGGTAAGAGAGGAAAAACTGCGAGGGGCGATGTTATGTTGTGAGAGAAGGATCGGCAGAAGGCGTGGGCGAATTTTGGGTGGGGTGTACGTCCGCACAGCGATCGGCAGGCGCCTGCCAATCAGGAGAGGGGTCGGAGATGTGCGAGGTTAAAGGAAGGAACAATCAAGGGTGAGACAAGGGTCAAGGTCAACGAGAGGAGTGAATTAATTCAGGACAGGGAACCGTGGAGTCATGGGGAAGGAACAACAGGCAAATACTGTTCCGGGAGGCGCGAGGAGAGAGGGCTGGAAACCAAGGGGCGAGCGGTGTGGACTTCTTCTGGAAGGAGTGGGTCCTAGTGGGTTTCTTCTTCCAAGCAAGCACTTCCACAAGCATTGCCTGGCGAAGGGTGGGAAATTGACTGGGGTTGGACAGGAGGGAAATAGGGAAATGGGGGCAATGCGGATATTGATGAAACGAGCTGGGGCTGGTATCTGAAGTTGGGTCAGCCGTTGCTTCAGGCCTAACATCCGATGTCCTCGGGTAATGAATGATTGTGTTCAACACGGAGCATGTCGTCCTGTTCTGGCCGAAACCCTTTCCTTCATTTGGGCCAAGAGAGATAGAAAGGGGCAAAAGCCTTTTGTTTCTCTTCTTCTTTTCTTTTTCAACAGACAAGTTTAGTGTAGATGAGTGATGCGAATTGGTAGGCTAGGGTAATATTAAGCCCGTGACCAGGAAAAAGGGCTTGAAAATTCATGCTCAGGCGTGGGTCAAGAGGAGAAAAGGAAAATTTTCCGAAATTTAGCGCTCAGGCCAAAGATCGATTGATCCATCCAGCCCATCAATCCGTCCATGAATGGACCCCATTTCGATTAGAATTAGAATTTGGGCCAGTAGGCTGAGCTGGGGCGAAAATTAAGAACCATACCCGCTGGACGTCACCCTGGGGGCAAGTGGTGGACAAAAATATCGGGACTGCAAAATCATTTTGTCCACCAGAGCAGGCACCTCGCCACCAAATCACCTCTGTACTGCCCCCTGTACCCTCAGCTATAGTGAGCTTGAATATTTTGCAGTCCTGTTTATTTTGTCCCCCACTTGGGGGTCAGGGCCGTTAGGGAGGTACCGTCGAGATGGAAATGAACAATAAGATCAAATTTAATCGATCAAAGGCACCATGGATGCACAACGCAACTCAATCGAGCACGGCTCGATCAACGCTAGCGTACCTTGATGAGAATCGAGGCCGGCAATGTGCGGAGTGTCCTCTCTCGCCCCAACGTACCGTTTGCCCGCGCGGTCGAATCGGGCATGCGGTGTGATAAACGATCCAATGAATGGTTGATGTTTCATTGATACAAGCAGACTTGGCGCACCTAGTTGCACATGGCTCCTCTTTTACCACCAGTATCTCGAGGCCACTTTACCTGTCAGGGGCACGACACTCTCTCATCGATCAAGAAGAGACCGGCGGTGGCAAGGACGCTTAATTCTCCGTCCCGGCGGGTGGTTTCAAGGCGGCTAGCCCATCCTGTCCTTGTTGGGTTAGCGAGGTGAGGGAATAAGGAAGCGGCGGCCGTTGTTTCCGGGCACCTCCAGTACAGACAGGCGTTTCCTTCTTTTTCCTCGCACTTTCTCCTCTCCGCTTTTGGAGCCAACGTGGAGACGGCTTTGTCGATTCTTGATCCCAAAACAGGTGTTTGCGCAGTGGTGAGGGGCAGGTGGCGGTTAGATTTGTGGGACATTTCGGTACTGGCACATGGTGACGCGCGTGGCACGCAAACGGGGATCGGGGGACACTCTCAGGCACTCTTGTCCACGGCTGAGCCGGCCACCGCTCATCGGCTTGGGTGTTTGGGTGGGGTGCTGACGATTTTGGGCGGCCTTGTGTCAGGACGTTTCAGAATCGACCGAGGTGCTGAGACTCGTGCTGCGAGTGGCTAAGCGCATCCTGCAGCCGCCAACAAGGAGGTTCCTAAATGGTGGGGTGTGCATCGAAATAGGTTTAGTGTGCGTCTGGGATTGAGAACGGCTGCTGTTCCTCGCTGTGCATCTGTTTTTTTCCTTCTTGCGACCAGGAAGGCCAGGACAAGTTCTTTGTTCAATTTTCCGGGATGTCCTAGGCTCGACAGGCTCGACAGGCAAGGGCATTGTTTACTTTACTCTTGACCACAGGCTATTTTCAAAGACACCCCTTGTCGTTCCTGCCACTCATAGCATCGTGACCTGAAGTGAGCTCATGCTCGCGGCAAGTGCCATCAACTTTCTTGGTCAAGTGCCTTCCTCGAACTTTGGGGGCCGTCGGGTCAAGGGGAGAAGTAAGTCTAAAGGAACCTTCCAGAGAGTCCATCGATCTCGAGTACCCGTATATCTGAGTGCCGAGGTCTGTGGCCCGATCATACCCATTTACCTCATCTTTCCTTGAACCCATGCCCCGGAAGGCATCGTGTCGGAAGAAGAGTGATGCTCGTGGGTAATGAGCCGAGCAAGCCGGACAAGGGAGAATTGATCGAGGGGTCTCCATTCGATAGCTTGCCTGATACCCTGTCGTGATAGACGAATTATTGGACTAATCACGTCCACCAAACACCTTTCCCCCTTTTCTTGTTCATTCTTGCTTGCTCAACCCGCGAGTTATCGTCCAGCCGGTGGCGTGTCATCAACGAGAAGTGTGGTAGCATTGCAGAGAACGGACCCTGGCGGGCGTCGAACAAGGGCTATCTCGTGCCACGAGGTCCGCACGAGGGCCATTTGCCGGCCATCGGGCATCTGAGGACCTCAGGCCGGAACCAACCCTTTCACTTGTTGCCTTTCTCAGGCCCCTTCAAGCGGGCTGTACATGGCCATCTTTGCCATCTTCGCCCCTCGTCAGCTTGTCAGCTTGAGCCACGACCAGGGCAGATCTTTGAGGAACCAATGATGTTGTGAACTATAGGATCACTGCCAAGTCTAAATGACCACGATCAAGTACCAAACTCTTCATGGTCGGGCATACCCTTGGACCCCCGTCGTTGAACATGCGACTGGCTCAAGGAATCCCCGCAACATGTCATGTTTACTCGCATGCACACGCACCTTCAACTTGTCTTTCTCAAAAGCAAGAGCCCACCCAAACTTGCCAGACTCGAGTGCCCGGGAGGGGCGAGGAGCTGGCTCAGCGAGAAGGAAGCGCACTGGGCGGTATTATGGATCACCCTGATTCACGCTGAAGAAAGGAGGAGGGTTTTCAAGAGAACGGTATCCCGGTGCAAGCCCAGGGCCCACAGCTGCCATTCGATGCCTCCACAAAAGATTTGATCCTTGTTCATAGCAGCCTCCATTCTCGACAAATACTTCATATTATTACTTCGTACTTCGAAAGCGAGCACCTTATCCCTAGCCCAACTTGGGCTGGGCATCCCTCCCCCTTCGCCCTTGCTCCACCCTTCACTCCACTCGTGTGGTCGCCTGCTTCTGTTCCTTCCAGATCCATCCATCTTGAAACTCACTCAGCGTCATCTTTCCATCAGATTCTCTTCAGCGTCTAGTCCTTCGGGCCCTCGAGGGCAACCGCAGCCGCAGCCGCATGAAGAAAGCCTTTGATCTTTCTGCAAAGCGCAAAGCGCCTCCTCTATTTCTGGCCATCAGCGGGACCCCTTTTGGGCTCATGAAGCTGTCCCCATGAATCGATCCTTTAGGCACCTGCCATTACAAAAAAATAAAAAAATCAATGCTGAGTGGAACACTGCCCTTGCCCAGAGATCGGGACTATTATCGTTACGTACAACCGACAAGTAGATGGCATCATCACCCGTCTTTGGCCGCGCCTCTCTCGAGTTTGGGGAACTCGGTTGTTTTCGACGGTACTTGGAAATAAAAATAACCAGCCGCTCTTCGTTCGCGCCGATTACTTCGTATTAGTCCCGGCCGCAACAAAGGTCTTCTCCGCGCCGTCGAAACAGCCCTATCCTCCACGCTGTGCCTCGTAATCGTCTTGTCCTTGAAGACTAAATTCATGTGCCGGTGCATGTCTGAGCACATTCGTAAAGGGTGGTTCTGCTTGCGCACGTGTCCCCCTGCTGGCACTTAAGATTTGTCTCTCGGTCCGTGCTGCTAATAGCCTTGGCTTCACCTCAGTCATGCTTCCAATTTTGCGTTCTCACTTCCCCTTTCCCACTTGCATGGGCGAGTTGGTCGTCGCTCGGTCCGAGAGCCAGCCAGGGAGATTACCAGACCGCGAGTGAAACGATGGGAAGGGGATGAAATTCCATTTCTTCGGTAACACCGCATTCCTATTGCATTTGGGGTTATTATAATTATGTGCTCTATTACTGACCCTTGCGGTGTACCTGGAGACATGCGCTCGCCGCACATCTGTTGATGCGCTCCCTGCTTGCAGACCGAGATTAGTTTGATCTCCAGCGTTTCTGCTGCGAGCCAGCTGCGCCAGCATTCTTTTGGATAATTCGACTCTGCCCCCCTTCTCTAAATTATTCTCCAGAGAGAGAGAGGTCGAGACGTGGCGTCCTGCCATTCTTGGCGGATAAATCGAGACGCATCATTCCCGCCATCGTCGCTGAGGGACATTCTTTTGAGGAATATTCAGAGCACCTCGCGGCTTGACTTGGCCTTCTTCGGTTCTGCGCATTGCGGTGAATTAGCCCGGCCTTGTTTCGTCCCTCTCCCGCCCGCAAACGCATTTCGGTGACGATCGAAAGGCTTCACCCCCCCCGGTGGTGCGGCCTGGATAGTCGACCTTTTCTCGCCGTGTACGACGGGCGGCTCGGCGTTCTTGAGGACGATCACAGCTATAACCGCCGTCCGCCACCATCATCCGGGGACGGTCAAGATTAGAATTGGGTGTGGCATCGTCTTCTCAACTTCTTTCCCTATTTTCTTTTCATCTCTTGACCGCGGAGTCTTTGCCCTATTCCACCGAGTAGAGGAGGGTTATGTAGTAGATTGAGCTACTGTATCGGATATGCCGTAGGCCGTCCCATCTTCTTGCCTCCTGAGTAGCGTCACATTCGTCTATTTCGCGTAGCCATGCGAGCCCTTTTGAGACCTTACGGCTCGGGGACAGCCTCTAGAGGGCCACTGTCACAGATTCCTAAACGGGAATGAATTGCTCCGGAAGTTTCATCATAATGGCCTGGTGTGGCCTTTGCAAAGCCTGCCAGGAGACTTTTTAGCATAAACCAGGTTGTGAAGGGCTGGTGTCAAAGTCTTCTTCCTCTGATGCTACAGCGGGCGGGGATTGCGCGCGCTGGTGTAATAGCCGTAATATTTCTAAACTATTGATCTAACGGCCGCCTTAGGACACACCGATTAACACTTGTCTCTACACAAGTCTTATGCCTCCTCTGCATGTCCAACAGGAGGTGTGATTCGAGTAGTAGTCACTGTCCACGGCCTGCGAGCCTAGACATAAACATGAAAGCCGTTCTCTACCAACCTCCAACGCTGAGGGGACAGCTTTTGTAAAGGGGCAGGCAGGGCCTCTGTCTGCGGGCGTTGCTCCGCCGTCCTGCAGATTCCGTCCCGCCAGGAGGCACGCCCTCGATATCCACAAGGCAACCTTCCTCCGTTGGGGTTTGCGGCCGATTTCATGTCCGCCGAGACGCAAAAGGTCCACACTGGATGGGACATTGTAGATATGCGAGGGGCTGCTATAACCCGCTCGGGGTCGTGAGCGGAAAGCCCTCCTAGACTCCCGTTAATATATATCAAGCGGCCATACCGAAAGTTGTCCTTACGGCCGACTGGCTTGTAGTAGGCTTCTTCTGCCTCTCTTCCGGACAGAGGCTCGTGTTATTGTCGGAATTCCCGTAGCTCCGATATGTTTATCTTTTACCATCGATTCCCCATCCCCTCTTCTTCTCATAGATTGCTTCGCATCTTAATAATGAGCGTCGTATCGAATATACACAAGCGAGAACAAAGCAAGGCCTAAACCGGAAGGCTATACGCCAACTAGCAAGATGAAAGACGAGGCCTTTTCTCACAGTCCAACTGTATTTTCTTCAGATTGGGTCGTGAGGATCTGAAGAGGCGATTCCTACCTTTGCCCTGGCGGAACGACTCTCCTTGCATAGTGAGAGAAGCGGCAGCTATTCCACCTTGCCTCAAAACCGAATCTACGGATATATCCTAGCGGTGCCCTGAGACCGCGCCCAGGCTCTCACGAGGGAATAGGCGGCGTTAAAAAGAAGAGTAAGAAACGCAAAGAACGGCCTCGGCAACGACATTCGTGGAGCAGAAACGCCCACCACTCATCCATCCTTGATGTTGTTGGGCGCCTTTCGGCAAGGCCTTTCGAGAAAAGGCTCGACTCGTCGGTGTTGTGAGCTCATCAACCATGTCTGCCTCTTCCCTCTCACCTTCTCAACCTTTCTTGGTCAAGGGACATGCGGGACGGGCAAGCTCTACGGTGATGCGGCACTGATCGTACTAGTCCGCCCTCATCTAACCGTGTTCTCGCCTAGACACTCGGCTGTACATTTCCAACTTGACTAACCCTATGGCTACAGAGTCACATAAACTCGATGCTTTGTAGGCATTAACGCATCTCGAGTATCTCACAATGTCATGTTCAGACACGCACCTCCCCCAGACCTCCTGGCAACACTTCCACTGGCACCCTCGAACAGCTAGGATGATGGATAGGTGGCGTCCCTGCACGCATATAACCTCGAATATAAGACAGAATGTCCTAACATCGAAGACTAGCATAACTTTGGACGGCCACCAACGCCGTCTGCCCTAGCCATTGTCTACCGACCATGACCTCTGCATGTGCGCGGCTCCCTTAACCAAGCCATTCGGGATTAGCCGACCCATCTCCCCCGGCGCAACAGACCCAAGGCGCGTACGTGATTACTCGCTCTGCTGCCATCCTTTGGCTATGGCCGCATATCCAACTCCGGCATGAGACCGGTCTAATACCAAGCATCTCAAGTCAAGTTGCTTCAAGCAAGCAACACTCTACCCGGTAGCCATTGATACTGGGTATTCTCGGTGAATCGCGGGTGATATCACGGCATACGGCCTGTCGTCGAAATATTCCATTGCTATACACAAACCATACCCGCCGCTTCCTGTCTGGTTGGATTACACACGTCCGATGCGGCCGGTCCCGGGGAACTCATTTTGGATTATCATATTTTACATCGCGAACATGCATCGTGGCTTCAAGTTTCAAGCTGGCAAAAAAAAGCGTCATATGCTGTGCAGCGGCTACACGAAGAAGAAAAAAAAGAAATCCTTTTTGGTATAGAAGCCCGTGGCAACAGAACCCCCGTAACTCACTCACAGCCCCCTCCCCGGCCCTTTTCTCTCAATCAAGCCTCCTCCAAGCCAACATGCAGTCCATATACTACTATAACCATTTATAAGATCAAGAATCGGTTTGGGTTGGCGAGGCAGTCGATGTGGACGAGTCCCCCTCTTCCCTTCGATATATAGACCGGGCCCAAAGCCCTGCAAGAACGCTGGTAGGCGAGTCCACCCCGTCTGACCCGCGAGCACGTCTACTTGATCAGCCTCCCTCATGGCATATTCCCCAGACGCTCCAATATGTAGCCTTCCAATGTCAACTATGGCGATCTTCGAGTTCACAAACATCCGAAGCATAGCTGAACTGGCTACATACATGAAAAGAAGAAAGGTCAACAAACATACAAGGGCCCATATGGCAGGCCAACACGAGGGAAAACAAAACGACGAAGGGCAATGAGAAAAAAGAAGTAGAGGAAGAGGAAGAAAGAGGCAAATGAAATAAAAGAACCCTTGATGTAGTACAACCGCCCTTCAGAAAGCAAACCGTCAACGTGCCTGGTTAAACAAGGGGTACGAGGGGAAAAAAATATGGTGCAGAGAATAAGGGCGTCTGGTCATGGAACCATTCCATAGATGACACCGATCTGGCTAGGCTTTTGCTTGAAGAAAACGAACAAAGGGAAAATAAAAGACAAGGAAAATACATGACATGACCAAGAGCCTCAGGCTTCGCCAGCGGTGATAGAAACTGTATCGTCCATCCTCTCAACTCATAACAGCATTGCTATGTTGACGAGGGTATCAAATGTGGCTTCGTATCGTGACGTCGTCGTCCTAGTCAGCCAGGCTGGTTGCGCGGTTGCGCTAGTCGACGGCGTGGGAGAGGTGGTAAGAAATATTAGGTTGACGTGAGGTTGAGGTCGGCAAGGTCGGGATATCGAGAATGAGGTTGGTAATAAAGAATAAAACGTTTCGCGGCACCGTTGTATCCTGACAAGAAAAACTCGATCGCATAGGTCGTTATCGGAGGACGTTCGTTTAATAGGCCCAAACCTTAAGCTGTTGGGAGCGATACTACGTTAGTCAAGAGCTCACCATAGCAGCGTGGCGCCAAACACAGTAGATTGCTGGATAAATCAAGGTTGGGCCACTTACCAGAGAATCCCAAGAACCTGTGCATAAACTTATGCCATCGTTGCTCACGCCCAAGCAGCTGACACGGTTGTCGTGGCCGACCAGTGAGCCCACCTTCTCGCCCCTCGTAACATCCCAGACCTAGAAATCGGGGCAGTTAGCCATCTCATCCGCACCATTGATATCGGAGCCATGGACCCGGGGCCCGGGGTCAAGTTTAGAGTCAACAAACCTTGCACTCGAAGTCGTCGTAGCCCGCGAAGAGAAGTCGTCCCGAGACGGAGGTGGCTACGGAGGTGATACCGCAGAGAATCGACTCGGACTGTAGTCGTCAAGTTAGAATAAAAAACGCTACTAAACATGAAGATAGAGCGACTGGAGAAACCCAAAAAGAACAAAAAAGAACAAAAAAAGGGGGGAAGGACCGGGGCTACGGAAAAACGCGCGAGGAAAGGAAGATGGGGATGGATGGAAACTAACGCCGTAGATGTTAAGTTCACGGTCTGCCCTGATGTCGAAGAGTCGGCAGGTTGCGTCGTCGGAGCCGGTGACGAAGGAGTGGCCGTCAGGGAAAAACTGGATGGCGTTGATGTCGGATTCGTGACCGGCAAATGTCTGCACGGCCTTGCCGGCACGAATATCCCAAAGCTTGGCGAAAGCGTCGCAGGCGCCGGAAATGAAGGTGTTGGAGTTGGTGGGGTTGAGGCTGATGCTCATGACATCTCCGAGGTGGTCGGTGAAATCAGTGACCTTCTGGCCGGTCTCAATGTCCCACTGAATGCAAGTCATGTCACCCGAGGACGTGAGGATGCTCCTATCATTGATGAATCGACAGCACGAGAGATAACCAGCATGGCCCGAGAGCTCCCTCGCCACACGGGTGGGGCCATCGCGTTGCTGGTTCAGGTTGTAGATGGAGCAAATGTTGTCGAGACCACCGCAAGCGACGAAGTTGCCGCTCGGGGAATAGGCACAGGTCATGACCCAGGATGACCGCAGCGGGATGGCGTGGACCTTGTTTGTTGTGTAAGCATCCCAAATGATGAGCTTTCCGTCCTGGGAGGCGGAAACGAGATGCCGGCGGTCGGTGGACCAGTGCATGGCATAGATCTTGGCAAGATGCCCCTTTAGTGTCCGCTTCGCCTTCATCATCTGGTTCTTGGAGATGGGCTCGTGGGCCTGTTGAGCCACGGAACGGACTGTGAAGCTCGCGTTAGCATTCCTTCGGGCAAAAGCAGCACGGGGAAATAGGGGTGTGTGCCATGTTTTGGGCAATGGTGAAAATGGCGCAGGGAAGAGCAATTGCCGTCAAAAGGACGAACAAAGCCGCTTCACAAGGGGCGGATCGAATCAAGACAGCAAAAGGAAAGGTAGTCGAGGGTAGGTAGTTCAATGCCGATGGGGTGATGGGAGGGAGGCGAAGATGGGGGAGGAAATTCCACTCACGAGTAGTGTCGGCGAGCTCATCCTTCTTCCTCTTGATCCGGTCCTTCAAATTCTCAGCCTCGCGTCGCGCCTGCTGAATGCGCGCCTGCATCGCCTCTGGCGATACATCATTCGGACCTTGCGAATTCATTGTCGATGCGATCAGAGACGTTCGTGGGCGGGGGTTGCGGAGGGATTGATCTTTGTCGAGTGGATGAATGGGGGAGGAAAAAAGAGGGCGGAGGACGGAGTAGGTTGGCGAATTGGCGGTTGGTAGAAAGGAGACGAGGATAAGGTTTGAGGGGTGGATTTTTGCAGGAGGGAGATTGGATTCAGAGGAACGAATGGCGAGTGGGAACAGGCCGTGGAACTTGCTTCGGGAGGGTGGTGTGGTGTGCGTGTGGTGGTGCGTGCGTTCGGGGGCGGAGGTGTGGGCGAGGAGCAGAAGAAGGGGGAAAGCGAGGAGGGCGAGAGTGAGGGAGAAACAAGAAGGGTCTCGCTTGTGAGCACAGAGGGAGAGGGACAGAGGGACAGAAAAACGGAGGACAGGGGGCAAAGGGGATGGGATCAATTGGACAATTGCGAAGGAAAGGGAAGGCCAATGGTGGGTAATGGTATGTGGGTAATGGATGGGGGAAGGGCCAGAACGGTACGGGACGGCAGGGCCACCGCACAGAGTACCTGGCCCACGCTTCTCTCGTGGAGAGGAACCTCCCTCCCACGGAATGGCGTGGATCAATGGATCAATTGGTACAAACCTTCCACGCTCCTTTTCCCGACCGTGACAATCCATAGATCTTGGCCTGGGGGCCCTGTGCTCGATTGATCCCATTGCTCTGGTGTAAGCACGCCTGTGATCAATTTTGGTCCCTCCTTGCTTGGCCAACTCACCTCTACCTTGAGTGACGAACCCCATGACAATTTTGGGGAATTTGATCATCCACTCCATGCAGAACGGACTGGACTGTTCAGTTCAAAAGGCCAGCCATCGAGTCCAGTGCCCAGGGCTCTAGTGTGGATCAGGTTGAGTCTCTACAGGTACTCCACCGTCAAGCCTAACGGGTTCATTTTCGCCCCGTTCACTGCTAAGGTCTGCTAACCTTAGCGAGACCTCTTTTTCTTCTTGTGTTTTTTTTTTTTCTTTCCTTTCCCTTTCCTTTTCCTTTTCCTTTTCTCTCGGGGCTTCTTTCCTTTCTCCTTGTTATTCCCCATCATCAATGTCGTACTTGTATGTACTAGTGTAATTTGGTCTGCTCTCCCAGCTCCCAGCTCCCAGGGGAAATCTTCCTCGTGGAATGGAGCTGCTGTGATCGTTACAGTGGGGAAATTGGCCCTGCTAGTTGCAAGATGAGGTATCAACTCATTGACCTTTGTGACCGACTGCCCTTGCATTAGGACCCAGCAAGTGGGCACAACCAGCGCAACCGAAAGCCCCGAAAAGTGGAGGGACCTCGAATTGATGGGCACATCCTTCCCTTCGCAATTAAAGAACCGGAATAGACCAAAGACGGAAGCTATCTCTAGGGATGTCGATCGAGGCGCCGTCGGATTTCCCACAACCTAATCCGTCACGGCATCAGTATGATAATACAAGATAACATCTCGAACAAGCAGTGTTCAACAAATCGAGCCAGACGAGCTGTGCCAATGCCATTCAAGCCTGGCGTGAAACGGAGGGAAGCTGAAGAAGAAGAATACAACAAGCAAGGCCCAAACTCTCTCCATCAGAGCGAGGCTTGAATTGGCAGCCTGCCCCTGGCCAACGCTCTCTCTCTCTCTCTCTCTCTCTCTCTCTCTCTCTCTCTCTCTTTCACCTTGTCAAAGGGATGTTGGGCTGCTGGGGACGCATTATTTTAAACCCATTGTGCCGATAATCATTGGCTTTCTGTTTTATACAAGGAATACCATAAAATACAGGTATGCCCAAGAGCTTAGCATTGTCCGCTGACTCGGTGAGTGATGCGAGTCGGATGACCCTCAGCGGAGGAACACCAAAGGGACACCTGCAGGGTCTTCGAGAATTGTTGACGGGCTTGACTGTGCAACGCTCTCTTCTCCGAGTGGTGCACGCTTGGTTCAAGAAACTCCCGGGACCAATTGTACCTCGTTCCTCCCTTTGCATCGTTGATTAATCGTTGGGCCCGCCGCGACCAAACCAAATATCCCGGGTCGACTCCTATTTCCGAGAGCGCAGTACTGGTACAAGATCAACGAACGGCAACTCTCCTGTTTTATTGGAAAGGCAAGCTAAGGTGGAGGCGCCGCTCGAGCTTTTGAGTTCCTTGTATAAGTACCCGGAACCGGGGCCAAGGCAAGAGGGGCAACGAGAAACAAATCGCTGTTGGCAAAATTGTGGCATCTCAAGCTCGCCTTGTACTTGTACAAAACGCTGGTGCTACTGTCGATGGGGCCATTGATGGATCAATTCCTGTCGTCTGGTGTATTATTATTTCAACAGGGTTGAGAGAGAATGAAGAAAAACCCCCGAGCTGGGGCGCCCAAAGGGGTGAAGGAACCTGCCTCGTAGTGAGCACAGTATCGCTGGTGCATGGGTTGGTTAACGGAGAGTGTATTCGTACTGTAGCACTTCGCCGTCCAAGTGATTTTACAGTTTGAACGAAATGAGCTTCCTTCCCGAATTGAAATGATGACCGCCAGGGATAAGGTTTGCTCCCAGACCAGCCAGACAACTAAACCTGCCTCGTGCTGGAGGGCGAAGACCGTTCTTTTCCACTCGCAAGACTATTTGCAGATAGCGGGTGCCAAGGATCAAGACGAAGGCACGAGGACTTGGGCGGACAAGACTCAAATACCACTCGGCTCATATTTTGTGGGCTAGAGTGCGATTATCAACAGCGAGAAAGCCTGGTCTAGCAAAGTACATTCTCCGCCCTCTTTCATGGCAATTATGAAAGCATAGGATGGCCGGTTGTCGCTTTCGGCACGGGTGCCGCCAGCTTTTCCTCTCGCATGTTGATTCTATTAATGTCGCAAGCCTCTCAAGAGACCAGCTCGACTAGTCCCCCTTTCACTTGGCCAGCTAGGCCCTGTTAGCTCAAAGGGTGACGATTTCCCGGTTCCTCTCTTGCCTTGCTTCGAGGCCTCTGAGAGATAACCCACGATTCTGTTTTGGGGGGTTGTTCTCTTCCACCTGAGCTACGAACTCGGCTGAGCCAACCTCCTTCCGTGTCGGGACGTGCTGGACGTCGAAATCATCTGGTTGGGTGGAGAAAGGGCATTAAACCCAGCTTGACCAAGCCGGGCTGCAGTGTGCAGGAGACATCCGCTTTGCTTGCCGTGCAGGAGGTCCCGCTGCTCGTTGGATTCTGACACTCGAGACAGCCCTGCGTCAACTGGGAAACATAGTAGACCTCAAACCGAAAGGGCACTCCTCCTTTTCAAGGGCGACACAAAGCCGGGGTGAATGCTGTCGTGGATAGATGCGGATGGGAAATTAAAAGCCGTCGTTGACATCGCTGCAGGTCTGGGAGCTTAAGAAAAATTTCCCCATCCGAAGACAAGCTCAGTGTCCGGTTGGAGAACAAAACATCTGGGCAACTCCACGAGCGCGTTCCCGAAGGGCGGTGCTAGCCGTCTCTGCGAACCAAGCGCATGATGATCAACCTGATGCCGTCAAAAGTGCGGCCTTGGTTTGCGGCGCTCTAATAAGGGATCAATTGTGACTTGACGCTGGCGCGGAAGAAAAACAACTTGAAGTTGGTATAGTGGAGCGAGCGCTGGTCCGATGGCATCGACCGATTTCTTCGCGTGGGCCTGACGCCCAATTCTAAAATAATGATTAAAACTAATTCGACTGATGGATCGATCAATGAAATGGAGGTCATCAATTGATGCCCTTCACCAGCGCTCTCAAAGCCCAATTCTGCTTGGTGTGAGTACACCAGACGACAGTGAACGCGAGAATGGGTCCAAAGTCGCCCTGGAGGCAGGTGCGAAAGTTCAAATTAGACCAAGCTCCACAGTGCGCGGGGCCTCAAGCTCTGGCCCGGTTCAGCAAAGGGGCAAGAGGAGTCGTCTTGGGTAACAAGGGAAGGGGCAAGTGAGCGGAGTGGCTTGTGGAGCTGGCTCTGAAGCTAGCAGGCATTTGATTAAAAAGCACGTACTTGTACATGGGATGCATCAAGTAGAAGTACGAACCGTCCTCCCATGTATCTCTCTTCTTCACTCCCTCGCAAGGTCCACCCTTGGATGGAGTGATGTCTCTACTCTCCATTTTCCAGTCCGTTCCTTCCCCGGAAAGCACGGGCCATGTCTGATCCACCGACGGATGAGCTCTCGCCCAATCCCCTTTCCATCTTCCAGTTTACGGTCTTGCATTTAGAACAATCAACGGTTTCCCGAGAAGAGCGCAGGAGACTCGCCATCCCGCAATGAAGGGGGAGAGCGAGAGAGAGGGCATACATAGATGCCGTCCACCCCACGACACCTCATGCGCTTCAACGTCTACAAGTAGGTAGGGGTGGATCGGCGCAATTGTCAGGGCCGTCCACTTCCTCCCCACAGGAGGCAGGTTGCGTGCTGTTCGAGGTAGTGATTACGACACTAGTAGAGGCTCTCTCTGCTGACTAGCCGCATGGGCCAGGTATAACGGGATTCCACGATCATTTCGGGCCTAGGGTTGCACGCGCGAAAGGATTGATCAAATCAAGGCCACAGTTCCGCCTGGGCGAACCAGGCCGGGGCAACAACAGAGCAAGACATCAATCCGGCTAGAACTCCCTTGGTAAGGTTCGGTCAACCACAGCAATGGGCACGCACTGATGGTGGTACCTCGGAGCTCTAGAGAAATCGAGGGTCTCGGCTTCAATAATCTTTCAGACGCCAACAACCCTTCCACCATCATTTTAGATTCTCAAGCGTGTGCTTGGTAATCCAACGTTCCAAGAAGAGTGAAGTCCTCGCCCAAAAGCGTTTGCATGCCTTGGATTTTCCCACATTGATAACATGAACTATTAGCGTCGGTCGAGATAAGAGGGCTCATGCACCAAATTCAATCTTGAAGCCACCCTCAAAGGACGCGATCGAAGCAAGAAAGGAGTGCCGAAAATGTTGGCGAATTCCTTCTTTGCCGAAAAAAGTTTTGGGCGAGGGGAGAATAACGAGAACAAAGAAGAAGAGGAGTTCAATACAGGGGAATGGATATGAATGTCATTGATGAGAAAGAAAGAAAGAAAAAGATCGATGGATCGTTCTTCGTCGCGCCTGCCCCTCCGATCCATGACCTTCCCGATCGGGAACAGTTAAAAGACATGCCTTCGCTCGTTTTTATTTCAATCCTGGACTGGGCTTATTCGTCGGACAGGATATTCCCTGTCTGATGAGAAAGACCAAGACCCATCATCCCCCGACGTACAGAGTATGAGAACAAAAGTCATGACGAGGTCCAATAAGCCTATGTCTTTCATGAGCCAGATGGAGCAGCTGAAACAGGAAGCTTCGTAATAATGTTAGTATCGATGGAGGCCCATCAATTGTAGGAGCCTGTCCCCACGCCTCGCTGTTTTAAACGGCTTCCCATTTCGAAGAGCGCCTATTCTCACTCTCCTAGGGCAAGAAGGGTTTGCCCGTGGTTGCAGATCACTACCAGGTTGATTCTGGCATGCTCAACGCCCTCGCCGATCCAAGGCGCCTCACGTTCCCGAGGTATAACCGTCGAGATCCTTGGTGATTTCGACCACTCAAGTTGGGCTTGGCACAGGAGATCGCGCGTTGAACCCTTTCAAGAGGCTGTCGGGCCGTGGGTGCATACATGGAAGCTTTCCATAGTAGCACACGCAACTCCGAGTACAAATAAAGGCCCCGTCCATCGGGGTCTCGGGAGGTGTGGTCAAGTCATTCGTCTGAAGGGGGATCAGCAAAGGAGAGACAGGCAAGGTCTGTCCCTCCTTCTTCTTTCTGTTTACGCCAAAGGACGACCAGCTTCCTCCCTTGGCCAGCCACCACGCCTTCCATGTCGAGAGCGGAATATTTCCCGACCGCTTCTTCTTGATCATGGGCTTCTGGACTTGAGAGAATGGGCGAATCTCTCTCCCAATCGAAGATGACGCCACCGCCACGCCCACACGCTCGGGCACACAAGGCTTAGGTTTCACCTGTCGCCCGCGCGAGGCCTTTCTCGCTTTCTGCGCCGCCCGATATACTCAATAAAAGAGAGACATGGCATGCACCTTGCCGAACTGCGCCCTCTTCCCGACGTGCTCGTGGGGAACCGCATCCCCTCTTCACACCTCAGTGGCCAGAGGCTTACCTGCGGTAACTAAGACACCACCCGCGGCTAACTCGTTGATAAAAGGGTGGCCTTGACTGAGGAGCGCGTAGGAGGAAGCGAACCCATTGGCAACCCGCTGTAGGGGACCCGAGTGGCTCACCACTTTCTCATACACTCCTCCCACAGCTCACTCTGATCATGTTCTCCGTTCCGTAGCTTATCCCCTTGCTTCTGCTCCACCTTGCCGGTCGTAAACATCGGCGGAGGCCACCCCGTGAGGCCGCGTGATGCCACGACCGACTTGCACTCAAGTTACTTTTCTCCCTTCCATTTTCCCTCGTGACCACCGCCGCTACACTGTTCATCGATGCCGTGACTTGCCGCACAGTAGTAGACGCTTCCACCCATTGATGGGATATACTAAGACGCGCTACCCGCGATGGTCCTGCAGGGGCATCCCACAGCTGAACGGGAAAAGCGACAGCCACGAGACTCTCTCCCCATTAGTCTCTCACCCCTATCGATCGACCCGGTCCCGTTCCCGCACACCTAGGTCCAGCTTGGAAGGGCATCCCACCCCATTCCTTTCCTCACCGAGTAAGTCTTCACGGTGGCTTGGTATATCATGAAAAAAGTAGTTGTGATTCAGTCTATCCCGTTGGAATTCGTAGGCGATATGTACCAGTTAGTGGAGGTGGATGTGCCGATTTTATGTACATGAATCGCAGAATAAGCAAATAAAAAGAAAAAGGAGTGCCAACACCGAAGCATGAATAAAGCCACCCTTTCGCGCCAGCCGCTGCCTTTCCCAATCCAATCTTTGGGAGATAGAAAAGCAAAAGTAAGAAAAGAGGGAATCATGATGAAAAAAACAAGACCCATGGAGAAGGAGAAAAAGAAAGAAGGAAACCGGGACCCAGCAAAACGGAAGTGGAGGAGTGGTGTGTGGAAAGGGGAAAAGGGTTCAATCTTCTCGTCCCCGCCGTAAAAACCCCCTCTTCTCTTTTGCGTTTTTCTATTCCCCTTGTTTCGCCTTGATGCGTCATCTCGTCTAGGATTGCAGCTAGCCGTCGCCTATTCATGTGGCTCTAAAGAAATAATGATGAAAAAAAAAAAGAACAAAAAAGCAAGCCCCTAGGCTTTCCCCTCGAAGGAATGTCCTACCTACCCCGTGACCGATGATTAGTGGTAGTGGGCGGCTCCGGGTGGTGGGCTCTCGAGGTCGACGGCATCAACAACGTCCCTCTGCGCCGAACTCTTGCGGACGAGGTTGCCAAAGTACTTGAGCGCCACCTCGCTCTCGGCGCGGACCTTGAGGGTCTCGTCCCGACGCGTGCCCAGCTCCTTGACGGATTGGTCAAGGGAAAGTCGTAGGTTGTCAGCTGGGTACCGTAAAACCTTGCGCACGGCACCAGAGATGCGTGTCGAGTTGGAGTGAACATAGTCCATCTCGGCAAGCTGGGCCGCGATCTTCTCTTGCAGGCGCTTCGGAAGCGAGTTGGGAATCTGGTTCAGGACGTAGGCCGTCGCGGCAACAGCTGTTTCGTTGTCAGCGTCCATCCAAGGTAGGGGAGAGAGTGGCGAGTCGTGAGAGAAAAGGGGAAATACGAGAGAGATCACAGAGAGGGGTAAAAGAGGGGGAGGGAAAGAAAAGACTTACCAGCAACCAAGAGGCCGGGCAGGAGAAGACGGCGGAGGTTATCATTGCTGACGAACCTTGCCGCGCCCAACGCGCCATCCATCCATGTGTTCATTCCCATCGCCCTACTGCCTACCGCCGTAACCACCGTGAGCGCCATACCAGTGCCGGCGACCTTTTCTTGCTTCTGAAGCAGCGTGCCCACGTCGACAAAGTCCCAGAACTCGGTCTCAACGTGGAGCTGGCGCGCCAGCACGTCTCGCTTGCGACTAAACATGACATCGGGCCGGAAGCTGAGGTTCTGGAACTCGTCACCCGCGTGTAGGATGCCGAGCTGTTTGATGATGTTGACACCCGTGACCGTCTTGCCTCGAGCGTACTCTTCACAGACGCTGACTGAGTGTGCGACGTGCGCAAGCATCGCTGCCTTGACTTCATCCGCAAAGTCAAAGGCGCCAAAAACGCCTGGGTAGGGCACGTTATGCGTATGGTCTCCCGATCTCTCTATGGCGTTGTTCAGAGTGGTTCTGCTGTAGTTGTAGACTTCGCTGCTGGCGTCTTCAATCACCTTCTCCACCTTGTCGGCCGTATCCGATACTGCCTTCTTGCCCGATTCGAGCTGCGGTTCAATCTCTCCTAGTTCCCGAGTAACGCGGCTAATTTCGGATTGGGCAATCTCGGCGTTGACAGTGGCAAGGGAGTGGAGGTCGTTGAGGATGTTGAGAAGATAAGTCCTGGCGGGAGTGAGCTTGGACTTGGCACGCTTCTCCAAAACAAACCTGCGCAGATTTTGTTCGAGAGTTTGAAAGTCCCGAAGTTTCTCAACATCCTTGCCCTTGCCTTTCGGGTCGCCGCTTGGCCCGTCGCCATCATCATCGCCGCCGCCGCCACCACCACCGCTTCCTCCGGGGCCTCCGGGACCTCCGGGAGGTGGTGGTGCGACGGGGATCGAGTTGCTGGAAACGAAATGAACAAGCTCCGAAGATTCCTTGTAAGTTTGGGGGCTAAGTCCCTTGATCTGTTGTAGAATCATTTTCTGGCACTTGTCCTTGTTCTTGATAGTATCGAAGCCGTTGACGACGATAAAAAGATAGGCCTTCTCCGCAGCCGCCGTCCATATAAATTCTTGGGCTGTGATTGTGAAGTGGTTGGCGGCAGAGACAACAAACACTACTACATCAATTTCTTCCTGTCGCGCAAAAACAGCGGTTGTTTTAGTGGTGTCGGAGTTGAGGCCTGGAGCATCAATGAGCGCGATATCCACAACACCGTTGTTTAGTAAAGACTCGTCAATGCTCCTCGAGTCCTTGACGTAGACTTTGCATTGTATATATTTCGTGTTGTCGCCAACAATCTGCTCGAGCTCGTGTAAGCTATAAACGTCATAGGTTGACTCGTCGTGACGGTTGTAGGCTTGATCCATATGAACGGCATGGACCTCTTCGACGCCCGAGTTCTCCCGGGCATCAAGAACCTCGCAAAACACCGCGGTACAAGGCTGTTCGTCTTCGGGAAGGACCTTTCGTCGGAGCAGGGCGTTGCAAAATGTTGACTTTCCGGCATTCAAGTCTCCAGTGATCAGGACCTTGCTGGACGTATCCTCAATTCGTTCTCGGAGCGCAAAGAGGTGCTTGATGCTGGAGCTGATCTTGCCGTCAAGAAGCGATGCAATCGATGCTTTTTCTAATGAGTGGACAAGCTCGACTTGGTGGAGTGCGCCCAGTTTGAGATCCAGCTTGAGAATGGAGAATTCTTGCGCAATCTGTGGCGTTACCAGGCGAGGCTCCGGTGTGGACCTAGCCTCGGCAGCCTTGCTAGACTCAGCTCCCGCATTGGCGTCAAGGGAAGTCCGGGCACGGCGTAGGACTGGCGGCGGGCTCGGAGGAGAAGAGGGGCGTTGACGCGGGATCTCGCCGACTGCGGTGGACGTATGGACGAGGCCCTGTCGAGAAGAGGGCCTCGAGCTGTGTCTAGTCTCCGCCTTCTGCACCGAGGGATAGTGCGCCGGCCAGGTGGCATTCATTTCTTGCAGTTCCTTCAGGAGAGAGATTGCATTGGTGATGGATCTCCCAAGAGACCCGCGGTGTTGATTGTACCAGAGCTGGTGAATAGCACCGGCCTGCGCGCGTCGATCCGCTTCGGAACCATCGGGGGTCGTGGGAATATGGGTGTCGGCGTGGACCGAAGGGTGCCATAGCTCGGACGCGGTTGAACTTCCTCCATATCCTGAGTCCTTTTCTAGCATCTCCTGGAGTCTTGCGGCGTGCTCGGATGTCGAGCCAGTGCCGACAGTCATATATCCGGGCTGAGAAAATTGGGTGGCGTCTTCGGTTTGCTCTGGGGAAAGGGCGGGCGACTTCCCTTTCCCTTGTCTTCTCGAGAATTCTCTTCTTGGCTCATTTTGGTCGCCAGCTTATCGGTTCATGATCGAATGCGAGTGGTGAATGAAGGCGATCGAGGTGCGGAAAACCGTTTTGAGTTATTCGGGTGTTTACAAGGGAACGACGAGTTTATTTTGGGGGCCTCGTCGCATGATTCCAGTATTCTCGAGTCCCAGAAAAGGGTGGTGGAGGCAAATTTCGTCGCGTACGTAACCGAGAGGCAAGACCCTCGCTGGAGCGCGGAATTTCCGAAATAATTCCGATCTCTCTAATCACAGGTGACGGATGGTTGTGTCTCTCCCGTGCACGCCCCCAACCCCACTAGACAATTCATTCTGAGTTGCCTATCCGCTGCCATGCTCTTCTCAGGCTTGGCTGGACAGACTCCAGACAGTTTGGGTGGCCGGTGACGACCACATGCAGCTCGCTTGAGTCGTTAGTCAACTAGTTCTCCCTCACCACACTTACCTATCACGACTACCAACAACTTCCTCAAAACCTCACCTGTCTCATAACATCCCCGCGCTTTCAACACTCTTTACACCTCCTCCTCCCTCCTTCTGTTCCCTGCAGCTAGATCCAGGTCAATCTTCAGAATGAATGTGCGTCTTGCCTCTCTCACTAGGATCAATTCAACCCCGCTAGTGTAGTCCCCGCGCTGGGTGTTTTCCCTCTTCCTCCCTCGGAAGGGGCCTCTGCCACCTCGCGCTGGTGGGCCGCCGTATCCGAATTTAAGTGGACGCTGACCGGTACTAGATCTTAGAGTACATGTTCGGTAAACGCATGACGCCCGCGGAGCGTCTGCGCAAGAATCAGCGATCGCTCGACAAGGCCATCCGGGAGCTCGACCAACTCCGCGTCAAGCTCGAGAAGCAGGAAAAGACATTGATACAGCAAATCAAGACATCTGCGCAGAAGGGCCAGATGGGCGCGTGTAAAATTCAGGCCAAGGATCTTGTCAGGACAAGGAGGTCAGCCTTCAAATGGTGTCAGAAAACCACAGCTTCGTGCGCTCACAGGACATTAGGTATATCGAGAAGTTCTACGATATGAGAAGTCAGTTACAAAAATCTCTCTCCGACTTCAGGTAAGCTATGGGAAATTATCGAGCTCGGAGGATTTACGCATCACTAACTAGTGCCGTTTTTTTTTTAGACATATCGATCCAACGAGCAGATGATGCAGGCCATGAAGGGCGCAACAATGGCGTTGGGTAGTATGAACCGGCAGATGAATCTTCCAGGTCTAGCTAAGATTGCGATGGAGTTTGAGAGAGAGAACGATATCATGGAGCAGAGACAAGAAATGATGGATGATGCGATCGATGACGCAATGGACGTCGGAGCAGAGGAAGAGGGAGACGAAGTGGTCGAGCAGGTCCTCGAGGAGATTGAGTAGATTTGAACCATGCGGTAGGTGTTTCCTCATCATTTCCTTCGTCTTGTAAGCTCTGACGAGAATTCGCACTAACGTCGCTGTTCTATAGCTCGGCGAGACCCTACGGGTCTACAGGCGGCAGCTGTTCCTGAGGGCAAAGTGGCTCAGGCTATCGGTGAAGATGACGACCTACAAGCCCGCCTCGATAGTTTGAGACGATAGACCAGGCTGAGGTGGGATCCCCATCATTCAGCAGCCATGAACACACCTCCCCTCTCGCGAATCCGGTCGAACACAATGAATCACCTGGGTAGAGCTACACCCACCCACACACATTTTACTTTTATCCTCCCCCAACTTGCTTTCCCTTTGCCATTTACCCCCTTCCCTCATCCTACGGTTTTATCTCTTGCACGCTAGGCCTCGTAGCATCGAAGTGTCTGTCTTGCCCAGTTCTTTCTTCGCGCTAGAACTTAATGATACTGAAGGAGAAGTGGCGTTTTAGGACTTTTCTACTTGTTTAAACAATATAGCATTTGCCTTAAACTCATGTAGCCGACAAGCATGCACTCCGAAACCGTAGTCAAGACCGACAATTGTGCCCTCTCTTCTGTATGATGGGTGCCTAAGAATCAAGAAATACACAGCCTTCCACTACTCCACGAAGGAAGCTATGGAGCCATTCACGTAATCCGCCTGCTTGCCATCGCACTCCTTTGGCTCGAGTTACGTTTTACAGCCAGGCCCACGCTACGAAGTATTACGCCAATGTGGCCCATTGACGTTAATCATGAGTCTGGCCTGGATTATAATCTCGTTGCGTCCTGCCAGTTTCATTGTCCGTCACCACCACTTTGGGCGTGAATGCAAATTACGGGCTCAAGTCACTGCGCCGATCCTCGCCCAAGTCGGAGCTCAGGCTGCATTCCGGTTCGCGGGGCTTGAGAAAAACGGACGGGGAGGGGAAAGTAACCAAGTAATGGTACTGCCTAGATAGTAGAATAGTTATTGAGGGCGGGAGAGGGCATGACTAGGGGCTTACTGACCTTGTGGGCGGTGGCGCTTCTCCATAATTCCCTCCAGCTGTTTTAACACTACCAATCCTCTAGGAAGCTATTTGGGGGAAAAAGGCCGACCTGCCTCAAGTGTCGTGCATCGCTGGATTGAACTACATCTAGATTGGGGGTGAACGGTTTCGTGCCTTTCGACAATGATCAATTGATTATTCGCAAACCGCAAACCGCACATTATCGCAAAGGGTTGATGCCACCACTGCAACCGCCGGCGATGGATATCCTTTTATCCCGTGTTCCATTTGCTTCCTCATCGCCTCCAGTGACGCCGTCTAGTTACGTCACCAAGTAGAGTTGACTGATGCGCCAGGTACATCGACGGGACCGTTAGCAAGCTGCACTCACAGACCAGACGCCATCGACAAAACAAACAAAAAATAAACCATATATAAATAGATTAGGGGCTTCGCCAAGCTGGTGATATCAATCAAAATTCTGTCTTCTGGTCGTTTTTAATTAGCCGCTTTGCCCTACCAGCATGAAATAACTGACCAAGCCCGAGCCCCCGTCCAAGCTAATGTCGTGACCAGCCACCAGGCTCCTCCACTGTTTTTCCTTTTCCCCATTGCTTCCCGATCCGACCCCAACTCTGTGGTGCTGGAAGTGTCACCGAGCAAGGGAAGGTGCGCCCCCGCCTCCCCACCTGCCGTGAATCCCGAACACGTTGGTGTATTCCTGAGTTTTTGGGTCCCATTGAGGAGCTGGCGGTTCTGAACCCAACCCCCAAACCTCCCAAAAGGCCCCTGTCCTGCCAATTCAGTTGGGGCGCCGTGTGGCTTTGTCATCTGCCCCTCCATCGCCCATCCTCGACGACAAGGAGCCAGCCTTCCTTCTCTGTTCATCACAACTTGTCACTCCAAAAGACCATTACCTTTGAATTCAACAAAACGCCCAACCGTTGCAGCTCCCCTCAGGAAACCACATCTCCCGGGCCCACGACGGATTTTTCGGCTCCAACCAGAACCAGCCACGCAAGCAATTGCCCTCAAGATATAACCCAGATCCTTGCCCCCAGTCCGCGGGGTCGAGCTCCACGTGCCCAACCAGCAGTGACCAGCCAAGTCAGTTCGTGGCCTGGCCCAGTTATCCATACAGATCCAGCCATCAACTCCTTTCCCCGCCAACCTCAACACCGCCGACTATCGATCCTCGAGAACTCTTCCTATCCCGTCGATTCTAGCCATCCAAAGGAGACGTGCGACAGCCGAAAACCGAATCATTTTCCCTTTTCCAAGCTGGCAGGCAACAAGCGACGCAGCATCTCCTCCTCTCCAGGAGGAGGTTTGCTGAATAGAATGTTTGGTGGGGTTCCTCGTCGTCTGTTGGAAAGAGCGATACCGACAGCACCAAATCCGAGAGCAAGCAGCCTTCACCCGAACCAGCCGTGAACTCGGCCTCTTCCGTCGGGCTCAGCACTTCCCCTACAAGTGCCTCTTCTCCTGCGAAACCTACAGACCCGGCTAGCGGCGGCGAGAAGCGCAGTGGCAATGGTGGCCTCCCCACCAGGCAAGACACTGGCGGGTCTACGGATAAGAAGAGAAGGAGTAGTGGTGTCAGCGGCAAGGCAAGTAGCTTGTTGGCAAGTGCAAAAACTCTCTAAACTTCAGCCAGGGCGGTAACCGGAGTAGCGCCTCCGAAGCTAGTCTCCAAAGCTCCGGCTCGAAGCCAAACAAGGAGGCAGCTTCGGGTGCTCTGTCCAACCCACACAACAACTCGGCCGGTGAATCTCTCCCCGGGCCTAAATCAACCTTTCACGTCGGTGTCTGGGAAGACCGCAACCGAAAATGCCGTCGTACCATGGAAGACACTCACGCCTTCTTATACAACTTCCTTGTTACACCACCCACAAAGGGCAAGGCAGACGCTGCCGACTCCGATGAGGACGGCGCCGAGACTGACAATGGCTACTTTGCTATTTTCGACGGACACGCCGGAACTTTTGCCGCCGACTGGTGCGGTAAGAAGCTCCATCTAATCCTCGAAGAGATTGTCCGCAAAAACCCGACGGCCCCCATGCCCGAACTCTTGGACCAAACGTTTACTGCCGTAGACTCGCAGTTGGAAAAGCTACCACTGAAGAATAGCGGCTGTACCGCTGCTATCGCTGTCCTTCGTTGGGAGGAACGACCCCAGCCACCTCCTTCGGCCTCTTTAGTGGCCAAGCGGATGTCTGCCGTGCCACCTGCCGGGGATGGCCCCAAGGCAGACGATACTAGTAACTCACGGCCCGACGGAACTGCTCCGGGAGAGGCCAATAGCGCAAGGACCAAGGCCGCTTCGTCTCTAAGTAGAGTGTTATATACCGCCAACGTTGGCGATGCCCGTATCATCCTCTGCCGCGCAGGCAAGGCACTCCGTCTTTCGTACGATCACAAGGGAAGTGATGAAAACGAAGGCCGGCGTATCGCCAACGCTGGGGGTCTGATACTCAATAATCGAGTCAACGGTGTGTTAGCCGTCACCCGTGCGCTCGGTGATACGTATATCAAGGACCTGGTGACGGGCCATCCGTATACCACCGAGACAGTTATACAGCCCGACGCAGATGAGTTTATCATTATTGCTTGCGATGGTGTAAGTCTATTCATTTCCTCCTCGTCCATCTTAGCCCACTACTATACGGTGCCGAATCTTAGCGGCTCCTGCGAAATGTATTGTGCGCTAACGGTGATTGATTGTCAGCTCTGGGACGTTTGCTCCGATCAAGAAGCCGTGGATCTCGTCCGCGAGATCGAGGATCCGAACGAAGCGGCCAAACTTTTAGTTCAGCATGCCTTGAACCGATTCAGCACAGACAACTTATCCTGTATGATTGTTCGTCTCAAAAGGAAGGCCAGGATGGTACGGACAGTAAAGACAAGACCCCGTGGGTCGCGACAGCGACGAGGCTGTGAACTCCTCGCCCGACAACGGCGGTGACAATGCAGAGGATGCCACGCCCACAGGTAGCTTTAAGCCGACCACTTTAGAAAGCACGGCGGAGGAGGAGCCCGGCGCGGTGGAGGAGGCAGAAGGCGAAGCTAAGCCCAAGGGTTAGAAGAAGGGGCTGTAGTCCCAACCGCGAAATCAGGGTATCGGTCACGTAGAACCGGAATCCCGAGGCCGAAGAATCTGGACGTTCTGGTGGATGGGGAAGGTAGATATAGGAAGTTTATTACCGGATGACAACAACTGCTCGCTCTACAACATTGGCGCCTCTATCTCAAATGTTTCCTGAAGTGGGACTCGGATTTCCTTTCGTCCCTCCTGTCCTCTGCTTCGTGATGCCCATTGCTGTTTGTGATAGACCAAACAATCCGATTATCTCTCCATGCTCCCTTTCAACTGGCGGGAAGCCTCTGAGAGAATATGCAAGGAAGAAGCCAGGCTCTTATCTAAAGTGACCACGCCTTGGCAGCGTACAAGAATACCAAAGTAGTAGGAGGGGAATTGCACGGAGAAGGCATGCTGGCGCTTGCTAGTCAAACTGTGCGAAGCCTGAAGCAGAGCGGCGCGGTATGCCTCGACCAGAGTGAGGTCTATTCTTATTCGATGTATTTTGAAAATGACTTGAAGACGATATTTTGCCTATAGGTTATCGTGAAAGAAGTGTAGTCGACCTCTAACCCGTAGAGGCAAGGGAAAGGCAGTCAGTCTTGACATAGAGGAGTCCCGTTCTGACTTTCTCCGCGGACACTCCGGTCCCTCTCCCGAGAAGACCTTCCTCGTGTTGAATTAGCCTTTCCCTTCTTCTTCTCTCCTTTTCTCCTCTTTATCCCTTTCTCCTTCCATAACATTGACCAACGAGCCGTTTTGGCCGTACGTGATGATGCGGACCCACGCCGCCGCATCAAGTGCCGAACCCGGACGCCTTGGCTCTGAGGTATGCGGTGTCTCTGGGATATATTATTTTCCGCAAACCGGCAGAAGACGACCCAGGCCAACGGCTTAAGGTCGTCGGCTGGCTTTTATAGAACGAGCCGATATGGTTGCTCTGAGGTACCCACGGCAGGACTAGAGAGGTATCGTTATGGATTGGTCTCTATCTACCTTGGGCGAAGGAAAGTGCCGGTGACCTTGCCTCCCGCGATCTGATGGGGTATGTGTCTCAGAAACACTGGTAACATGAGAGTAAATGTCTCCGTAGAGAAGAAAGTAGATATGGGATGGGGTGGAGGCGAGAGTGACCAAAACCAATCGAGCCGCGGCTGGCGTCCCCGTCTAGAAACCCCGATAAGATGTGGTAGGTTAGTTCATCTAACAGAAAGCAAAGGTGGCTTTCTTCCAGCCCGGATACGAGGAAGCTACATGGCTGGCAAAGAGATCTTCGAGGACTTCACGGATCTTGTCACCACAAGGTCATCGGATTTCGACATGCCATGGTACAATATTATAGTCCAGTTCAGCGTATACAAGTCACGCCTGGTCATCTACCGATCTACTGATACTCATGGACCTAGTTGGGAGAGGCAACTAGGGCTACAGGTAAAGAACACTACGGTGCTGGTGTGCTTATCGAAGCTAGACATGAGGGCCATCCAAAGAGCAGCGGTAACTAACATCAAAACTTGAAAGCTGAGCTGAGCCAAGCTTGAAACGGATCAGCAGGCGGGGTGACCGGCGGGGCGGGGTGGACGATTTGGGAATCTTGGGTCGATCATGGTGATTCCATTGGACTTTAACAAGGCTGATAGGGTGTGCTGGCACCATTAGAGGGAGGGGCGGAGCTCTTGTCCCTTTCTTCTTTGCTTTTCTGTTTTTTCACTTTGCAGGAAATTTTCTGCCCTCGCCCTGAAGAGCTGGAGCTAGCATGGTGGGCTCTTGAGTGAGACAGGGCGGCGGAACGCCTCAAACCTTGCTTTCCCCGGGTTCCTTGTCAAGCGTGGGTAGAAGGGGGAGGGAGAGGAAGAGAAGAAAAAAATCCAAGACACATGGATGGCTCTGACGACGAGCCTCCCCACATCTTGAGTGTATTCACCTCGGAGTAAGTGAGCAGGACGCTAGTGCAGACTCATGCCGAGACAATGCGTTGAGCCTTCAGCCTGGTGAGGTGGCAGGCCAAAGAGGCTAATAACGTTGGCGATGCGAAGTTAGGAAGAAATGGCCTTCCCCACCACCACCACAAAATGAGAAAGGACTGCAATGATCCTCCCGTACCTGCACACATACCGAAGGCAACGTTGGGAGAAAGGCAGTCGTCGCAAAAGAGACATGGGAGGGATCGCTGAAGCGGATGAGTTGGACTTGGGATGCGGGAGGGTCGGGGGTGGGGGAGGGGCGTGCATCATGTGTGTGTGTGTGTGTGTGTGTGTGTGTGTGTGTGTGTGTGTGCAACGAAGCTCGAGCGTTGCGGCCGCTTTGACCCTCTGCAGAAGAAACGTGAGTGAACACAACCAGTCTTCCATTTTTGTCCACGATCGAATCCCCTTTCGAGATGCGAAAAAAGTTCAACGGTCCGTGCGGCAAGGTTGACAGACACTTGACGAAGGGGCTTGAGTTGCATGCGATGCGAGGGAATGGACACTTGTTGCTTCGGTGCCGTTCTTCCATTGTGTTGTCGGGTTTCTCTGGCTCCCGATCTTCTCCCTCTGTGTGCTTGTATGAAGTATTTACGCTATCTTCCCCATCACTTGGCTTCTCCCGAGAAAAATATCGAGCCTCTCTTGAATTTTGTCTCAAGACGGAGTGTTGGCTGTTAGCTCTTTCCTGTTTTGGAGAGGTGTTTGAGGAAAGATCGGACCTGACAAGTATCAAGTATCAAGTATTTTAGCAACGAACCCCTTTCTTCTTCTTCCTCCTCCTCCACTTCTCTTTCCTTTTTCGGGGTCTTGGATCTGTTTACTTGGACAATAAGGAAAGTGGCTCCTGTGGATTTGTGGGGCGGCGAGGTGAACCGGTTCTCTCATCTCTCCGTGGTCTTGGTGAAACAGTGGGGCTTACTTGGACGTTCTCCAAGTCAAGTCATAATCAACGCTTGTTTCCTTATACGCGGTGTGTTGAGAGAAAAAGTAATGTGGATTACAAGTACTTCGTACGATACCTGGATCTCAAGAATGTGATCCGATGATGGGGAGGGACGGGCTCAGGGCTCGATGCTGGTTAGGCCTCTGCTACTGAGTGGAAGAGTGTTAACTCGTCTTGCATGTTTGATTCTCGAGCATTTCAACCCCTGTAATGTCGTCTGGCGAGCTTGGAAGGTCATCAATACTTGGAACAAGATCAGTTATCTGGCGAGTGGAGCGGGTTCGAGGCAAGAGAGTCATTAAAAAGGGTGGATTTGACCGATCTCAATTATATCAGGCCCTCCGTATTATTGACCAAGAGGCCCCCAAAAGGCCCGCCATTGATGGTGGATGGAATGGGTCCATTGCTTGGACCGAAGAGGCCTGGAGCCACTCTGTCGCATTGACGACTGACCCGACACTGCAGCTGGTGCATAGGTCCTGCACAGATGCAAAGAGTGGCGTGCGTCCTCGCAACACAACGAAGTGGCTGAGACCCACAATGTCGATGATGAACTTCAAAGTTCTTCTAGTGTACGTCACTGTGCTCCCACTGTTAGAAAAGAAAAACGAACGCTTTTGAACGATTCATTGTTTGGAGTCAAGAGTTGGGTATGTGATACTTGTACCTGCGTAGCAACTTCTGCTGTGCTCTCTTGTTCGTACCGAGGGAAGGAGGGGATCGAAAGCGGAGTTGGGAGAAATTGCCTCTGCGCTCTCCTAATTTTAAAGTTAAGTGGTGATGTGGTGAGCTCCTTGTACAGCTTCTTCGAGTCCCCGGATTTGCGGCCACTACCGGGGTACATAGTATCCCATTGGGCCTCCTGGATTGAGGGATAATATCCACGGATCTGTACCGAGTAATATTGTAATAGAGAACAACCCGGACGGGATCAAATCCAGCAGCGCACCCAATGAGCCTGTTGGCCCAACCTTTGACTTGAGATGGAGAATGTGCGCCAGGACCGTGGAATTTGCGTAATATCGGCAGCTGTCAAATGGGGCAGCAAAGGGTGCGCACTCACACAGCATGAAGTCTTCTTCCACACAAAAGAGCTCCCAGACACCACTCGTGTACATGGCGGGACCAAATCAGTCACTCTGTCTATAACACGAATCCCCGGATCTTAATGCATTTCGAGAAGCAACTCTTATCACCCGGTCCAACTAGGCCCCTTCTTCCCCCGCCTTCCTTCTCCCGGCCCTCAGGTCTCGGCTTGCATCTTCCATCAATGCTGCGAGTCTTAGCCGTACCTCCGAAGTATAGATTTGGTCTATTCGCTGGTAATAACACTAGTCGATATTATTGCTCTGTCTCCCAGACAGATCAATTGATCAATGGGTCCAGGGATCCAAAGAGTTGCGCTGCCAAAGATGCTAGTATAAATACATGAGAACCGTAGAAGATCCTGACGTGTCAGGTTGTCACTGTACTTTGGACCCTTCAATGTTCCATCCCCCTCCTTTTCTTTCCGCTAAAAGGATGTGGTTGGAGCTTCATGCTCAATGGCCAAAGCCCGTTCCCAAATCTGGCCCTTGCGTTCAGTGTTTCCTGTGAGCGTTTCCAGCAAAAGGGAAGGGAGACAGAGAGAGCACGGGAGAGCTATTTTCCTGGGGTGCTTCAGATCTGCTGCACATTCCATTATGCGACTAGAGCTTTCTCCGCATCTCTGCACCGTACCATGGATACCTGACCGCATGTTTTCTTTTCCCGACCTCTTTCCAATTATTTGTTTGCTCCTTGATTGCGTCCTCGTCCGTCTTGGATGATCAGCGATCCCGTTCGGCACTCAGGTTTTTTTGGGTTTTTTGTTCTTCTTTCTCGGCGCCGTAATAATATAAACACCGCGTTCTGAGAGTGAACCCCGGACAACTAATAATTCAAGATCACCATCACTTTTAAACAGCGCCCACTCGACCGGATCTAGTATGGATGCACAAGCGTCTGGTCCTAGAAAGGGGCCTGGCACTAGTAAGAAACACCGCAGACACTACGCTCTATGCTGGCTGAAATGGGGCCCTCACAACCCCAAATAGTCCATGGTGGCTTTCATCAAGCTTCCCGTCGTCATGAGCCTTTTGCTCTACACTTGCCCACCCCTATCTTTAGATGCACTGTAAACGCCACATGTTCGACGAGCTTATTCGCTTTTGGCTGCCTGCCGAGTCCTTCCCCTTTAAATGGAATGTACAGAGTGATTGTGCATGGCATGGATGTATCGATAGCCCTTGCTTTGAGTCGTCTCAACCTGGGGCGACGTAATGCTCTGTTCGCTAACGAGAAAGATCTACGGATCATTGGCCGACATACATGAGACCATTTCTCTCCCAACACGTCGTCAAGAAGATAGCTGGCGCTGTATCCTTGGGTCGCTCTCATTGATATCAATCGTACACATCCGCGAGCCGCAACTTTAAAAACAAACACAAGTACACGACAGCACGGGTCCTGTACAACATCACCGCGTTGTTAGAATTGGAACCGAGCACCCGTAGAATTTATAGATATTGGTATCGGGACGGCTCCAGCCTCATCCCGTCTTTTTGCTTCCCTCTCGAGGATGTGATACAAAACTTTCCGGGCCGACCCCAGGTCGTTCCAGAGCCTTCCTGGGATATTTGCCGGGCTGGTATCGAAGGGGGTACTAAAACATATATAAAAAAAACGGGACGTAGCCGGGAAAACAGAAGAAGGGAAGGGAAAAGAAAAGAAAAGAAAGAGACAGAGAAAAAAATACATGTAGGAATTGGGATTTCACGATTGTGAGTTCGGTTGGTCCAACTCGCAGACGGTGTTGGGACAAAAACGCGTCTTCACTCCTTACTTCGCCAAGTTGGCTTCCTGCACTGCTGTATGTTATCGCCAATGATCTATAGATCTATTAGATGGATGCATCATTGATCTCCATTCAGGGACAGCATTCATCCGCCAAAGGGATATCGTTATTCAATCGGCGTCGGGCAACCCTCGTCGATTGATGGCCAATTCGGTGCATCATTGTTCGAAATCTGCGCTTCGTGTCGAGACAAGCCAACCGGGGGTCCATTTGAACGCCTCGACCTGCAACCAGCCAGGAACAAAACAGTAGCCCAATGCACAGTGGTGGGTGGGGTACCTGTCATTATCTCGTCAAACCGCTCCAGGTTGATCTGGTCCCGTCGAAGCCCCCTGTCCGTCCTCCGAGCGCTGGCTTAGCACGTTGAATAGTAGGGCTGCTCTAGAGCCAACCAGGTGCTGTGATCACCCCTCGCCTTCTTTTTTTTCTCTCCCCTTCTTCCCCTTCTCCCTGCGCCTAGTACCAAATTTCTCCCTCGACTCGACAAACCATCCCTCTTCACCACCCCCTTCCGCCCCCCTCAACCTCTCGATCACGGCGCCGGATTGCTCGCCAGAAGAGCTCGATTTCGCCCTCCTCCGGCCTGGCTGGCCCAATTCACCGTCCATCCATGTCTGCTCTTGTCCCTCTCCGCCAACGCGTGTCCTCGTGCCGGACTGGCCAGCCTTACCCTGAACAACCCAGGTCGCACTTGTACGAAGCGACATTGTTGGCCCAATCTCGTCACCGAACGACAAGGAAAATAAACGGCAGGAAAAACACATCACTCCGATCCAAGGGACCACGAGCCTGTCAGAGTGTCGTCTTCCTCATAACACGCCGCTCTCTTCGTCCTCATCGAAAATTTCACGTTTCCTATAACTCTCCCATTGTAAAACACCTAAGTGTTGGCGCCCGAGGTCCAGGGCTGCCAGGTTCGAACCAACAGCCATGTCGCTTAATGGCCTCGATGACACCAAGGTGAAAGAGGCACACACAACAGCCGTCTCTGAACCTGGCGGATGGTATGGAGCCTTGTTTTCTTCTTCTTTACTCCCTCTATTCTCACCTCAACTTTCGTCGCCATGGGTTTGGCGCTGTCGCTAGGTTTTGGGCGAGACATCCTGTCTAGCTTGTCTTGTCAAGCTTTCCTTGTCTCAACTGCTTCTAGAACTTGGCCTGCCCCAGTACACTCACCACCAATCTCTGATTGCCCTGAACCATTGCCGCTTTTACGTTTCTGCCTCGTTATCTGGCCTGGCTATTATCGAAGCGGTAGCTGATTCGTGAGTTCTTTATAGGTTCCTCCTCAAGTATGCGAGCCGCGACGAGGTCGATTTATTAGGTCGTGGGAATGGCGGCATCGTCGAGATCCGAAATGCCATCTCCGAGTACGAGGACACATCCCCCTTTACGGCTTCTTGAGGTATCGCCGGCGGAATGTCATCATCAAGTACCTTCCCGAAGGCTGTTCCCGTCTGATTCAAGGTTCGTCACACCTCGATTGTTTCCCCACCCATTCTGCCCCTTCAGACTTTGAATGCTAATCGGGGTCGCGTTTCACAGCACGTGTCACTGTTCATTTTAATGCAGTTTGCGAGCGATTCTCTCCCCATGACACGACCTTCTCTATCACCACGGCAAGCGAGCTCAAGGACACCAAGCTTTCCGCGGCGTGCTCGCTGCATGCCGCGTCAGGATCCACGTCGTCATCAACAAGTTCCCTTCGCCGTAGGAGACTAGTGGAGATTGCGGAGGAGGATGAGGAGGAACAGCAGCGAGCTAGCAAGCGCCAGTCACTTGGGGAAACTGACGCCCTCATCGTACCTGACACCCCCACAGCCGAGGAAGCTGCGGAGGACAAGGGTTCCGCCCCTGACCCAGTCCCCCTGTGGTCTTGGACGCTGAGCTGGCCGTATCGCCCGAAAAGGGCAACTTCACGACTGCAACTGACCCGCCCGATTTTATTGGCATACCCCGTCCCCGTCTCCCGCCAAATCCTTCGATACTGCTGCAAGGAGGATGTCGAGCCAATCCACCCGACCAGATTATTACAGCTATACCTCGTATGGTAGGCAAAAGGTGAAGCTTGGCCCCGCCCCTCTCTCGACCAGTCTGGCCGCCCGCAGACGGCCTCCGCAGCCACATTCAGGCCCGTCTCTACCATACCCGCAGGCTTCAAGCTCTTTTCCAAGGGATCCAAGAGGTCCAAACCCAAGGACTCGTCCAGCAACGATCCCTCGTCTTCCCCAGAACAGTTCCATGCCGTGCCGGAAATAACATTTGGCAACTCGATTGTTCCCATCCCTGAGCCTGTCGACTCCCCAGACTTGGAGGAATTGCGCCGTCCGCACACTAGTTCCGGGCCTGGCCCCGCTCGTCCTTCTACTAGTTCCGGAGCGAGTTTCGTCATGCCGCCCTTCAAACCCACGTCTCCCATCAAGGAGAGGATGACTCCTGAGAAGGCACGCCTCATGAAGGCGATGCAGCTGCGTGAGAAGAAGAAGAAGTTGAGCATGATGCCACCCCCTGTACCAGCGCTCCCCGTCTCACACCGAGAGGTGGAGGAGGAGATTCCGGAAGTTCCGGAGGCAGTGGTGCAGTCGGACCCAGTGCCTGTGCCATCTTTGGCTCCGTCTGCTTTGGAGGAGACTGCGGACAAGCAACGGGACGTGGAGGACGCGGACCAAGACGACAGGCTATCCCTATCCCAAGCCGACTCCGCGATTGTCATGGAAGGCAGCATGTCTGCAGTCACTGATCATGCTTCCGAGGCTGCGCATACAGATTCGCTTCCCGCCTCACCATACATTGCCTCTTCTGAGGCTGCCCAGTCTACCAAGGCGTCGTCAATCTCGGAGTCCACTGATGAAACGATCGAGGCCAACCACGAGAAGGAAGAATATAAGGAGAATGACGACGATGTCGATGAGGTACTAGCCGACTCGACAGAGGTGGACCAGGAGCTCACTCGTACTTCAGCGGATGATGTTGCGGAAGAAGTAGTTGAAGCCCCTGTTTCTGAGCCACTCGAGGTTGCCGCCGCGGTCGCACATGAGCCTGAGGACAGGGATCGCGAGGTTGATGCTGAGGTCGATGTTGTAGACATTCCCTTACCCAAGGTCCGCACCGGCACTGCTTTGCCCGTCTCGAGGTTCTCTACGGCCAAGGATTCGGTCAGCAGCGAGATTGATGCTTTTACCGAGGAAGCGCCTAGTGCGTCTGAAGTGCAGGAGGAGGTCGATGACATTAAGCGAGAGCGTAGGAGGAGCTCACTCCGAATCCCAAAGTCCAAGTTTTCGACGCGCGATCTCCGCACGCAGGTTGATGCGGTCGAGGAACACACTTCCCCTTTCCCAGCTATTCCCACCATGGAGGCGACTGTGGCGGAAACAGAATACCTCGCCGACGACCAGGCTGACCAAGGAGAAGAGGTGGAGGTGCAAGCAGATGGCGACGCTCAGGAGCCCAAGGAGCAGGATAGGACATCGTTGCACAGCAGGCTGTCGAGGAAAACCGCCAACTTGGAGCCCATCAAGACCGACCTTGCCCCTTCTATCCGGAGCTCACTCAGCTTATCGGATGATGAGGACCTGCTCGACGAGCTCCAATCCGCCACGGTGCAAGAGGCGAAACCCGTTGTGGTAGCAAAGTCGCCTATTCATCCCAGTTTCCCTACCCTTGTAGGCAGGGAGGGGCTTGTCCCGCCCGGCACGAGAACCGTATCGCAGCCTAGCATCCAGCGGACCGCATCCCTCCTTAGCCCCACGGCGGTTCCTCTCCCACCGGAACTAGGTCCATTTCCTCAGGAGCTGCCTTCCTGCACAAAATCACCCAGCAACAGGCCCCTGCGAGTGGCTTGGCGCCCAAGAAGGCGAACATCGGCTCGAGCATCTCGCAGCGGATCAAGGCCCTAGAAAAGCTATCCGGAGGCAGCGGCGATGCCCCTCCCGTCGAGTCGGTTCAGCAACCTCGCCCAAAGACGCCGTCGGCAAACTTCTTCTCTGTCAGGAAGTCGAGCGTGCGTGATCCTTCTCGATCTCCTTCCGTTGTGGAACGTGCTACGTCTTTTGTCAGAAGTAGCCCGCCCCCGAGACGAGGGAATCATCGCCAGAGACTTCGCGGCAGCGATCTCGTGAGCGCTCAGCGTCGTTAGCCAATAGACTGACAATGTTCGAGGCTGGCCCCCTCCCCTCTCCCTCCCTCCCGGGGTCGCACCGAGTCCATCCAGGTCAAGGCTAGAATCATCCGGGACCCAGCGGCAGCCTCGGGCGCCGTGCCTGAACACAAGGACGCCACTGAATATGCGCCCCTCGACTTGAAGCAATCTCCTCTTGAAGTAGACCACCAAAAGGCCGAGCCAGGTCTTCCCATGAGAACGGCTAACCCAGCTCCGGTTCCCATTAGCAAGGAGACGATCCAGGAGCGGAGAATGTCGCGGGAAAAAGACGCTCCGAGTCTAACGACCGAGCCAGCGAAGCGGATCGCAAGGCGAGACGCTCTTCACTAAGCATCGTTAAGGACTTCATTAAAGAGCGTCGCAAATCCCTCACTTCCCCCTCGGTGGACAATCTCGCGGCGCCCACCCCATCTACGCCATCTCGCTCCCCGTCGAGGCCCCCTTCGGTCCATCAAAACTCGGGCACGACGTTTCAGCGAAGACTTTCGATCAGCAGCCGACGTTCCTCCGTGAGCAAGGATCCCGGTACGGCGGGTACACTATCCCCTTCGGCCTATACCGAGACCAGCGGCTCGGGGGACGAATCCAAGTCGGGTGCGAGCGAGAAGAAGTCGTCTAAGAGCCGAGCGGGGCGTTTTATGAGGCGCCTGTCTTCCTCGCTCCACGGAAGCCGTGGTAAGAACACGCCAACGGGCATCTCGCCGACCTTGCACGAGGAAGAAGCGTCGGCCCAGGTTGCCGAGCCTGGAGCGTCTAACCGTCGCGACTACAACGGCCCCACGATTGTTGCGTACATGGGCGATGTGAACGTGCAATTCCCTGATAATCTCTTGTGGAAGCGCCGGAGCATGTGCCTCGACTCCCAGGGTTTCCTAATCCTCAGCACCGCTGCGGCTACCGCGGCGCCAATGGACAAACAGCCATCTGGCGCAGGTGTCAAGAGGTATCATCTCTCCGAGTTCCGACTACCTTACCCGCCCGAGATGGAGGTTCAGGAACTTCCCAACAGTGTGGTGCTGGACTTTGTAGAGGGTTCGGGTCTCCAGGTTGCCTGCGAAGACCGAGCCGGCCAGGCGCACGTCCTTGAGAGTAAGTCAAGTCGCACTCAACGAAACTAACTACCTTGAGCCACGCAGGGCAGGAGAACTAGTTATTAACGTCTTCCTTTTTAGTCCTCGTCGAAGCCCACAGGAATCACTCTTCCTTTGGCCAGTAGAGCGAGCGTGTGCCTATGCATGCCATCAGTTCTTACCTTCACCCCACTCTCCTCTCATATCCTTTCGCCACCCCTCCCTTTTCTCGGCCCCGTGCTTTCCGCTATAACTTCTGTCTAGGAGGACCGCCTCTATCCCCTTTGTCTATACCATTCTCGAAGATTCACTATACAAGTTATATACCAGGGCGTCATGATGGTACTCCCCCATCTTCCTTTTGTTCCATCTTCTTTTCACGACTTCCTCTCTTACGTTTTATCCTAATGCCCCATGGTTGTACCCTTTCCAATCAACCAAACCCTCGCAAACCTCCTCACTGTGGTGGCACGGGGACATATTGAAGTACTTCTAACACTCGGTCTACTTCTTCGAGATCACCCATTCCCCCGTTTGCTTCTTTTGTTCAATCGGATCTGCAGAGATAGAGGCTTGCAGAATTCTTTTTTCTTCTTTTTTTTTGGCTGTATATCTTCTCCCGCCCCCCTGAGCCTACCTCAATTTTGTGTCTGTGTGCAGAAGCGAGGCATGAAGAGCGAGGATTTCATATCAAGAGTTGTCCTTCCTGCATTGTATTTAGGCACATGCGTCCATGCATGCGTACACGCTTGCACGCACACGAACATGAACACACAGCATTCGTCACCCATATCCAGCGACTTTACTCCCTTTTGTCCGTTTGTTCACTTTTTGTCGATAGCGAGACCGTTGTACGCTCTCACCTACTTGTATTCTTTTTAAATATCAGAAGGCTGGGATTTGGGCAGGGAGAGAAGGCGGGAGATTGAGAGAGGTGGCTCAGTTTGGGGTTTATAGCCAGTTGAGACTATTTTCTTCTTTCCCCGTATCCTTTGCCTGTGCCATTAATCGTGAGAACTAATAGTAGTTTATTATATGTGTGTGTGTGTGTATTGGTGTGTTTGTATCAATATGCAGGCCTTTTACACTTGTTCCATCTATGTCTTTAGCTGGGTGTCCCTCTCTCGTCCTTCTACGTCAAAATCCCTACTCGACGACGACTTCCTTGCTCTATCCTGCTCTTCTATCTCCCTCGCCGTTTGTCTTTTCCCTTGCTTTGCTTCAACTTGCTCGTGGAGCTCGCCCCCGGACAAAGACCCATGGATGTTATAATCTCCTTGCGCTCAAGTGTACATGGGGCAAACCTTGCGTGCCTTAAGCCCCACGCCCCCTCCCGTGGTAATGGCTCCGTGATTATTCTCGGGGCTCCTTCTTCCTTGGATCGTGGAGTTGTGCCGACTCGAAACTGAGACCTGTCACTGCTGGATACACGCACGCACACACACACACACACACACACACACAAGATGGAAACAAGGCAATATTTGCTAGTGTTGGATTGTTTTGGTTTCTATTTTGGAGTAGAGAATTAAGAGGAGGCGCTACTTTTTGTTTCTGTTTGGGCCGTATTAACCCTCCTCCTCCTAGGGTTTCGGTCTTTGCCCTCTCCGTTTGTTCGTACATTTCCCTTCCCCGTCCAGCAGAAGGGGAGGGGAAGAAAGGGAGCCGCGCCATATCCCTCTAACTAGCCGCCCCCTGTTTTCCTTTTTTGGATCTAGCAAAGGAAAGGAAAAAAACAGAAGATGCAACTTTCCTTTGATTAAAAAAAGGCCGTGACGATAGATCAGAGATATGATAGCGAGCAATATTGCGGGCGTTCTCGTACATGCAAAAAGAGGATACAGTGAGATGAAATAGTAGAACAAGATTGGTGGAAGAGGAGGGATGAGGATGTTTTGTCTCTCTCCTCTTTTCGCCTGGCGACTCTCCCTCTCTTCTCGTCTGCAAAGGTAGCTGCTGACGTGGTGAGAGAATAGAGTCCAAGGGCAGAGTGGTAGGTAAGGTCTTGTTGGGGGCGGAGGGAGGAAAAAGATGGAAAGTCTATTGTACAATTCATTCAGCGGAACGCGATTAAACGGTCCACATCCGTCGAAAAAGGGGCAAAAATACACAAGGTTGAACACTGTCACAAACGCCTCGTCGACGAGGATGACCAGGTGATGCTAGACGAGGAGTTGAGTAAACTCAGTATAGAGGTTGAAGAGGGGCAACAAAGATAGCCAATGTCGAGTCCTCTAGAGGGCAATCTTGCCATCAGAGCCGAGAGCAGCGCCGACGCGATCGGCGGTGGTGGACTGGTCGGGGCCGCCAGCGGTGAGGACCTCGCTGCCGACTTCGCGCATCTTGAACTCTTGCTCCATGGCCATGACCTGCTGCTCCTCGGTGACGCAAATGGCAAAGGGAACGCCGAGGAGGAGGGCGGTGGAAGAAATGGCCCAGAGAGCCTTGCCCGTGAACCAGAGGCTGCTGGAGCCGAAGCCGACGACCGAGTTCACCTTGGATGAGATCCAGCCGCGTGTCGTTGGGGGCACCATGTCGCGCAGGGCATAGAGGCGGTCGGCGAGGGACTCCTCCTCCGGGTCGAACTCGGAATCGGTCGAGATTTCAGAGTCTGCGATGAGTGGGCGACGGGTTAGCTTCGCGTTTTGTGGGTGATGATAGTGGAGTGGGAATTCGGCAGATGTCAAGGAAAGCTGGTGAGAAACCAAGAGAAAGGGAGAAGAAGGAGGGGAAAAGGGGAAGAGGCCCATCACAAGGCCAAAAGAAGCTAGCCCAAACAGCGGGAAGCTTGGTCGTAGTAGATGATGGATGCGAGATGATAATTCCGTGGTGAAGGGGTGAGGTGGCAAAACAGCTGGGAAACTTACCAGTATCAGTGTAGTCGGCATCGTCGTCAACAACGGGACCGGCCTGGGGGTCTCGAAGTGCTCGTCGGGGACCTCGGTAAGCTGAACCATTTTGGCTGTGTCTGGCGCGTCTCCTTTTTCTTTTAATGTATTATGTGCCCGGGAGAATCCAAGCAGATATCGTCGCTATCTTTGTCAGGCGCGTGCTGCTGAGTGATGCTACGCGGATCGTCAGGGAGCGTCGTCGAGTATCTCTTTGATGACTGTTTCTATAGTTGCGCGAGATAGAGCTCCTCGGAAAGGTTGGGATGCTTTTGGGAGGGAGAAGGACGATGGTTCGTGAAAGGTGTTATCGATGGTCGTGGTGGAACGGGTTAGAATTTTTTTCTTCCTTTGGAGCTGGAGCCAAGGAGAGAAAAGGCCCGGGCCATTTTCTTTTTTCTTTTCTTTTCTTTTTCTTTTTTTCTTCCCCCTGGAGCCAATCTCCTTCTCCTTTGGCTCCCTTTTTCGCACAATAATCGGACATCGTCATTGGGTGCTGTTACGTCAGCAAAGAATTCGGTTAAGTATCGGTTAATATTCCACGACTTGTCAGCTCTCGATCTCACACTGTGGTCAAGCTCCCCAAGCGTGTTGCATTGCACCAAGAGTTCAGATGATTAGAGGCATTAATACAACAAGCAGACGTCCCGCATAGATTCCCGCCTACCCTGCTCTCTCTCAGTCTTCTAGCGCACTCCTAGAAAGAAAAGAAATTTGTTGGGGTAAAAGGTGGGCTTGAATGGAAATGTATAAAATATATATATATGTATATATATAAAAGAAGAGAACCAGACTGCTTATGAAGAAGGCCTGACTCGGGCAAGAGAGGAAAGATGGCTCCCCAACCAAACCAGGAACTGGAGCCAGGCCCTTGCTCTGACGAGGTAACCTCGCTCGGCCTCCCGCTCAACCCTCAGCCGATGCGATGCATGCGCTCTGGCCTCCACCGCGACAGGGAGGATGGGAGCTTATTTGGACGAGCGCTCTGATAGATGGAATTTCTCATCAAAATTGGACCTTTTGGAGGTGCCCAATCGTTTCCGGGAATCGACCTTTTAGGTGCTCTTCCTCCCCAAGAAACGGGGAGACGGAAACCCTAGACGTTGTTGCTAACAAAGAGTAGGTAAACCAAGGCAATGGGTTAGAAGGATGGTGACTCGAAGGATAGAATCGTGGCAGACAACTATCAGAGTTGCACTCCGACCCGAGCGCAGGTAGCATGTCTACGCATTCACCCTAAGAAAACAAACATGGCACCTCAAGGGTATTCAATGAGAAACGGTTGATCTGATCATTAAATATGTTGTTCATTACTGCGTGGCATCTACGGACCATTATGTATTATGAGGCATCCCCTCCCTCCCCTCATGTAGCCGAATCAACCCCGACCACTCTCTCATTTCAATAGTTATGTAACGGGGAATAAAGAAAACAAATCAATCAAGCTTTTACGCCTTGCAGAGCCTCTCGTTGACGAGCTTCCACTTCTCCGAGCCGGGAGTGGACTTGACCCAGAAGGTACGGTTGGGGTCGTACTTCTCCTTGATCTTGAGGAGCTTGGGGTACACCTTGTTGCCCCAGAAGGCGTTTTGCCAGTTGGGCTCGTTGATGTCTCCCTCGTTGCTGTACACCGCGCTGTTGGGGTCTCGCGCCTGATGATGGCGCCAATGTCGTTGGTGATGGCGTCGAGGACCTCGGCGCGCCTGCTGGCCGAGAGGCAATCCTCGAGGAAGTAGAGGTAGACGAGCACGTCGGCAGTCTTCCTGAAAACGGGGTGAACGGCGCTGAGCTCCTGGTTGGGGTCGGGGACGGCGTTACCGGGGTTGACAAGGTGACCGCCGAAACCAACTGCAGGGTACTTGGCGAGAACCTCGCGGAAGGCGGCGACGATGTTGTCTCCGTTGTTGACCGCGTCAGTGAGCGAAATGAGACGGCCGCCGAAGCCGGCCTGGCCGTTGGCAGCGTGGTACGCGGTGAACCACATCTCGTTGTAGAGAGTGCCGAAGTTGGGGAAGGTCTGCACGGGCGAGGCAGTGTACGTCACGTTGGCGGCAGTGAGGCTGTTCAGCATGGGCTGGACAATGGCCTCGAGCTGGGCCTTGGTCTTGCCGGGCGCGACGAAGGGCTGGGCAATGATGTTACCCTCAGAGGCGGCATACCAAACATAGATACCGTGCTTCACGAGCTCGGGGCCGAAAGTGTGCCAGATCCTGTATCCCTCCCAGAAAGTGTCGCCGGAGCCAACAATGTTAAGAGACATGCCTGTAACACCCATTAGTTAGCAACCCCGTTCTCTTCCCCTCGAGAGATTATTTGTTGTTGAAGAAACTTACCAGACACCTGCACGCGGTTAAAGGTCTTGAAGGTGACCGAGGTGACGACGGCAAAAGTACCGGGGCCGCCACCCTTGAGAGCCCAGAAGAGATCGGTCGCGGACCTGTGGTTGGCGGTGACGACGCTACCATCGGCCAGGACGGCGGTGAACTGGAGCGCATTGTCCGAGGCGAGACCGTAGATGCCAGAGAGGGGTCCCTGGCCGCCACCCTGGACATAACCGCCAGCGACACCGACAGTGGGGCATTCACCCGCGAGCACGTCCTGGTTAGCAGCCCAGACCTTGCTGTAGAGTTCGTGAATCATGACACCGGCGCCGGCAGTGACAGCCTTGCCAGTGTAGGTGGAGCCGGGCGAGCTCCACGAGCTGTGGAGGGTGATGTCCTTGAGGCGCCAGGTGTTGATGACGAGAGCGCCGTAGCCTAAGAAACACAATCGAGTTGCTTGTTAGCCCACTGTCCTTCCGGCACCTTGTCCTCTACTCAGAGCCGTGACGCGGCAGGAATCAACCAAACTTACCGGTGGAGCGGCCCATGAAGTCATGGCCAGTGTTCCTGATGATGAGGCGGAGGTTGTACTTGTTGGCAAACTTAACACCAGCCTGGATATCCGCAACCTTGGTAGCCTTGATGACATAGGTGGGAACAACACCCTGCTTGCAGTCCGAAGTGCAGCTGCCCGAGTTGCTGGGATAGCAGGTCGAGTTTGACCAGAAGGGCAGCATGGGCCAGGTGCCGAGAGAAGCTCTGCAAAGAGAAAAGAGCCCATTGTCAGCTTTGCGCGCTTACTTAGAGTACATTTAATGGAGAGAGAAAACACTTACACCCAGTCAGGGTCGTTCCACTTAGCAGTGACCTCGGCGCACTTGGCCGGGTCATTGGCACCCGCGACAGTCTGTCCCTCGTACGTGGCAAAGCAAGGAAGACCGGGGGAAGCTCGACCGAGAGTCTGCCGCCCACGGAAGTCTTGAGCTCGTTCCACTTAGACTGGGCAGGCCAGCAAGACTCGCCGGGGTAGCACTTGCAGTTCGAGGTCGGGGTCGCCTGAGCGGCGGCCGCGAACAGCCCGAGGAGGAGAGGCCCTTGGACCACTTCATAGTTACTGCGCGGATCCTTGATCTCTTCTTTGAAGAAGAGAGCGACGAACCAAGGAAGAAGGGGGGCGGGAGGGTGAATTAGGATCGGCAACCTCTTTGTGTGTCCCGAGTCGGAATGCTTGATGGAGAGAGAAGAACGGATGGGATGAGGGATGCGCGCCGTGAACCTTAATATACTAATTGCCCCATGGTAGTTGCGGACGACCCGGAGATCAAGGACGATGCCTGTCCATGAGAAGAAGGGGGAGGGGAAAAAAAAGGGACGACGCAACGCCTCTCTCGGGAGACCAGGGTGGAGGTTGGGGGAGTGGGTGGACCTTGACATCCGTCGGCGCAAGGACAGAAACGCAACGGCAAGGGTCCTTTTTCCTTTTCTCCCTTCCGATTTCCGCAAGTCTGAGCCGAGATCACTCGGGAGGAGGAGGCGCGGCGGGGTTCTCCTCCTCCCATCTCCCATTTCCTGGGCAGGTTACAAGCATGAGGATGGGGGCATGGCAATGGCAATGGGACGAGGATGGGGGCATGGGTAAGGGTGTGCTGACGATATCCTCGCTTCTCCACCTGCACCGCTTCGCTGCGCGCACTCGCGAGCACCACATGCGCTTTTTCAATAATACCACGACTTCGTATGCAAGTACAGTGCCTCCACAAAGAAGGGAATCGCGCTTTACCTGTTTTTCGGGGCGGAAGATTCAGGCGACTAACTTGCCTTTGTCGCTCACCAATCCTTTTGGCAAGTCAACACGGAAGCAAGGCTACACTCTGTTGGTCATGACAATGTAACCGGTCTAGACGGACGGGGGCAGGGCACATCATCATGCTTCGCTGCCGCCGCAACTTACAGGGCCGCCGGGAAATGGAAGGCCAGGGTCCCCTCCCTCCCTCCCTCACCCGTCAGCGAGTAGCCAGCGACAACAATCGACCCTACTTGCGCCTGGGGTGGGAAATAATAACACTCACACTGATTGACCATACACCTCAAGTAACCAGGGGCAAGATACCTTGGTGGTCGAATGTCGAATACCGCCCACCTGTCAAGGTGGAGAATGGAGGAGATGCGCCGCAGCGGGGTGCTTGTTCGTGAGCATTAGACAGCTATGAACGGCAAGGTGGTAGCGAAAATCCTTGCTTGAAGGGTTGATTGAGGAAAGGAAGAAAAAGGTCTCAGAGGCCCTCCCCACCTTCCGGCAGCCTGGGCCAGCTCATGCGATGCCGCTGTTGTGCAAGAGAAAAGAAGCACGACGCGGAAATTCTATTAATAAAGGAGAGGGAGAATGAGAAGACGCATCACGCAGTTGCACGTCGTCGTGCAGTAGCATGAACCAAATTTTGATCAAAGACAAAGTCGCAGCGGCCGCTGCGAATGTTGGTTGGTACAGTTGGTTTCGAAGCTCTGCCAATTGATCATACGCTGGAGCTCTCCAGCCAACTCAAGGTCCTGATTGTACTTCGTACTTCCACTCAACTGCCATGCCCTGGAAAGTCCGTCGAATCCGCCCGCCCCCTTGTCCGTCCTCCAATTGGGAATCATGTCCGAAAAGGTACCCCTGTAACCCTCTTTTCGACACAGACTTGAGAGCTTGTCAAGGGGGTGGGGTGGGGTTGGATTTCGTACTTGGGAACAAATAGGAGAGCTGCCTCAAGAGGAAACCACCGCCTTCCAGGTATCTGGCCTCGTGCAACAAAGGAGAGCCACGCGAAATTTCTCCCTTGATGCGATGGCACCGTGGCATGCGCTCCAGGGCAGTGATTACTGGAGACTATGCGAGTGTACGGGGAGTGGAAGGTGGAAGGAATAATTAGGCGCAGCCACAAGAATCCTAAAAGACCAATCGTGTCGCGTACGGACGTATCGACGACGGCTCATTTTAATAGTTTATTTCTCTTCTTGTTCGTCGGGACCATGTTGAGATCGAGTGATACCGACCCAAGTTGATGGGAGGAGGTTGGCACAGTGGCGTCAACTGTCGGTTTCCCCTCTCCCCAATCCAGCGCAGTGGCTGCAGGCTAAAAAGAGAGTGGTCGTCGATCGACGCCAAAGGGCAAGAGAAAACGCAGTCGCACAGTAGCGCCGCACTAGTTCTAGGACGCGGGGACTGCGTTTGGTGGTCGAATTGAGGGCAAGGATAATATTCCGCGCTTGGGAGGGTATTGCTTGACTCCGTTGATCAATGATTCCAAGTACCGCTTGTCAATCGTGCAGCTGGCCTTGCCCACCTTCGTACTTGTAATACCTGTACGAGGCTTCCCATCGATATGCGATCTCTCCCTGGTGTGTCACTCAAAGGGCATCACGGGGCGGCCGGCAGGAGACCCGGACCCATAGTTTGACCTACCTCGCTGTCGACTTCTTTTGAGGCGAGCTGATCGATGCAGATGTCCAGAGGGAAGTCAGAGGTTCCCCTCACCGAGTCATCAGTTGAACACTGTGCTTCTCAGTGAGCGTATCTGGGGGCTTGATGAGCAGATGTTGTGTCCTCCTTGCCCATGAGGGTGCTCAGACTCACCAAGAAACACCCTCCCTTCCCCATTGACGGCAGTCGAGCGGGAAGCGGACAAGGTGTGGCGAATTGACAGCGGCACGGAGGGGAGAAAAAGCTCAAGCCCAAGAATACTTCGCCATCGGCAAGCCTAGAACGGCTCAAGAATTCTCGCCTTCCTTTACCATTCTTTCCACCCGAACCCTCAGACTTCCCCAGCACTGACCCATCCCTTATTTTTTTGCCGATGCCCGGTGATAATGTTTGATGGTGTATAGTAGATGAGAAACAAGAAACCCCGGTTAACGATGAGATTGCAAAGTGACGTCTATTAGGCGTCTCGTCATGCTTGATCAAGACCTCTCACCGGAAACGTGTATCTCGTGGTCCATAGATTCCTGCACTTCATCCTCGGAGCATTACGTTCCCCCACCACTGCTGAGCCCCTCTGATGCATACTTGACACGAGGGTGGGGGCTCGGCGCAGAAATTCGTGCATTTTGGGCCGTTGGGGGCGGCGTGCTTGGCAAGGTGACGCTGTAATTTCCTCGCATACCCCAAGGAACTGCTTCAAGATTACTATCCTTCAATCGCCAGCATCGAAATGAAGCGGGAAGAAATCTTCTTCTCGTTCTCCCTTTGCGCCATCGTCAGATCGGGATTCTTCCTCATGTCAAGGTATCGATCTGCCTGCCTCGGTAGCTTGCTGAGAAATAGAATGCCTACCAGAACCGGCCCGCCAAGAGCCGCAGCCCTTGTATTCTTCATGCAGCTGGTAAAGAAGGTGTCGAGGCTTAATGTGCGCTTCCTCGTTTGGCCAACATGCGAAGATGCTGCTGCATACCTCGAAGTTAGTCATGGCTTGATCATACTTCGTACAAGTGAAGTGTTGCGCGGTAGCCGCAGGCTGAATTCGCAGCCGACGTAATATGAGTTTGCCAACGACTAACTCGATTCATCCTCATGAAGAACAGAGGCAAGGTTCGCGCCAGTGCCCAGCAGTGATTTTTGCTCATGTTGGTCGCTCCTTGTGGAGGAACATCCCTGGAGTATGAACAAGCCAGCCTCGACCTGGTTAGAGCCTTTGACTTTCCAAGAGCGGGTCACCCCAAAAGGCTTGAGGTGTCACTTTATCCGCCACCTCGCACCACGCCCCAAGTCGAGGTCAATGCGCTCCCGAGTCCACGCTCCACCTTCCTGGGCGGAACATTTGCCCGGAAGTCAAGCAAACCAGGTCGCCATTGTTATCGTGGTGCTTGAATGAAGCAGGCCTTTCCTCCACCTTTTGAAAACAGCTCACTTCTCTCCAGCTCTCCGGATTGCTAATGAAGGGCGAACACAAACTAGATAGGGGCTTGTTGCATTTTCAACCGGCTCTCCCCTCACTGCCTCTCTTGTTTTCTTGAAGAATAGTGCCAATCTACTTCGTACCTCGGTCCTAAGCCATCGAACCACTTTGTTGATTTGAGCCTCCCCACAACTTGTGGGGGACGAACCCTTTCGCTCTTTGGTGAGAAAGAAGGCAAGGTAGCAGCCGCAAGCTCAAGGCAAGCATGCGTCCAAGCACGACACCAGCAAGGCAGCCTTTTGCCCCATCTAATACCCACAACTGGACTCTTAACGGTCTACCTGAACACTCGGCTTTTCCTGTGTCGTCATGACCACAAGGCCGAGGTGAGCAGGTGGCAGGTCTCGGTCGTGATCGGTGAAATTACCATTGATATTACTCCAATTCCTGTGAGTGGACGAAGCTAGTCTCTTCCTGCTTGGTCCGAAATAGGCATCGCCAAAGAGTCCCGAGGATTTGGTCGACCCAGCCTGGATGCAAGGTGATGCGTCAACGTCGTATTATTGGTGCTGGGGGCAGGAGAGGAGGGAGCGCAGCTCAGGACTGATTTTCGAGGGCTCTCGATCGGGAGATGTGGAAAAAATGTCCAACCGGATGACGGGGCTCCAACTCCCGGAGCATGCGGACTTGAAGAAAAATGATGAAGATGCTTCGTAAACAGGCAAGCGGGCAAAACTAGGTGGCGGCGGTTGGTAGTTGAGATGTGATGATGGGCCACACAGCCAGAGCCACGAGGCGCCTTCCCCCTTTTCACATACCCTGACCTTGACTCGCCCCTTCCCCAGTTGAGCGAACTCCCTCCTCAAAATTAAAAATAACAGCGAAGCACGTACACCCGAGAAGCCACAACTCAACGCCCCCGGCTCGCACGGACTCAAACAAGCAGAAAGGGTCATTCCGTGAATCCATCGTGTTGGGCGAATACGCAGCGGTGGAGACTCGCAAGCAACGACAACCTCGGAAAGACGCTGCCCGGTGAGAACCCGTTTTCGGAGAAGGGTCAAACGATGCTGGTCCAGTGACGGCATGCTCCTCGCGCTCACCGCCGCTGTTGCGGGCGGGCCGAGCCCTGGACCAACGACAGGACGCACGCTGAAGCACGAAAACCAACCAACGCGGATATCCGTGGAAACGGCGAGGATGGCCTGACGGCAAGCTATATCCTGCGGGCTAGGCGGCGTCTCAGCTGCTCCGCGGCTCAGCACAGCATGGAACGGCCTTTGATTATTGGTCGCCCGTGCCGCCTCTGCGGGTGCTCCCAACACCGTCCCAGAGTTTCCAAGGTCATTTCCGGCGTTCCACAACCTCTCTCCGTAGTGGATAGACTTTGGAGTGGGAGGGAGTGGGAGGGAGGGCTTACTCGAGTAAACAGCGCGATCATCGGAGACCTAACGGGGGCGCTCTCGGAGAGCGGCGTCATATTCCCGCAAGGTTGGCTCGGGCACCCGCTCTTCCGATTCGGGATTCGATATATTGATCCCTTCTCGGCGATCTATC